TTTGTTATCATTAAATGTTAGATTCTCATTTTTTATTGGACAATATTAAGACTTCTGTCTCCGATTGTTATGCAGGTATGTGTATAAAATCATGTGAACAACATTATCGTGGAAACTCCTATATTCATTCTCATAATGTCTTACAGCTATTTCGCAAATGACATAATCCTAAACAACATATGGAAATAATAGTGCAGAACTCAGCGAAAAGAAAGGTGGAACAAATCATATTAAGATATTTTATTTTTGAAATGCACAGAGGGCAACAGTTGAAGAACAAAAGTTAAAGGCGTTGTGAAATAGATCGTGCTTTTATATGATCCCCTTCTATAGTACCCTACCCTTTGCATTCGTTCGACTTCACTTCTCTAATGAGAGTTTCGTCTTCTCGTAGTTTATAATTAGACTCTGCACGCAGCGTAATAGTTCCCCTATTATCCATGTTCATGTTCTCATTTGATTTTTCATCAGTTATGACTTGGTAACATTTGTTCCGATTTTCATTACGGCGCCCGGCCGATTGAGTATTTTGTTCAGAATTGAATACAATTTTGAACAAAATACTCAACGGCCGGGCGCCGGTGCTGAAAATCTGAGCAAATGTGACCACGGCATTATAAAAGCATACTCTTTAAAGGGAATGCGAAGTTTCATGTTCTAATTTACACGCTGGCTACTTATAATCATCATCTATCACTTCAGCTCACTCATGGGACATATCGTGTTTGAACTAACATATAATTCAAGTTCAAAGTACCCATATCTGGATCGCTGCGGATGCCGCCATTGTTATGTATCAATGACGTCATTGATGCCTTAAAATTGATGCCTGGGAAATGTCGCTATATAATCACGTCATACTCGGATCGCAGAAATAGAACACATTTCACTGATATTTTATAACTGTTTCTGTCCGCTTAACATTGTTGCCGCATGTTCATGTCCATATCATATCATATATTTGGAAAAGTTGTTTCAATATATTCTTCATAGAAATTGAATTGTTGCAATGTATTTTTTCAAATGTTTGTATTTATTTTCTCCAATGTGATATAGTATAGGCTAGGTAGAAAAATCACCAAACTTATGAGATATCGGCTGCGCGATTCGGAAGTCATCGCATTATATTCCACTTGAAAATATCCACTAGAATTGTTTTATATAATGATAACACTGGGTCAAAAAGGATAAATCTGTTCAAATCCTGTAAATGCTTTCTTGTATATTTAACCAATAAATGAGGTAAATGCATTAAAATATACAAAATGGCATTTACACATAAATGCATTACTGTGCATCAATGGGGATTTATTTAACTAAGATTAATGTGGCTAATGTGTTGGCGTATTTGTAGTGAAAATAAGTAAGTTATATCATAGGCTGAACGCATCCAACAAATAGTTGCATCTACCATATTTATGTAAATACACGACATACGATTTAAAATATCAAAATCTATGCTAATGTTCATTAATGCGCTGATGAGCATTTACGGCACATCATTAATACGTCGGGAAATGGGCATAATGCCGCAATTACTTTCTTACCTAATCATAAATGGTAGATTTCTTCAATCTGTAGTATCAAATATGAATAGGTGCATATTGGAGAATGAAAGAAATAAAACAAAAAGTAGTAATCCAATGAAACAGTAACTCCTTAAAGTGTTAAGCGATTTAAATTATGATGAAAAACGCAAACAAAAAAACGAAAAATCAATGTCGTCTAAATGAAACGTATGTAAATGTAAATCTCCTAAATATTAAGATTGGCAATAGCTTTACAAGGAGATGCCACTGTATCATATCACCGTAGCGACATTCGATATGACAAAAAAGCTTTTCAAAATTCAATGGTATTTCACCTTGGATCATGACAAGAGAAGGCTCGTAACATTCAGTGATGCGGGGAGACGATGGGGTTGATTGTAGTATGATATTTCATTTTAACGACGATAAGGCAATTGCCGTATTGATAGTACGCCAATAGTTTAATGTTTATTTTATTGTATATTTATTTTTTGTTAAAAACAATTCCTGATTTCGAGCTCGAATTTAATTATATAACATCCGTGGTGAGTACAGTTCTACAGTATTGATTTTCAATTTAATGGCATACAACCTTTTGTTTTTCTATATCGGAAAATAAGTGGAACATTATCAGTCGTACGGGAATCATAGTTTTCCTCATAATCAAGATACGCCATACTAGCAAATGTGACTGCTAAATTATCTGACTGCAGAAATACTAGTAGGCAACCATAGAAATCCTACTTACCACAGAAATGATAGACCGTACGGACCCCGTAAAAATGTGACGTGAGGCTAAGAATCCATGATAGTAATTGAATACGGTTTCAAAATTTAATTTTAAAATTTTAATTTCTTTGAATACGTGTTAAAGATAAACATAAATGCAATGAATATTAAATTACGAACACGTATTTTTGTAATGAGACTAGCAAATTAAACCATTGCATACTTGGAAATTCAAGATGGGTTGGTTGAATTAATTTTATCATGTTTTATTCAAATAGTTTGCATTCGCCTGATAGAATTAGCATTCTCTGTTCGCATTTAGCGCTAGACCTAATAATAAAAGATAAAAAGTCACGAATCCCAGATTGTTTCAAGTGTAAATAAAGAATAAATCTAACCTGCATTCCATGTCTAGATAGGTAAAAAGCAATTCCGAAATTGCCGGTGTTAATATTCTATTGAAATCGTTCTTTATTATGGGTGGTTTATACGTATTCTTTTAGTTCCTTTGAAATGATTTCTTTGGTTTTGGAATGGCAACAACTCGGCATTCATTTTTTGATTCAAAAATGGCGCCACAAAACTTTTGGAATGCCAAGGCATCAATCTGGCATCAATGACGTCATAACAATGTCGTAAAGAACCACTTTACGGTTGAAATGGCAGCTCCGTGGTCCAGTTCATATGCAAAACCCGGGGCTCAATAACAATTAAAAGGATAATGATAGAACAATAAAACTAAGTTGGATTGAAAGATATATCTTTATTCTAACTTATTATCAAGTTTAAGGGACAAAACTTCGCATTCCCTTTAATACACGAACAGATTCAAAATGAGACTTTATCTATCAGAGAAATAAAAATGGAAAATTTGTATTCTGAAAATATTAACTGATGCATTGGTTAGTATTAAATATCAAGTTTTACAGTTGGAAACCTCAAGGGGCGGGAAATTTGATTAAACAAAACGCCGGATTAATATGTGGACAACTTGCAAATGAAATGTAAGTAACATGACAGAACGAGTATGTACGCCCAATAAATACTTTTATAGTTTTAATGTGCATTCAAAGGACCCTGTTTGTTAAATTGATAGAAATGAATAGTTTTATTACCGGAAAAAACTGAGAAATATCTACCCGATTCGCCAGAATAGTCATCATCATATCAGTGCGAAAAATTAGCTATATTTATTTTCTATGCGATATACACCTGATATTGATAGCCTTCCACGATCACGGTCCGTTGACATCATCAACCTTGTGATTTGCCATAAGTGATTAACCAACATTTTAAAACAATTTAAAGTCGGGGTTGACGTTTCTTGACTTTTCACACTGACATCCAAACAAAACATAATTTGAAAATAAAAGGCATAAAATGGCCATTAAAAGTACATTTTTGAACAAAAGTATCAACTTATATTACACTGCACGCAAATACAAAGTGAAAAGAACGTCTTCCCGGAGATTGAAATACGGATCGGTAAGTCAACAAATCTAACTGTTAAATAAACAAGCTTAGCCTATGTCTGCGATTGTTTGTCTGAGTGGCCAGATGTTATCCGTTTCGGATAATAAATTTCTGAGAATACTACTGATATCTAGAATACATCTTCCGTGATATTTTTCATAAAACTACCCTTTGCATTCGTTTGACTTCACTAAAAGAGAGCTTCGTCTTAGTGTAGTTTAACTAGACTCTGCACGCAGGGTATCGTAAAACAGGCATCTTAGCTGCAATTTTGAATAATAGCGTAATTCATAGCACAATATAAATTAACCCGCCTCTGTTTAATTCAAATATGCATTACCCTTAAGAATCATATACTTAGACACCTTTTCATTCTTGATTCGAATTTTTATCTTGTCTTTATCTAAATTTGTGGATTAATAACAGTTTTTAGTATACAAATTGAACATACAAAATGTAGCGTATTGATTACACGTTACAGTGGCGTAGCCAGCTTTAAGTCGGGGGGAGGGGGGGGGGTGCGATCGTGGCATAAAAAATGTTTTTGAAGATTTGTTTTGAATTTTACAAAAATTGGTGCAACTCCGTTCAAAATCGAGCTAGAAGCTTCAAATAAAAAGCATTTTAAGACTTTTTTCTTCTATCTAATGGTTCTATTTTCATTGGTTATGGAGGGGGGGGGGGTGCGATCGCACACATCGCATCCCCCTGGCTACGCCTATGCGCTATATTAATATAACAAGGTTATCATATCATGCCAATAGTTATATGGTTAACTAATATTAACACAAAATAATAATACACGATAATTAAAAAAATAAACCTCGGTATTCGGGCCTAAAATCCAAGGATACGTGTACCATTACTTAAGTGTAAGCTGCAATACCATATCGAATACCTGTACCATTACTCAATAATAACCACTAGTAAGACCATAATAACAAGGTGAATAACTAGCTTATCGCAAATTATTCCATACGATTTTGTCTTGTGTGATGTGTTCACCATAAATTTGATTCATGACTATGTGCTTAGTAAAGGGGAGGTTTTAGGCTCAATAGTAATTTTTTGAAATCAAGTAAGAAAACATATTTCCTTTGCCTATACATGTATTTCTTAAGTAAACTGAGTATCTAGTATGAATTGTATAAATCTGGTCTAATACGCATATGTACCATTTCTTTTGAACAAATATGGAAAATTGAACTGAATTAAAATATGGAGCATACTTATATGATATAGATGGTCAGTAATAATACTAAAACTTACCACAAGCTAAAAGAGGTTGATACACATTCCAATTCTTTGTTGTTAGTGGTGGGCACATTTTCACCACTAGAGGGGGCTGTGCTGCCCCATTCAAAAATCCTGTGAGCATGAACCGTAGCATCACTCCATGTTTAGCAGTGCCCGATTGATACTCCTTGACAAACTGTTGGGCCTGCCCGATTTGGTCAGCGAGACACTGTTTGGGGTGGGGCACTGTGGAGGTAAAGGGGAGGGGGGACTCAGGAGGGGGGTCAGATGGGAAGGTGAAAGCAACATCAGACAGACCAGGGGTATAGAGTGGAGATAGCAGCTGCTGTTGTGTGGAATTGGATGACGTATTCTGAATGCAGAAAAAGTACAAAAAGTTTTAACAGAGAATCAGTGAGTGACTTTTCCAAAAACAGCATTTTGAGGTATCATATTTAGGATTTTACGATTACATGGGTTATGATAGTAGTTGTTTGCAATATGTAAACTCCTACATCCCGCTTGCTTTAGTCATCATACTTAAATCAATTTTAATATATTCGACTGTACTGTACACATACAAACCTTCAATGCATGCACATGTAGTAAGAGAACTTGTTTATACCATATGATGAAGCTTACCATGTAATCAACCGTCTTTATCTCCCATAGTAATACCCTACTATCACTCATGATTAGTACAACCTTGTTCTCTGTGACTGGGCACGCAGCAATGTTTAACACCTTGTTATTCTTGGTGACCCTCATGTTGTCTGACTGGCACCTAAGGTCATACGTCACATCCTGGCTTTGGTGTATAGGGCTGTCATCTAAAAAAAATAAAAACAAAAGATTATTTTACATTCAAGTTTGAATTCTGCATGTATAGTCGGATATTGAAGATGCTCAACCATAGAAACAAGAATACCAATATCTGTGTGCTTATGTAAGATAAATAAATCAAAAATTGGGATCGCAATCATTTGAGTGGGTATCTAATATTTTCAAAATGGTAAATGACAACACGGTAAGAATTCCTTGATTTCCTAATATTCTGATGTGATATACATGTAGGATATGATATGTAGGAGCTGTATATTTCAAGAAGGAGACTAAACTGACTAAAATTGTGTCTATATTGGTAGATAGCGCGACATATACAAACTCATGACAACTGAGAAAATATCTTTTTGTTAAACTAGTCTTTCTTTCAGACAAATATAAGACAAAGGAAAATGAGGAAACATACCTAGAGACGCCATTGATCCTATAGAACTTCTTGTGTCTACTTCTGCTGGGCTTGCAGATGGCTTGTTGGCATGACGACGTACACGGACACTGATACTGGCATTCTCATGAAGACATATCAGAGCATCACGTTGCCATAGAGGAATCAGCTGAAGTAAAACAGGAAATATTTGGAAGTGATGTCAATATCCTAGAATAATGCCATACAGGGAAGGAATAAATGTATGAAAGACATTTATATATATAAATGTGCCTTCATTTCAAATGCCATATTTCAAAATCATAAAAATGTGAATATAAAACAAAGGCATGAATGTGATAAAACGACACCATCAGGTAGTACTTGTAAATAGTTACAAAAATGTAACAATTGTTACAGATGGCAAATGCCAACTGCTGGACCACCAAATGCCAGTCATAAAAATGAAGGCCATAACAATACGTAAAAAATCTAGTTTAGAAAAATATTTCTGTAATTTATACAGAAGAGATGAAATAAAGTCGAAAAAAGTATGTACTTGTACTTAGTAACATAAATACTACCCACCTGCACAAAGGGGGAACCTGTGCGTTCAATTGGGATGATTCCTACTGTCTGGTTTATATCAAGGTCAAGGATGAGGATTTCTCTTGGATACATTAAGATGAGATGGTTCCTACATGCCTCATGGAATGCTAACTGTACACAGTCATTCAACATAACAGAGTCCTCCTCTGGGGACCTAGAAACAGAAGAAAATTCAACATTACACATTATTGAATCACTGTCAACTGTACACAGTCATTCAGCATAACAGAGTCTTCCTCTGGGGATCTAGAAACAGAAGAAAATTCAACATTACACATTATTGAATCACTGTCAAGCCTGCCATTGTATGATTGTTAAAAGAATATGTAGAAACAAAACATGATCTTTCAACACTTTACATAGTAATAACATATTGATGGGATTTTTTCATTTAGATCCTCCTCAATAATGGTATCAAAAGGTCAACGTAACATTTTAGATTGGAATAAAGAAATATGGTACATGTGATACAATAATATCTCGTACAAGGATGTATATTTTCTTCATATTTAATACTTTAGTTTATTACTCTTATTTATGATCTAGGCAACAACCTATTTATAGGTAGACAAGCACGATATTGATCTTACAATGTCAAATTCTCAGAACAGAGGTATGTTTATGAGAATATTAATGACATGAACACAAATCTGAAATGATGAATTAACCCTGGTTTACATCAACCTTTTTTGAAGACCAGGCAAAAGTAATATTTGGTCCAATCAAAGAATCTTCTCAAGACAAACAAAAAACTCTCAATGAAAATTTTCAATGGACAAACAAGGCTTTAGATGTTAAAGCATTTGATTCAATGATGTTAGGATGGAATATGAATATTTTCCCATGGTATAATAATACAACATGTATTAATTTCAAATTGCCCAACCAATCAGATTGCTAGAAATGTCACATCATCATTAAATAAGTATGATGATATGCCGGTTCATGGATTTCCTGAGGTCATCTTTAAGTATACATCCTGGTTTAATTTGGTTAAAGGATACCTGCCATAAATAATCCAATTTTTTTTTATTCAATCTATAGTACTTTAAAATGTATTATAATCAATATTTGTTATTATATTATATAGAATAATTTATAATTTCATTATTTTACTTTATTATATATCATATTATATTGATTTTATATAGCGAAGCCACTCCAAAAAGAATTCAAGCAATTTCAATCTCATTTTCACTAAGTAACAGGCTTTAAATCATTTTTTCAACACATCCTTATTTTATGACATGAAATATCAACACAAGAATTCAAACCACAATAGCGAGCAGTAAAGAAACAACATCTTAAAACTCAAAAAGAAATACTCAGCTTAACACGATGAAGGTAATTACTTGATTTATTGATTAATTCAAAAAGCATGTTCATTTTTTCCTTTGCTATTAAAGATTAGATACATATATATGTAAATCACGATCACGACCACGATCACGACCACGACCACGACCACGACCAGTATGACGACTATATCCCACCGATGGTGTGATAAAAACTTGTTTTGATTGAAAAAGGGGATCCAATTTTTCAAAATAGAAAATAAGAATGACATTGATGTTGTGAGCAAACATACAAACAACCTTTGACTAATTATGTAAATTTGAGTAGGTAGTTACCAGTTTTACCACCAGGTGGCTCGTTTGGGTCAGATAGCATGGCAGGTATTGTAGAAAGTTCCTTTTAACTTAAATTACAACTGTTTTAGTGGTTCAGTATAACCCGTATGTATCTAAAAGGTGTGCAAATTAAAATATGTTCAGTAACAGAAAATGCTATCTGTCCAATACAAGAAAAGATATTTCAATTTTTGTGATTTTGTAACATGGGGTCAATGGGGAATCAACCCGAACTAGAAGTCACATTTTCAAAAAAAATTATTTTCAAAGTCGATAAACAATTTTCGAAACAATATTTCTAGATGTACTTTTACATGTAGATTTCAAATATGACATCAGTTTGAATTTTGAATATCTAACAATGTAAATCAAGATTGTTTGTACTTGTATCTAGTCTATTACATTTTGATTACAATTTTTCAGAAGCTTTTACTCTCAACTAGTCACTAGTCTTTTGTCACTTTAACCAACATTTTAACATTTTTGATTACTCAAGTCAGAACTGAATGTATCAACGCTCCTCATGAATTATATTTTCCAGATTCCAACATGGTACATGTACATGATGATATTGTTTGGTCTAATTGGCAAGATACAAACACAAGGAACAAAGCATACAGGATCCAATGACACCAAGAGCAGATCTTCATTGGATCAAGGAATAAGATCTAAGGATCGACCAACTGTTGTAAATAGGCCAATTCCAGAATTTTGCATGTGTGGCCTCAATAAATGTAACTGTGACTGTAACGAATGCACAGAATCACAAAAGGCTCATTGGTCTTTGGAAGAATTACTGGAATTCCTACCACGCAATATTTCCAAGATATATTTAACAGACTTTAACTTTGGTGTTTTGCAGAATAATACATTTAAAGACTTCCCAGACTTATTTGACATAAAAATTACTTATAGTAATTTAACAGCAGTAGAAGTAAATGCTTTCGAACATTTGGATAAACTGTTAGATATAAGTATTGCTTTGGATCATAATGATCTTCAGCGAATTGAACCAGGAGCATTTAGATGTGGCAATGGTATACTACTTCTATCAATGAACTATAATTATAATCTGGGAATTCAAAATACTCAAAACATTCTGAGTGATTTGGAGAATAAGCAAGTAAAATATATCCAAATGGATGGATGTGGTTTAGTCTTTGAAAAATTAGATGGAACATTTTTCAGACCATTGAAGGAATCCAATCTCACAACATTACACTTTCGAGGAAATATGATTAAGACATTGGCACCTGATGCCTTTGAACCAATTAAAGATCTGACATATTTATGGATTTCAAATTTTATGTATGTAAGCCCATCATCTTTCAAAATTTTACATAGTCTCAAACATTTTCGATTATTTGGAGCAATTCGGAAACCAAGTATTAAGTCAATTCCACTTACACTTGAATTAAATGGCCTCCAAAATTTAGAGGTTCTTCAACTTGATCTATCTGATGCAGCCATGAAGTTACACATAAGCCAGTTAAGAAATCTTAAGAGATTAGGGTTAGTTGATGCTCAAGACTTTGAAGGTCATCGAAAACAAGTACTTGAATTACTCAATAACTCAAAGTCACTTGCCCACGTGGACTTGTCTGGAAACCTTTTGTTTCAATACACAGACTATGAGCTATGCCAATTGTTTCAAAACAAGCAGCGTTTCACTGATCTGAGCCTCACTAGAAACTATTTATCTCATTTACCTGATTGTATGTTCCAAGGAATGTTCAACTTAAGAGTACTACTCTTATTTAAAAACAGAATTATCACAATTCAAAGGGATTTGTTTAAAGACCTTCATAATCTGAGATGGTTGGATCTGTCAGAAAACTCAATAACATTCATCAATCCCGATGACTTGGTCTCAATGCCAAACCTAGGACGATTGTATATAGACCAAAATAACTTTGAATGCAGCTGTGAATTAAAAGGCCTACGTGATGTATTAAAAACAAAATTAGACGAGCCTGGAATTTCTCCTGGGAGAAGGGTGCTGCATGGGTACCGCTTTGAAACATGCAGTTTGCCAATATCACGCAAGCATGAGTTTATTCATAACTTCACCACACCTTGGATTGAATGTAACGCTAGAATGGTTGTTATAGCATGCTCTGCAATGGGGAGTACTATTATATTCCTGGCTTTTTTAACAGCTGTTTTGTTAAGGTACTTTTGGAATGACATAAAGTACATCAAAATGGTGCGCAAAGCAAGAACACACGGGAGAAATGATCCAATACCAGAAGCTCCAAGAGAGGATGGTTTTACAATTGAGGATGATGCCTTTATCAGCTACCATAGTGATAAACAGTTGTGGATTGAACGAGATTTGTGCAGGGAGTTAGAAAATGGAGATGATATTAAGTTCACTCTGATGTATGATGATAGGATCATGCCTGGTGGCTCAATCTTTACATCACTAGGCAACGCCATCAACAGCTGTAGGAGGATTCTATTTGTGGTGAGTCGTGGATGGGTAGCAGATGCCATGAACCAGTTCGAGGTGAGTATATTATATACACTGTACTACAAGTATATGAATTTTCAAAAATTATTCGAATTAATTAAGATTCAATTTGAAAATAAATAAATGAAAAAGGTTCATGCTGCACTCACTTCAAACCATAGAAATTTAACCTGTATATCTCTAGTTTGACCGAAGATATTACAGTTTCAACCTACACCTGCATTTTCTCACTACAAGTGTATTACTACATATTTTTGTCAAGGCTAAATCATCGTGAAAATTACAGATACATATGATCTGTTTTCTGGTACAACAGGTTGATATGGCCTTGGTGAAGATGCTAGATGACCACAGGGACATGATCATTGTGCTTCTCATGGAACACATCCCTAAAACGGAGATGCCTGACAAGCTAAAAATGATGGTGAAACACAACACCTGCCTCAGGTGGAGTGACAATGAGAGACTACAGGCAAAGTTCTGGAGGGACCTAAAACTGGAACTGGGGAAACATCACTTGGAGAAAACATAAAGCCACAGTATTAGGAAAACATTGTTAATTGGAGAATACATAAAGCTTGACCATAAATTCACACACACTGAGTTTGATACATTATGTCATTATTTATCAATTATATCACTGCTCAGTGTACGGGCAAACCCATGCGGGTGTATATAGTTACATATGATTATATTATAACAATATGTCACAAACATAGTTCCAACATAGTTCTCTATTGTGAGAAAACTTACTCATACATAGCCACTTTTAAATAGTGTCTGGCTCTTTACAAGTATAATAGACGCGAATAGATGCGAGTAGAAATAATCATGATTTACGTCATTTATATATTCAAAATTAGGTCAAAGTGATGCCATATTTGAAATCTACATGTAAAAGTACATCTAGAAAATATGGTTTTGAAAATTGTTTATCAACTTTAATTTTTGGGAAAGCATGACTTCTAGTTCGGGGAGATTCCCATAGACCCCATGTTACAAAACGTGAAATATCTTTTCTTGTATTGAATAGATAATATTTTCTTTTACTGGACATATCTTAATTTGCATTAACTATTGGAGACATGAGGGTGATATGAAAATTGAACCACTGAAACAGATGAATATTTAAGTTAAAGGGAGCTTTCTACTATACCCGCCATGTTATCTGACCCGAATGAGCCACCTATTGGTGAAACTGGTAACTACCTACTCGTATCTGAGTTATTGCATTACTAAGCGTTCACTTGGTGAACCATTTTATATTTCTTCAATCAATATAAGCTTCACTATTATAAGATACTTGAGCTCATTGATAAGAGACACAACTATTCACATTCATAAGTATGTTTATTCTATCTATCTTCTTTTTAATGCCTCTGTGCATTTTCAAACAAAAAGGTGTCACGCAGGATTGTGTACCTATACATGGTGACCACAAAAACTTTGACCCATTAATTTTGGAATAACTTTTTTATTATGATGTGATCTTCTAGAATTATCATGTGGAGATATAGTGTTTCATGCGTTCCATGATGTACTTGCTGTAAAATATGTCAACCTGTTCATATTTCATGATTTTCTTAATATGTGAGCCTATTGGAGATGACAAAATTGGGACTGAGCATAAGTGTTCACAGTGAGAGGTGTTTCGGATTAGAGAGGTGTTCAGATATAGAGATTACACTGTATGTACAATAGCATCAACAACTTTGAGATGTAGAAATCATGTTTTCATTCAAATCATGCTCATATGACTCATATAATAAATCAATTTTTGAAAATACAAGTTCAGATATTTGAGGTGCCTGTTTTTGTGATTATTTAAGTTATTTCTGGATTTCATTATTAGATAAATAATGACAAAGTTTGATTTCTGGACTGGATTTCTGGACATTTTTTGCATGATTTTATGCATGCAAATGCAGAATATGATTAAGTCTCAAAGCCGCTGATTCTGCTTGTAATGTGTGTCTCACTGTTTCATGCATTGGAAACTAAAAGGGTATATTGGGTGACAAGCTCGCTTTCATTGATCAATGCGATCTTTGTGGCCAGATATGGACTACCCAACTTGCTAATTGATATTATTATGTAATATTAAATAAAGCAATTACATGTACACCAACACAAATTGTATTTGTTTTGTCCAATTAGCAACTGAGCAGATCAAAGGAAGAGACACAAAAGACAAAAGTTATTGATTTGCAATTTTGGGGTCACCCTATACATGATGACTTCCTAGTGTAGTTAGTTTTCGAAAGAAACTTTATAGTCAAATAAACATACCATATATGTACATAATATGAGCTCATCTTTGTGTTTGCTTTGAATATCCTGGTTAGGATCATCAATTATAACTTCAGAGACTGGAATGTGGGATGATCTCATAAGCATCTTTTGTATTTGATAATACTTGAAATACTATTGTGTATACAACCCAATAGAATGAAAGCCACCATTCAGCTCATTCTTGACTGTTGTTTAAGTGCACATACCTATCACTTATATTCATTATTCAAACATTTTCCCCCAATTTTGAAAACTCGTTATTCACACGAGCGATACTGTATGAGGAAATTGCATTCCTTCTCTATCACTATTCCCATTTTAAACTACTGATCTGCTCTTTTTGGTTTAGTTTCTTAAATATTGAGTGAAATGCATATTATCACACCCTAAATCCTTTAGATATTGTAAATGAAGGGTCAGCTGAGTGACCATGTTTTAAAAAGTTATCCCAAGCATTAAAATACTTCCAATTTGGTACAGAATGTAATAAATAAATAAAAATATTTAGGAATTTAAGACCTGGACTAAGTGCAATGAGAAATGACCATTCCTTAAAGGTGGGGCTTTTCAAAATTTGCACAAGATGTGGAAAATTGAGTGTTAATTTTAGGAAACAATAATTGAAAGGAATGGTCATTACACAAGGCATCGAGTCTTTGCCTTAAATTCTTTTCACATATTGCAAAATATTTTCTACAAAATCATCTACTTAAAGAACATATTTTCAATGAAACCTTTTGCAAGGGTCAAGCTGGCAAAGTATCAATTTCAATATTTAGAGTCCAGTCATCACCATGACAATGGTTTAACTAGTAACCTTGAGTTCGTTATTGGATGTATAACAGAAAGCAGTTACATGAAATAGCTTGGCTGGCTGGAATTGGACACGCCTTGCCTTGCTATGTGTGAATTCACTATCATGGGAAATATAGCATCAAGATGGTCATACAGTATATGATATATGTCCCATGATTGTGAAATTTGCGTAACCCTAATATTCTTACTTTTGTTGTTTGGGTTCACTTCCAATAAGAACTTTTGTCATCCTCTTGGTTATGGATTTCGATCCTTTTTTGTCAAATGAAGAGGATGCGTTGGATCCAGTGGGTGTGGCAGCAGCTGGAATCACAAAAATATTATACAGTACTGTATAAAAGTTTGGTTTCAGGTAATATAATTTACTTGTTACATTTCCAAATACTTGGCATTTTTATATGGTGCTCAATGCGGTATTGAATAGTAATTACATGAACTATTTTAAACGTTTTTGAAATTGATATTCAAATTACTTTTATAGCTTTCTTTGCTTTTCTCTCTTTTTTATTTATTTATTCTTTATTATTCTTTCAAAGCATTTCCTCCTACTAGCTTCCAACTATCTACTAAATGTTCTTCGTAGAACCTGGATTGAACATGGAAGGAAATTTTTTTATCTAGGTCAAGGTCAAAATCTAGATCAAATCTAAGTTTTTCAAGTTTCTCAAAGCTTGTCCTTATACTTGTACTTAATTATCTCTTTTGATGAAATACATTCTAACTAGATTTAAGCATTCTCAACAAACGTTTAGCCTTAAAAGATATTTGAATGGGACCATTTGAATTTGGTTTGGGTGAAGAGGGCAAATCCTCGAAATTAAAATAAACCTTGATTAGAATATCTTCTTATAGAAATGAGCCAAAAATTGTTAACTGAGTGAGAATAATTATGATTGGTTCTGGAATTCTGCAAAAATGCATTGCAATTTGAGTGTACCTGTATGTGGAACAATATCATGCATGTTCAATTATAAAATGTTGTTTACCTTGCGAACTTGGACTGGAGATGTAGAACTTCTTGCCATTACTGGAAGGGGCTTTGCTTATGTTGAAGTCATCCACAAACAGGATACAGTCTGAACCAAGGACTACAAATACAGAGAAGCATTTAATACTACCCCATACAATCAGGGTTCAGGACTAAGGTTGAAAATATGATTGCCCAATTTAACATATTAGCATTCAGTTGCCATTGGCAGTCAGGAAGCTATGGGTTTTGAGGCCTTATGTAACACACGAAAAACACGATTCATAATATATCACATTTTTAGACTATTTACATGTCTTACAAAAATCAGCGAAAATGTGTCAATTGATTTTATTACAAATTAAATGTTTGTTTCGGGATGCATTACTGTATTGTGAATATCATTCTACTTTGCTTCTACTATTTATTCACTGAAATATGATCGAAAAAATGATATGCACATGTAAATTATGTTTTAGTTGATAATTACAAAAAAGGTTCAAAATCTATTTGCATATAAAAAAAAGATTGAGATTTCAAAATTCTAGCATATAAAACAGAATATATCTACTTACATGCTAATTTAGAAAATTCAAATGGATCAAAAGCAAATGCCTGTAAAGTCTCAGTATAGGATTTCTTCCAAAGTTTAGTTCCAGTGTCCGCATTCCAGAGCACAAGTGTAGATGGTGGGTGGAGTGCGGCTAGCAGGTCATGAGAGGCATCCTGCCACTTCAGCCATTCTAGGTCTACAAATAACAGCCCATTTTGTAATCAACTATGTATGACACTCATTCGTGTATGACGGCAGACTCAAGACCTTGCACTCATTCATGTATAACAACAGACTCAAGACATTGTACTCATGCATGACAGCAGACTCAATATTCTGCACTCGTTCATTTATGACAGCAGACTCAGAAAAAGTAAATTATTTGAAAAGGTACATTTTAGGGTGGTTAAAATGGAATAAGAAAATCTCCCATAATCTGGCATTTACACTTTACCTGCAATAGGTCTAGATCCATCAGAGAATTCAGCCCTGATAGCTGCTGAGGCCACGTCCCAGACAATTATGCGTCCACTGGCATCAGCTGATGCTACACGCAGTGTGTAAGGACTTGTGATGTCATGATGGTAGTTCTCTCGCATCCATTTCACCTAATGTATAGATTGAAAATATAAGTCTTAAAAATGTGCTGGATGGGTTGAATGTATGTTTAATAGTAGTGGTGCAACTTGAATGCCAATACTTGCCATTCACTCATTGAATCCATCCCAGATGCTTGCTCGAACATGTTTTTTACATTCAAGTACGTAGGCATGTTGTAAAATTGTTATGTTGCGTTGTATAATAACCCAGGAATAAGTATTTTCTTTATGCACTGAACAAAAATAAAGTCACACCTCTCAATATGAACACCTTCAGTCCCAATTTTGTAATCTCCCATTGACTACCATGTAAAAGAAACCTTGAAATGTGAACACTTGCTGTTATAAACACTTTATCGCCATTCCAGTGATGTTTGGATTAAACAGGTTTTACTGTTTTAATGAGGAGTCATGACAGAAGCCTGATATTAGATTTTGATTATAAAGGTATGTTATGTTTATTTACCTTGACAACAGTTGATCTGTGTTTGTCTAGTGCTTGCACAATCTGTATAGTCTTGGGATCAAATATCACAACAAGACTTTGGCACCCATATGCCAGAAACCCTTGATAGCCCCTGAAATCATTGACAGAAGTTTAGATGTTAAATAATACTATAAGTTATTGAATGATTTGAAGTGCAATACAGGACATATTCTGCTCGAAAAATTCCGTATTGGAACAAGACGAAGTCGAGTGCCAATATAGAATATCGAGACAGAATATATCCTGTATTGCACTTCAAATCATTCAATAACGCTTTTATCGTGTGATCTTCTGTATTGCTACTGAGATTGTCCCCCTGTACCAATATTTTCTGTATTGCAACGGAGATGATCAACGGGGACAATCTCAGTAGCAATACAGATTGGTACAGCACAATAACTGACCAATCAGAAGGATTCATTTTACAGATCATACGATAAATTCATATTGACCAACATTTTGTAAAGATTCAGATTACAGAAGTTTACATGTAAAAGAATACTATAATACAAATATTCAATTCTATTCCACAAGTGTGAAAGATGTCACAGGTATTCACCAAAAATGGAATTAAATATTTGTTTTATTATTCACTGTTAAATTCCTCACTCACTTTAATGAAATAACAAACTATCTGGCACACGAACGGGGTCATATGGAGCGGGATGTGGAACCGTGAATATGGAAGAGTGAAAATTGACCAATTCTGGTTTTTTTTAGAAAACATCGCAGAATAATGAAATTCGCTCACTTGAGTCTCTAGCCAAATTACTTGCTGGAATATAGTGTTAGAAGAAGGTGGATTTGCCAAATTACCAATGCTGCTTGCACCACAAATGATTGGTGCACGGTATAGATAGAAGACAATTATTGCTTACATTACATCTATAACAATAGTATTACTGAAAATATCGAAATAATATGTTATCAAAGTTGTCGCAATAACATACCAATCACACGCCCCTTTATTCAATGTGTTCGATATCCCAGTGATGGTCTTTGGAGCCAACTTCATATTCATTCGAATCTTAAGCTCATCTGTCTTTCCAGCTGCATCCACTCGAGTCATTGAGACCTTACTTAAGTTAGGATTGGCCACTGACATTAGTTTATTCTGCAAATTCTAAATTGATTCAAAAATTTTCATTTTTCAGGAAATCAACACCAGACAAGACTAATCAATCAATAATATTTTTCATTGGTCACTCAGGGAAATTTTGCTACAAATCTAATGAAATTGCTTCTATATATGATAAATCGAGTTTAAAAATTATTATATTGGCTAGAGATGTAATATAGAAACGGATAATCAACGAAAATAACTAGATAAATGTTGCTTGATTAGTACAGAATATGGCATTGTGGGATAGAAAAATCGTCAGCTTTGAAAATATTGAAAATTTTCTCCACACCTGCGTTCCTTACTCTTGATTGAATGAATAAAACCTTATGATATAATTAGCGGAAATATATAGTATAGTTATCTATACACAAAGTAACAAATAACGGGGTATACTTAAACAACTAGCACAAAAATGACTCTTCAAATAATCAAATTTTGACACGTTCACGAATTTTTTCAGAGAAAAACATTTTATTTTCCTTTTTTATTTATTGTATAAATGAACAGGAATAAATTATAACACATCAGGATGGATAAGAGGATATTGATCGAAGTGTTTGGCAGAGTTCTCCTGATCTGTATATTTGTGTAAGTACTGAATTATATAACAATTTACCCTATTATCGCCCACTACAGTATGCTTCAAAGGCAAGTAGTATGCATAGAACCTGACAGATAAGAAAGACTATTGTACAATAAAATATAGAAAAATATATTCATATTGCACACAAATGACATTTGTATATCTTGGATTGCTTGTGAATTGGCTTATAAAGTCTGTAACCTCTTATATTTTGATAGACGTCAATACGCCCAAATCCAAACAGGGGGGTAAACACGAACGGGTTCCAAATAATGGCAAGCAGATCATTAAATTGAATAATAGTACCTCTACTACCTCTTCATAATATTTATAGCCTGAAAGATACAATATAATGATGTATACCAACAATCTTACAATAAAATAATCAATTATGATGATTTAGGTGTTCGGAATTACCCCCATGCTAGTGTTTGGAATTACCCCCACAAACTATGTACGCTTAAATAAATAGATGTCAGTAATAAATGATTTAAATTTGGGTTTCTTGATATGCAGGGGTGACAGGATCCAGTATCATAAGTTAAGGGTATCATATAATGATATACCATCAATCTAATAATTAAAACAATTAAGTTTAAGTTAAGTGTTTGGAATTACCCCCATGCAAGTGTTCGGATTTACCCCCCAAAAAAACTCCTGTTCAGAATTACCCCCCTAAAATACCTTGTAGTAAAAATGGAATAACCCAGATATTTTTTACAATTTTTCGTAATTTTTTCTGCAAATGCATTCTACAGTGGATAATACACATAATATATATAGAATCATAGCATAGATGTGCAGTACAGCCAAGCTAACTACATCTTTTGATGGGGGTGTTTGGAAATAGACGTACTGACTCTACTTTCTGCCTAGACTAGATCTACAGTGGGGGACAAAAATAAAACTCAACATTCACAAGTTGTCACAATGAGCTAATTTCCAAGTTTCGTGTCTCAAACTCTCTCAAGCGGTAGAAAAATAATTCCCGTTCACTAAAGTAGCACAATAAATGAATCCAAAGCTTCATACCTGCAAATAATGGATAAATCCCTACCAAATCAAATGAATGTTTTCATGAATCGCCATGTTTGTTATCCAAGGACGGTTGACTCCCAGAATGCAACATCAGTTACCGTATTTACTCATGACAGGTTTCAAAATTGTGGAACAGCATTTTGAAAGCTGGCACGTGTCATGTTGCATTCTGGGAGCCAATCCTCCGTTCCGGCGCAGGTGGGCGACAAAATCACCTCAACATTTGAAGAGTCGGCATAACATGTGAATATCCACTTCGACTTTTGAAGTTCTTATTTGTCATTAGGGACACAAATTCCACTATATTTGGACTTACTCAGACGGAGAAAATAGAGCACTGAATACACTGAGGTAAGAATTTATTACATGTGCGACAGCATGTAATTTTCATAGCTGTTGCAATTCTTTATGATCCCCACTGTATCCTTCGTCTGAATAAATTCAAACTATAAGTTTCCTATTGTAAAATGTGGTGTTGGATAAATGTTACGATAAGTTTGTTTAATGATAAAATGAATTGCTATGAAGAAATTACAATACTGTTTTTACGTATATTGTCCTCTTACTGAAGATATTCATAAAATATACAGAATCTTCTTGTACTGAAGGCATTGATAAGGTCTAGCCGTTTTGGCAATTTCAATTCTCAGATTAAACGAGATTTAACTAATGACGTCAGTCTATTTGTAAACAAATAACACGTGGAGAGGTCTATGTCTATGTCAATAATCTGCAAAAGGCCTGATAAGCCCATATTAAAGCAGATATACTGTACATGCAGGGCTGCGAGAGCGAAGCGACTGCGCAAGCGGAGCGAGCCTAAGCTAGGGGGTCCGGGAGTTCTTCCCCCAGAAAATTTTTATAATGTACATTTCATATGGTGCATTCTAAGCATTTCTGGCAATAATTTGGTAACGTTTTTTCATAAAATTTAGATTTCAAATTTCCCGCAAAAAATAATTGCAAAAATTCTTATATGCTCAGCTAAAAGCTAATATCGTGTAAAATCATGATTTATAAACAAATTGTGAATTTTGGCTGTGGTTACTACAGTTTAGACTGTGGTTACTACCTTCTATGATAGATAGGTTGTGGCGGCACTCAATTAGAGTTTGGCGCCCCGCCACACTCTAAAAGCGTAGCGAGAGCCCTGACATGTATAATTATATTTAGGTGGGTGGAAACATTATGGAAGCGTATTTATAAATGGAATTTGTGTCTATGTGAATAACATATTACGATTCTTACAATTCAGTTTTGAGTTTTGGTAGTTAATGGCCCTTAATTATTGACTAATGAGGTTGACTGACCAGCTTCTATTTACCTTATACTAAGAATTAGCATAATTTTGGCTGCATAAGATGATATCTCATCAGAATCCTCAATCTATGACAAATTAATAGGGTTTTGGAAATATCAGAAATATCAGGCTGATATTCCAAGGTATGAACACATCATACCTTGGAAATCCAAGATGCATCAGAGGTTAACATGACAAAGTTGCTCTGATTTAGGTCGATATCATATTATAATATTACAAGTTAGTATATCAGTATTTAGAAAGGGACCTAGGAATTGTTATAACATAAGGGCAAGTACAATTAGCAGTAGTTATACTTAACAAAAGATTAATAGAAACAATTTTATAATGAGGCCATAATAATGCCGAAATCAAATTTAATCTTAATGGTTTACATTTAATTTTTGTGATTTTCAGTTATACTGAGGAACTTACACCATTTTTTCGAGAGATCCAACCTGAAGAAATGTGGCTTTACAAGAATCCTCGCACAACCAGTTTTGTTCCGTCACCACTTCTTTGGGTAGGTACACATCCCTAAAAAGCATGTCAAAAAAATGTTTATAAGCCTTGAAATGATTACTTATTTAAATAAAGGGACTAGAATGGATAGAGAAAAGTTGTGAGTACGTTCAGGAAGTTTTTCACAATGTAACAATATTTTTGCTCTTATCATGATTCCATGTCATGCTTATTTTCCCCAGACGAACAGATCTGACTGTTCCTGATTTTAGGATAACCCTTTGCTTTTTAAGGTGTAATGAATTTGGACATTTCTGGATCTTAGATCTCAATGGTTTGGCTTGAAACATGTATTGTATAAACACTTTATAGGACAGAAAATTCATAATGGCTACCTCAACATTGACCAATAATTCAAAAAACTAATCAGTTTTAGATTATCATAAAAAGAAACACCCCTGAAAATTTGAAATCAAACCATCAAACATTTTGCCTGGAATAATGTAGACAATAGATACTACGTCTTTACATACAAGATTTTAGGCTGAAAACCCAAAATGTTCACCTTAACATTTACAAAGAATTCCCAAAAACTAATCATCTCTAGATTTTCATACAAAGAAACATTCCTGGAAATTTGAAATCAATCCATCAAATAGTTTGTCTGAAAATCCATAATGGCCACGCCAAAACTAATTATTAGTTTGATATTTTCATTCAAAGAAACATCCTTTAAAATTTGAAATCAATCCATCAAATATATAAAGTGACATAAACACGTATATACCATTGTAAATACCGTTATGTGGCACCTAATACTCCCTCTTAGGGGTCAAAGCCACTACAACCTGTAAATATGTTACATTGATTTTAATAAAAAATAAATGAAATAAAATAAAAAATGAACAGCTATACATTGAGGATAAACTGAACAATTTTGACAGTCATTGAGTATATTAAAGTAATTGTTGTTTCCAACGTATGAAAATCTATAACTGATAAGTTTTAGCCCATTCTGTCTGTCTGTCCGTCAACAATAGTGGCATGTTTTAAAGCCTCTGTCGATAGGATTCCTGTTTTAAGTTATTTCTGTTCAACTTCAATACAGAAAAGTCCCCTATGACTCCTGGTTCAAAAGCTCGCCTATTTTCAAAATGGCCACCATTTTTGTCTCGCGAAATTCACTTTTGAGTGGCACGTTTTAAAACCTCTGTCGATAGGATTCCTGTTTTAAGTTATTTCTGTTCAACATCAATACAGAAAAGTCCCCTATGACTCCTGGTTCAAAAGCTCGCCTATTTTCAAAATGGCCGCCATTTTTGTCTCGCGAAATTCCCTTTTGACCCATTTCCTAGCTTTACAAATAATTTCAGGTGTCCTACATTGTAAAAATCCATGTCAATGTAAAGAGTAGATATATGAAATAATTTTGTTACAAAAAATCAGCGAAAAATTGTATCCATTTTTTTTATTTTTCAGCCATTTTAGTTAACATTGATTTGTCTATCTGACTTGTGAAATCCACTTTTCCGTCAACAACAGTGGTACGTTTTAAAACTTCTGTCGATAGGATTCCTGTTTTAAGTTATTTCTGTTCAACATCAATACAGAAAACTCCCCATTGACTCCTGGCTCAAAAGCTCGCCTATTTTCAAAATGGCCGCCATTTTTGTCTCGCGAAATTCACTTTTGACCTATTTCCTAGCTTTACAAATAATTTCAAGTGTCCTACATTGTAAAAATCCATGTCAATGTAAAGAGTAGATGTATGAAATAATTTTGTTACGAAAAATCAGCAAAAAATTATATCCATTTTTTTTATTTTCAGCCATTTTAGTTAACATTGATTTGTCCATCTGTCTCGCAAAATCCACTTTTGGACCATTTGCCTTAAACCCTCTGTCGATAGGATTCCCGTTTAAGTTAATTTTGTTCAACATCAATACAAAAAACTCTCCTATGACTCTTGGTTCAAAAGCTCGCCTATTTTCAAAATGGTCACCATTCTTGTCTCGCGAAATTCACTTTTGGCCCATTTCCTAGCTTTACAAATAATTTCAGCTGTCCTGCATTGTAAAAAGCCATGTCACTGTAAAGAGTAGTTGTATGAAATAATTTTGTTACAAAAAATCGGCAAAATATTATATCCGTTTTTTTTATCTTCAGCCATTTTAGTTAACATTGATTTCGTCCATCTGTCTCTTAGTCAGTCCAAAATAGTGGCAAATTTTAAACCTCTGTCAACACTTTTTAAATCCTCTGTAGATAGGATTTCCGATTTAAAATATTTTTGTTCAACATCAATAAAGAAAAAAAAACTGTGACTCCTGCTTCAAAATCTCGCCTATTTTCAAAATGGCAACCATTTTTGTCTCGGGGAAATTCACTTTTGGCCCATTTCCTAGCTTTACAAATAAGTTCAGGTGTCCTGCATTGTAAAAAGCCATGTCTTTGTAAAGAGTAGTTGTATGAAATTATTTTGTCACAAAAAATCTGCAAAAAATGATACCCGTCTTTTTTATTTTCACTTTTGAGCAACACCATGTGAGCCCAGTACCCACGGTACTAATTTTTACTTAACATGTACTAGGTAATTCATAAACTTTTGTATTAATAATATTTCATTTTCAGATGCTTGTTGCGTTAGCTCAGATTACCATAATAGTTGTAGGAATTATACGTAAAGACAAATTGGACACCATGTATGCATTGTTAGGTAACTACTGCAATTTGTGGGCACTTTGAGCATGTTGAATTTTTGAGCAAAATGTCAATATATTTAAAAGCATCAATATTTTATGTCAGAGTTAGAGTGAATGGGTCAGAATTCAATATTTACAGAAATTAATATTCTTATCTTCAATAAGTGTCGATAAATTACCAAACTTCTCTTTTATTTGGCATCAAAATGTCACATTTTTGACTGCTTTTTATTTTTGAATTTTTTTTTGTAGGTATAAATCTTAGTACATTTCTAAATGGTATTGTGACAAATGTCATCAAGAATATAGTAGGAAGGTAAATTCATTATTTTTTATAAAATAGACTATTAGGGCTATTTGTATGAGAATATGTGATAATGTGTGAAGACTGCCACCAAATGCATTACATAGTGTGTCCATTGTACATATTTTGGTTCTATAAATCTAAAAATAAATGTACCATTGTACCTCTGGCTCCCCTAATACATTCTGCAAGATTCTACATTTCATTTTGAAAAGTAAGCTTTTGGAGTTTTTGTTAGTGATTTTTTTGTTAACTTATGGCTAAGTTGACACAAAAGTGGCAAATCCTTGGCAGAAGTGTCAATTCGAAGTCCTTTTTATGCCTGAAAAGTGAAAGTGCCTTGTCAAGTGCTACCGTTTATTGTATTGGACTTAAAAATTTTGAATAATACCCTTGTTTACTCTAATTTGTTTCACTTGTTTCAGACCAAGACCAGATTTCTTCTATCGTTGTTTTCCTGATGGTATATATCGTGAGGGAATGAAATGTACAGGAAAACTAGATGTTATCATAGAGGGACGAAAGAGTTTCCCAAGTGGTCATTCTTCATGTAGGTTGTTTTATTCCATCTTGGTTTATTTCATTTTTATCTCACAACATATTTTTATAGTCTCCAACTTTTTTGTAAATGGTGTTCAGCATTTTGCCCTTGTCATTCAGCATCTGTAACAAATGGCAGGTGGTGACATTTTGCATGTTAATGCCTTGTTTGCAAATGTGACATCTTGCAGGTGTTATTCATTAAGTTGGTGAAAAAAAATTAAAAGATTTCAAAAGTTTCTGGCCTTTTGCATTAGAAATATATTTTTTATTTTCAGTGGCATTTGCTAGTCTTGGGTTCCTAACATGGTTCTTATGTGGAAAATTACAGCCATTTACAAGTGTTGGTCGGGGCCAGTCTTGGAGACTAATATTAACCTTTTTTCCAATGTTCCTGGCCCTCTGTACAGCTTTGTCTCGCACTTGTGACTATCATCACCACTGGCAAGGTAATTACTAATGAGCCATTTATACAGTACTCTCAGTATTTTTCTCGATATTCACGATTGTCAGAAAAACATCAAAAATAATTGTCGCAAAATTTAGTAATTGTAAATCTTATCCAAATATGACATTTGGTAGGTGTAATTACTGCACATAAGGTAACTTAGTTTACAGAGCTTGATGATTCAGAGAATAAGAATATTTAAACTTACGAAATCCACAAAATTTAAATATAAAAGCTTCGAAATACAGTGTACATGTACTTACTTATTTACCACAGCACAGAGTCTTCTTTATTATATGATCCCCTATGATGGGCAGGCATACAGAATTAAATAAATATATAATAAGCAATATTTAGATAACAGATCAAAACTTTTTTTCTTTTCACTGAACTCTTTATTAGCTCACTCAGCATCCTTTTGTTGGCCCATCCATCAGTCTGTCCATCAACATTGTGGTTTAAATTAAAACATCTATTTGCATTTATGTTTATTCATAGTACATGTATCTACTAGTATTTTACCTGTCATCCCCATTTCCCAAGTCATCTCTGTTTTCAAGAAATTTTTGACGTAAAATTTACATTTTTTGGTTCAACATATGTTCTGGACATTGGATAATATACATGTATGTTGAACTAAAAATGAGACAAAAAATGATTGACATGTTGTTTCTATTCCAGATGTTACAGTTGGTTCGCTTATGGGACTGTCATTCTCATATCTCTCATATAGACAGTATTACCCACCAGTGTCTTCCGAGGACTGTCATACACCATACGCTTGCCAGACTTTACAGACATTACATAAGTCAGCTAGCTCAAAGGACTTCAACAATGGACAGAAGATTCCCACCAGCCCAGCACCGCAGTATGATAGCTACATGGATAGTGCAAGCAAAATTATATAGGAAGGATTCAGCGTAAAGATACAGACTCTGTTGATAAGAGTGAGGCCTTTCTCGGTTCTTGTCTCTCAGTATTGTTTTTCGAATCATATACTTAACATGGTGGGCCTCATTGTAGATTTTCAATTCATGACAGAAATATGTCAATATCAATGGTTATTGATATTGTCATATTGATTATTGAAATCATGGTTATGACTGACCAAACTCAACTATTGATGCTTTCCATTTTGGTGCTATACAGCAAGTACATCTACAATTATGAAAGTGTGTACAGCAAGCACCTGCACATGATACAGTATAAAGTGCATGTGACTTAGTTGGGTACATATATAGACTATAGAGGTTATATAATGGGAGGGATGGAATATGAATTTTATTCAGAGCAAAAATATGATATTGCCCAAGGAAAATATCATATTGACTGAGGGCGATAGCTGGAGTGTCAATGTGTGGTTTTCCGATCCAGTTTGGGAATTTGGCTGATACAGGATCTGATACTGGATTTTTTTAATCAATTCTATTATGTTTATTTCCCAGGGAAAACCCAGGGAAAACATGTTATTATGGAATAATAAGTGATTACTTAATATTAAATAAATGTATACAATGACAATTAGTCATTGTTGTACGATGACAAATTAGTCATTGTATTAGACCTAGAATAGGTCTGTGCCTTTAACATATATACAGTAACATATTTCAATAAGGGCATGAGAGTAACAAGATGCATTCCCTTTCATTGTTCAGATATACTGGATCTCAATACATATACTTATTTCATATTATTCCTACAAAGGAAGTGTGAGAAAGTCCCATTGTAAAAAAACTGTGATCACATATGGTTTTGAATATTTATTCAAGTTTTTATTCATGAATATATATTTTTAAAAATGTTTTTGATGTGAAAAGATGAAATGTGATTAAAATCAATTAGTCTGTATATGTCTTATATACAGTATACACCAATATTTCACCAATACAATTTACATGTATATAAAAGAAATTGGTTTGATATAGGCCAGTGGTATGTGCAATGGTCATTTCAAACAACTCATGATAAATACTTTATTTATTAGGAAAATTTTATATCACCATGACAAACTACTTTTGCATCATTGAAATACTTAGAGTCTCATTATTTTTTGTCAAATAAATCCATGATTTCCATTTCTCTAATCAGTCCAGATCAATATCAGGCCTCCTAGACTTCCAACAACGCGAACATCAGTTCTGATACCGCGAACTACGTTCCTTGCACTCGAACCACGAATCTCATATCGCGAACGTGAAATCTTATGTCGCGCACCACCATTTCCTTGTTTCCGAACATATTTCTTGTACCGCGCACAGAGATCCGTTACCGCGAACCACGCATCTGATCGAAAAAAAGTCCGTAATTTTGTTCGTATTATTACGCATAAGTAAAATTCCAAGGAAGTGTTTTCATATGGAATTCGGAAGAAATATTTTCCCAGTTTTCATCCATGTGAATGAATATCCACTCATTGACGATAACAGTATTTTCAAGCTCTAGGAAACACAAAATATTGGGACTACCTTGCAATCACGCGCATTGACATTTTCAGTGAAAGGGCTGGGTAATAACAACAAAAACAAAAACCTGACTTTTGAGTAACAACACGTATGGCCAAATTAGTGACAGCTTTTTCCAATTTTGTCCATTTGAGCCGATGATTGCATCGGAATAAAGAAATGAGTTACCCTATGTACAATATTCCTGATTTTATAGAATACTTGATGTGCTATATCTGTAGCTCCAGCTACTGATAATTTGAAGATGCTACCCTTTGCCATGAAAACTTAACTTAAATGTTGCCCCCCCCCATTACGGCTTGTGGGATTAACTGTTTACATACAGGAAAATAACAATCTATCATCCTGTTAAAGATTTTAACACTTGGTTTTGTTTCAAAACATATCAAATGACTACTAAATCGTAATTTTAGAGTAAGGGCTAAGAATACTAATCTTTGACCGTCTGAGATAAATGTGTGTTGACGAGTCATGTAGTTAATAACTCTTGGTTTTAAAACCGAAGCTTTCATTGTGGGCTGTTCTGCCCCACCCATGGGCCATTTTGCCCTACTCTCCACATTATTCTCGAACACTGAAAAATCACAGAAAATGTGAAATATAATCCCTTCATAAGATGGAACATGAAAGTTCGCGATGATTGACAGATTAGAAAAACCTCTGCACGGATCAAATTATTATGAGGGCCGTTTTGCCCCATGTTCCCAAAAAATTCCCGACTCCAGGACGATATCTGACCCAAGACATGTGGAGCGCTAAAATGTCGGACCCTATTTTTCTGGGCCCATCTCAGAGGGATAACTGATTACTACAATGTAGGTGTACTGTATAAGAGTAAACCTTGTAGTTTAAGGTCGCATGATGCAGTGTGACCAGGATCACACTGACCATGGTCAGAATGACCCTAGACATGATGAAATAACTTTTTCAGCCCTCTGAAAAGGTCAATGTAAATAGCTTTAAGTAGGAGCATAGGAAAGGTAAATGAACAGGATCTTTTGAATTCTTCAGAAAATGTGCCCAATATATTGCTCTAAATGATACAATCTTTAAAATTTTAGAAACTTTTCTGAAAAAATGGCGGTCATAAAAAGGAAAAAATATCGCTTTTCAATTCAGTTTTTTGATTTTTTTCTTTTTCAACGAATGATATCAAATTTCCCAAGATTGTATCAGTGAGAGCAATATATTAGGCACATTTTCTGAAAAATGCAAGAGATTCTGTTCAGTGACCTTTCCTAAGCTCCTACTTTTATCTATTTTTCAGTCACAAATTTCAAAGGGCTGAAAAATTAATTTCATCATGTCTAGGGTCAACCTGACCATGGTCATTGTGATCAATGAAAAAAGATTAACTATACAAAAGCATGAGTCACAAAAATGGATGTCGGGAACTTGATCATCGGTGCAAGCGTGTGATATACTAGTGTCAAGACAGTTTCTGGTCCAACCACAGCTATCACACACCTCTACACTTTCGTTGTGGTTCTTACAAATGACATCTCCTATTACACCACACCGTGCGCAGATACTCTCTGATCCCAAAAATGAATGACTGTGGGACGCAGTGCTATCCTTTGACACATCATTTAAAATCCTGCCAACTCGGGGCGTGGATGCTAATCTTGCATGCTTTTCAAAGGAACGAAAGTCCGCCGAAAGCGGAGGAGAAACTGAATTTCGTTTCCTTGTTTCACTCCGTTGCATATTAGTGGTATATACATGTAACTTGGAATCCCAAACACCCGGATGTATTATGTACAAATTGTTCGCGGTAACGGATCTCTGTGCGAGGTACAAGAAATATGTTCGGAAACAAGGAAATGGTGGTGCGCGACATAAGATTTCACCTTCGCGATATGAGATTCGTGGTTCGAGTGCAAGGAACGTAGTTCGCGGTATCAGAACTGATGTTCGCGTTGTTGGAAGTCTAGGAGGCCTGAATATGTCCATTCAAATTGATGTATCTATCAAATATATTAGGGTTTTTATCACATGGTTAGGAGTTTCTAAGCATTTTGATTGGTCAATTGTGACGGTTTATATTCCGTATCACATGACACGTGACTAATTTTCATGTGCTACGGTGGGCTGTATTACTACGGAGTCAATAGTAATGACGTCACTGGTTATATCACTTTGTAGCTAAAGAAAACAGTATGACATATCATTTCACTAACAAGTATGAATACAACAGTATGACATCACGTTATTTCAAAGGGAACTTTCAAAACACACAAAATTATAACAGTTACCAGGAGTACAGAGTACTGAACAGCTGAACACAATTATAATGACCAAATCAAAATGCTTCAATTAAACATTTCAAGACATGTGATAAAATCATAATCACATGTTTCAGCTTATGTGATACAGGAAATATTCCACTTGGATAAGAATGTATCACCACTCAAGCTTCGTTTTCGTGGATGATACAATATTACCTTTCATGGAATATTTCCTGTATCACATGCTGAAACATGTGATAACTATTATTTTAGGTTTTTGATTTGAACTAGTTATCAAATAAATTAAATTTGGAATCTGCACAACATTCCACCATAAATGACAGGAACATCAACTACCTGTAATGATATTTGATGTGATTCAATGTTTTGAGTGATATTATTTTTATGAAGTTACAATATCAATACGACAGCATAAGTTGGTATATTTATCCCATGATCATTTCCAAAATGTATTCAACTAGTTAGTGTTTCAAATATTGCTCTGATATCAATGCTATTATTATGTCACCACCAGAAGTGGTGACATATTGTTTGTCTCTAACTTTATTGTGAACAACGGTAAGCATTTGGTGATTGACATTTGGTGGTTGGCATCTTTAACAAATGGTAGGTGGTGACATTTTGCATGTTAATGCCTTGTTCCACTTGCATAATCGCTTGCATACTCTTGGGATAAGTGTGTGTTTTTAGAGTTCATGGGTGTATGTGCTACTATTTATTCTGCTCAGGGTATGAAGGTTTAGAATAATTTATGAACATACTATATTATGTTCTGTATGCTAGTACTTTGTTATTTTTGTTGTTGTTGTTGAACTAGTACTATCAATGCTTGTCAATTATGTAATTACATGTATCTGAGAGTGTGTGCTTCCAATTAATGTAAGACTGTTACAAAATATTTTCTGTTTAGTCTTTTAAACTGCTTCATGATAACCAGTTGAACCTGGAAAATAATAATAAAAATAATCTAAGGGCCAATGTGCAATATTATATGGAAAAACATATTCATACTGCACATAAATTACATTTCTATATTTCAGATTTTTTAGATTTTCGTGCAATAAGCCTGTGTCATGTAATTTTTTTTAATCAATAGTCTATAGATTTCATATTTTTTAGGTTCAACTGGTTATTATGAAGCTGAGGGTCATTAACAGAAACTTCATAAAGTTACAAATTCGTAACCATGGTTATAATGACATCACAGTTAGAGAACAATGGATTTTACAAATTCTAACTAACGAAGTTTCTGTTAATGGCCCCCAGATTAGCAGACTGTAGCAGTGCGTAATGGGTCATTCCTTCCTATAGTATATATGTGCAACTGCTGAATGGACATCAACCTGTAGTGGCCTTACCACTCTAACCATCTTAGTGACAGTAATAATAGAATGTTGCAGTATTGAAACTTGTATATTCAAACACCTCTCAATGTGAACACTCTTTTGGTCCTATCTTGATCTGCCATAGATTTCCATGTTAAAACTTGAAATGTGAACATTTGCCAATCTGAACAGTTTTGACTTGTTCAAGTGGTTTTTGGATTAGACAGGTTCTACTGTACAACTTAAATACATTGTATGTGCATTTGTTTATGTTTTAGAGGTAATGCTATATTTTGTAAGACATTCTGCTTGGTTATCTCACATATTATATCATGACATTTTCTGTAATATTATTTAATTATGTTATATGCTGCAGAATGAATTAAGAAATTCAGATTCAAGTTTACATTCAGCGAGGGCTGAAAAGGAAGCTGTTGAAATGTTTAATGTAGATAGCTAACCAAATGTAATAGGAAGGGTATGAATAAACTATCATAATTTCTATCTATTTACTTGTATTTGCAACTTTGATCTTTTTGGCATGCTACAATTAACAGTTATCGTATTTAACTACTGTCACTAAAGTGTAGATGAAGAATTGACTGATTTAGCAGTGAGATATTTAACTTTTGAACTGCTCCTTTTAGCCTGAAGTTTTTATCAAAGCACACATTCAAATATAATGCATCCTGTTAGACTAATTTTATTATGAAAAATATGATAAATACATGAAAATAACATAGAAGTTTTGTTTATTTCTCAATTTTTCTTCATAGTAATACTCGTATAGTAGTAATTGTAGACAAAGCAAAAAACTTTCCATGCAATACTGATAATGTAGGGCACAATAAGTTTGTCAAACTGTTTCTGCAGTTATTGAGGAGACTAAATGAGTCAATGTCAGTCCTCTGGAAAATGCCTTTACACTTGCATTTAAAGTTTTGATTGGTTCTTGGGTTTTATTAATTTAAGACTTTCATCTTCCTCAACCAACAATGATGGGAACTTCCTAGGCATCATCCTTGGAGGTTCAACATCAGGGTTACATCTGTATACACTGAAGTCTGTTACCCCCTTGCTGTGCAAGTAGTCCTCATCTAATAAAGCTTCACCATTCAAACTGGAATACAGTACATAAAGATTATTTTATACTAGGGATAGGATATGGATGGTATCGAGAGAAATTATGATATTTGAGGGACCTTTTAATAAATATATCGTAATTACTAGCTGGGAGGAAAGGGTATGGATTTAATCCAACATGGCTGATATAAGATACAGATATAATATTTTGAAACATTTATTATTCTTTTTTTATCCCAGAAAAGTCAGATTATGGATTGAATTTATGTGTATTGTGATAACATTTTTTGAAGTTATTTGAAGTGTCTTCAGTTCATACACAGTGTAAATACCTTTGGGCATCATCTTTACCAATTTCAAGGCAAGCATCAGCAAATATTGTTGATTTACGCATCACATCTTGGGGGACATTTTGTTGCTGGGTCACAAAGCTCTCAATACCAGTAGCTGGCCATAGGGCTGTCACACTTACACCTAGAATATCAATACATGTATGTCACACTTACACCTAGGATTTCAATGCAGAAGTCACACTTAATCTAGAATGTCCAAATATTTATGTCACACTTACACAAATTATATTGATGCATGCATGTCTCACACACATCTAACATGTATATGCATAACTTAATGCACAATATATTGAATACATGAGTCAGAAATGAAATCTTATGTCACACTTATGTAGCTTGAAAATATATTGCCAGTATATTTATGAAGATATTCTAAATGTATTAATGGAAAGTCTTTCTTTCACCTTTAAGCAAATTCTCTACTTAGCAATTAGCTTCTGCTTATATATTCATTCATAATCATTTAAAACATGGCCTCACCCGTGCCCTTGAGCTCATTAGCAAGTCCATGTACAAGAACTGTCATCCCAACCTTTGTGATTGAATATGGTGTTTTGCCTTTGAAGAACCTATTCATAAAAAGTAAAGAAGATTTAATGACTATGTAAGTAGCCTATTATCAGGAGTTTCAAAACTAAACAAATCATGACATAACACTAAATAAAAACTGAATAAATAATGACATAACATTTTGGTTTTGAATTTTTTCTCTGAACACAGTCTTGAGGAAGACTATGAAATTTAATATACGTGTACAGTGAAACCTGTAAAGTGAAACACTTTTAGAAGTTGAACATCTCTGTTAGTGGAACAAAGACCAAATGACTAAATTTTAAATGGACCTTTATAAGTGGAACAGTTTTATAGGTACCAAATGTGTTTCACTTAAACAGGTTTTACTGTACATGTATTTACAGCATACATACCTGCTGTATATAGGTGGTGCTACAAGAAGTATCTTCCCAGACCCTTGTTCTATGAAGTATGGTAGCACCTTCTGGACCATAACATAAGCACCTCTTACATTCACCGAGTGCATCAGGTCATACCTGAACATTTCAAACAAATGAGGTTAGAGGATAGGAAACTACCACTATGAACTACTTGTGTATTGAAATATTTCGATTGATAATAAGTTGGATAAAAAGTGGTTATAAAATTCAGCTTTCTACTGACATCATTTTTCAACAGCAAGATTTCAATACAAAAGTTGTTGTGGAGGTGATTTGAAAAATCAACTCCACATTTATGGGGGTATGTAATGCAATACTGTAACTCAGCCTAATGACAGCCATCATCCATCAAGTGACGCTGACAACAAGTTGCAAACGCAAAATTGATGCTCATAAATGATGATCAAGATGAAAATCATAATGATATAATGGCAACAATAAAGATTATACTTATGATGACCATGTTTAAAACATCGATTGACATTATGACAACAATTATGATCATGCTTACTTTGATGTTGATCAAGGTGATAATCATAGTGAAAATAGGATGAAAGGGAAGTAGATGATGACAATTAAGAAAAAATGATCACTTATATCATTATCAAGAATAATAGTGCACCTCTTTAAAGGGGTATCAATAACGGGCTTCCATAAGATTGCTCCAGCATTATAAATTGCATAGTCCAACTTTCCAAATGTCTCGATACAAGTATCAACAGCCCCATCTATCTCTGACGGATTGCGGCAATCACATTTAATAGCAACTGCCTTCCCACCAGCATCCTCGATCTCTGCTGTCACACTATGTATCGTCCCTGGAAGTGAGGCAGTTTGGGCAGTTGTTTTGGATGCTACACCAACTTTGTAGCCATTTTCTGCTAGGGAAAGAGCAATTTGACGACCGATTCCACGAGATGCACCAAGTACTAAAGCAACTTTAGAACTCATGTTGACCCAGTCATTCGAGATTAGTGGTACTGTATGGAGTCCTGTAAAAGGAAAACAAACAGAGAACCATAGCCCAAGGGAAAATAGCATTAGCCCAATGTAGAAAGTCTTTCAAGATTGAGCTGATGCATTTCATTTGGCCTATAGAGAATAGATGTAAATGCCAATGTTAGTATATTATACATAATTTAATTACTGACAACACAAACCACCAAACAAACAAAAATACATATGTTAGTATTAATCAACCTTTAGTCCAAATTCCAAATCATCTCTGTATAAAATGTCACTGTGCATGCACTAAAGTACAGCAAGTACACTTTGATGACCTTGGGGACTAGTCATTTTCTTCTGTAGTTCACACAACTATTTCATTTTGAATATGAAGAGCATGACAAATAGCTCAAGTATATCATGATTGTATTATCCACATGTTATAAATGTTTGATTCAACACATTTGTGTACTTATCTCACATATTAGCCTTGCCCCAAGTCGGTATTTTTTACTTTATCTGATCTGAAATCAAGATAAGTAAAAGAGACCGACTTGGGGCAAGGCTACTCACATATCAACCAATAATAAAAGTTCATGTCATTGTTTACATTTTGTAAGTTATTGTAGATCACATGACCAATCATATGACCTGACCTATTTACTGTCCTTCAGCAATTTTGATTTTCTAGGACATTTCGCACCGACTTGAACGCCAAAGACAACTGATAAAATGGCTTCAATGCGATCGGGAACTAGGCTATTTAGGTTCATAAACAGCTCAAGAGGTAATATCATATATAGTTTGCAAAGAACAGGCATTGGTTCTCAGAGAAATAAGATAAACTTGTTATGAAATTTTTAAAAATTGAAAACCATGATGGCTGCTCATTTTGACCTATATTGTAAATGCTGATTTCAGGATTTCTTGAATTGCTTGACCTCTACATCTGCAAAATTACATATGCCAGTTTTACTCAAAATATTCATTATAAATAGAATCTTATTGTTATGTCTAACATTACCTAACAAAAACATCAAGGTTTCAAAACCTGTTTCATAAAAAACTTAGACTATATCCTATTTAGTCTGAATTATATTCAGACTGACTTCTAGTCAGTCTGTTGGATACATACTAATAAAAAACTGAGAACCTCAAATGACTCCACACTGGTCCAATTTATGTAAAACAATTATTAGTCATAATTTAAACACACAAAGACATTCATCATTCCGGAGGTAACAGGTTGCGGTCCAAGCTAGAGTAAAAGTTTGTATATCACTGTACATGTAGGCATGTCTTTTTATTCTGAATCACATCATTAATGTACATCAATCAAAAATGTTAAATGGTTTAAGAACAAGAAAGTTACATGCTCTAAAACACCTGAAGAGTGGATGTGGTTTTTCAATCCTGTTTCCATAGCAATGTCAGTAATTCTGACTATCTTTTCGTTGGTATCAAATGTATCTGTGTATGCATTTTTACTTCAATAAGAAAGGTTTCAATCATAAAAAACCCTGATGGCTCTGAAAATATTGCTATTTATTGACAAAATATGGTCAATGACATCTTAATAGATATGCAAATGAGATAATTGACATGATTAATGCAGTAAATTACTGCCAGTAATGCATCATATGAGAGTTATTCTTACTAAACTTCTGATACGAATAAAGTTGTCCATTGAGAAAAAAAGCTACAATCTAAAACTTATAAAAAGATTTGAAAAGTGGGTGTTGCCTTTGCATCCATATTCCATAGTAACGGATGCAAATTTGGAGAGGTCTCTAGCTTTGATTTGTTACTGTAAAGTTGTATTCATACTCAAGACTTTAACTCTTTATTTTCACAAAGTTCCTACTCTCCTATATTACCCGAGAGAAATTGCATGACCTTTTTATTTGCCTTAATACTTAATACCTTCTGTCGTTTCAGTTGGTGTTAGGAACCTGAGCAAGAAACAGGCTGGAACAGGATATGCTGCATTCCGTCCAGTCCTTCTGGGTGGTATTGCTATAGGGACTGGGTCCTACCTTGCTTATGAGGCCTACAAGAACAAGAGTGAATTGATGGCACCATTGAAGGTGGCCCATGCAGCTACTCCTGCTGAACCACAACCCTCAGTAAGTACTCTATGCTGGTATGGATTGTTGTCGTTGTTGTTATGTTACCAAGTCAACAAGTGGTGACATGTTTTATTCCATAGTTAGCATGATATTCATAGGATAACATGTCAAAATAAAAACGATATTTTTGTGATCAGTGGTAAAATATGATATTTTCACTTGACCATAGCATATGGTGTTTAAGACATGACATACGGCGCCGTGTGCTATGAATTAAGGATTTTTGCTACTTTAGACTCAAAACGAAGCTAAGTGTCAACATCGCCGGATTCATGGATAAAAATCATATCACTCATAAATCATAGGATACCTTCTACCACTTTGTTCAGTACTAGTTTCTAAAAGTACTTGATGTCTAGCAATTGTTCTATATTTTTGTAACCATTTGGAAAATGTTCCAGGTGGTGATATTTTGTCCTGTTGATGCCTTGTTTAATTGTATATGTTTTCTGAATGAAAATACATTCTATGTCTAGACATATAAATTATCCCTAAGGTTATGCGCCTTGAATGAAATGGTGCTAACCGACTTAGTAGAATGCCAAGAACAAGGATTACTCGACCAATATTTGATTTTGACTAATGCTGAAAAAGGCCATAGAGGATGGTTTAAAGAGGTTAAAGATATATTCAAAAATGCTAACCTCTTAGATCTCTATAATGAATGTTTTTATAACAATTCAAGTGCATGGTTAACATTAAAAAAATGTAAAAGATTCTGAAATGAATCACTTCATACATAAATGGACCTTTCAGATAAATACAATGTCAAAGTTACATACATATAAGTTAATTAAAGACAATTTTGGTATAGAGGATTATATAAAATTATATTTATCAAGGAATCAAAGATCTGTTATTGCAAGAATTCGCTCAGGTACTCTTCACCTGAACATAGAAACTGGTTGATATAAGGCCTTGCTGTTGAACAAAGACTTTGTGAGGCATGTAAATATGGACATATAGAAACTGGGAAAAATTTTCTTCTAGAATGCTCTTGTTACAAAGATTTGAGAAAAACTATAATCAGACCCCCTATGGTTCATGATAATCAAGATTTGTTGAAACATTTTCTTTCAAATAAAAATTATGTAAAACTTACAGCAAAATTTATAATACCAGCTCTTGAAAAACGACCAAAATTTTTGTAAATTACCTAATGAAGTGATCTAGGGCTAGCTACATGTATGTGATATCATATGATATCAATATTTATTATATCATTGAAATGTTTCTCGCTTTCTCATTGGATAAGAACTGATCACATGATTAGAAATATTAGGGTGTATTTCATTGTTTCCTGCAGTCTCCAGCCGCAACCTCGTTTTCAACTGTATATACCACGATGTATATACCACGGAGTATATACCACGGTAGAAAGTCCTGGATGCTATGTTTTTGTAATGACGTCACAACAATATTGTAGAAAATACATGGATACGCACGGCAACAAAACTTCATTGTTATGACGTCACAGGTTATATTTGTAATATGAGCATGTGTACTCGTAGCAATTGTGCATCCGTTGCCATATTCTTGATGTTTATAAACCAGTGATGTCACAAGTCATCTTGCACATGTGACTTTTGAGCAAGGGCGGATGAAAGATGGCAATATCTTGCATAATATAAGAGTGGCTGTAGTTAGAGTGGTTATTCTGATGAGCACATGTATTGTATCTATGTATTAATGGTTAAAAGAAATACACTTAATTTGTAGAACATTCAAATGATACAATAAATCAAATATTCCATTCTATTTTTGGTGAATACATGTTCATCTTTCCTTCAGATATAGTTCCCTTGGAGGGAAAGATGAACATGTATTCACCTCAATAGAATAGAATAGATGGAGTAATTTATTAGAATGAGATATAAGGAAAATGCAGGGTTTCTTTTTTGACCACCTTGTATGTAAGGGTTTAAAGAGGAAATACATACACAATTTTTTTATTGTTTCTTTTGCAAGGGGTTGTGTAAGAATATCTGATAAAAGGCAAAACAAATGAATAAATTTTGTTGCAAATTACATTTTAAACATAGAAACAGTTGCAAAATCTCTCACAATATTCCAAACTTTGATATACATGTATTTTGACACCATGTCCATGGTGGTTGGATATGTCTCTGCACTACTTATTCAACCTTTAAATTAGTTGAAACAATAATCTTGAGTTCAAAGAATAATCTTCACATATGCAAAGATATTTTGCTGTGCTGATCATACTTCAATCTTATTAACACTCCAACCACATTCAGAGGTATTAATCATATGCTTTCAACTGTAAGATAAGGATTATGTCATATGACTAGTAAATTGTATATTAATTTATACACATGTAACATGTACTATATATTGTTTACACATACTCAAATATAATAGTACATGTAATATTAATTTTAGATGAGCTCCTATGGTCAATTCAGTATTGGTATTATTTAGATAAACTGCTAAAATCATAATATACATGTACAGTGAAACTTGTAAAGTGGAACACCTCTTGAAGTGGAACACCTCTGTAAGTGGAACATTGGTTCCAAGACTAACTGTCTTAAATGTTAAATAAACCTCTATTAATGGGACACCTCCCAAGTGGAACACTTTTAAGAGGTTCCAAAGGTGTTCCACTTAGACAGGTTTTATCCTATATATTTAACAGTTACTCATACAATAACCCTTTTAAACCTTCTTTGACCAATAATGTTTCATCAATCCATTGCATTGATATTTAGTAATTTACTGATATGTGCAAAAATCTGTCCACAAAAAAACTAAGAGAATTTGGCATTTTAATCTCCTGATAATAACATATACAAATGCAACAACCTGGGGCAGAAAAAATTAGATCTTCCTTCTCCATAAAAAATATGAATGAAACCCATGGGACCATGGTCTTATGTTGTTTTGGTACTGTGACCTCAAATTTTACTGGGTGTAAGATCAAATTTGGCCCATTTCTCAGACATTTCAAATCCACCCAGTTTCTGGCACATATTCAGAGATACAGTGTTAAAATAATCAACTCCACAATATGGAAGCATTCCTTGTTTGATGATTTTTTTGCACAGGTCTTTAACAATCTTTCCACCTAAGCCCTGTCCTCGATATCTGGGCTCAACAAACAGTTTTCCCATTATGAAATTATGTGTGCACAGAATGAAGCCTATAAGTGCCCCACTGGTGGTTCGAATGCAACTTGTTGGTAGATGCCTTATCATGGTTATTATACGCGGATCATATTCAGAACTCTTCCATGTATATGAATAATGCCATGACTTTTGAACTGATTCATAATCTGTTTCTCCCAGTTCATCAAAGTACATCCCATGCGGCAATTCTTGGTCTTTGTTAAATGTTGTAACATCTTTGTCAAACCAGAACATTGCATAAGATTCTAGGCATTCCATGTAGACAGGTTTTAACTCATTAAGTGCAGAATGCAGAGCACTAATATCCGATATCTTGGCACCTACATTAAGGATAAAACAGAAAATGAGAAAAAGTATTCAGTAAAAGCAATTTATTGATTTTAAAGGAACCTTATTTTCTTTGCATGGGGGGGGGCTGGATAATTATATGACCAGATATAAGTTTTATTATAGATTCAATGATAATAGATTCTATTATGTATAAAAATATGACTTATATTTTTGTTTATATCACTACCAAGTTATAAGTGATATTACATTATTGCATTTCATTAATAAAAAACGTTATGTTGTAAAATTGAGACATATCTAATGCGTTTAATGACTAAGAATGTTTCAAAAATGAAAGGTTAGCTAATATACAGTGGTCACCATAAATAAATGATGCCTGGATTTGCTGAAGTGAGCATTTCCCATGTTAAAAAGAACATAATATTCAAGAGGCTATACATCAGTGGATGAGAGTATACAAAATGTAAAATATACAAAACTTAAGGGATGTGTATCTAGACATTATCGGAAAGTATGAAGTCTCAAATCACCATGGTCTGGAAATGGTGATAGAAAATCCAGGTGTCGTTTATTTATGGTGAGCACTTTACATGTACATGTTTTTAAAACCCTTACAGGCAAGTATCATATGCAGAGAGTGGTGATATAGTACAGGGTGATAAAAATAAACGGAACCCCCTACGCCATTTTCCTCATATCTTTTTCATTGTAGGAAATAAATCCCTGATATTTTACACATTTGTACATCATTTAATTGGGGCCCTTTAATCTAGCACTCCATTGGCCACTATTGTGCTGTTGGCAAACCTGCACTGCAACAAAGATAGAGTGTATGAGAATGACCACAGGACAATTGCAGACCCCAGACGTTAGATCATTTGTGTCATTCAGATCATAACTCTGTGCACATTCGGCTCATTGACAACTGTGCAGGTTTGCCTACAGCGCGATAATGGCTAAACCTGAGGCATGTTGTTCAAAGTGTTGTAAAATTGTGACTATCAGTCCGATGGTCATCAAGTATATTAGGGTGATAGGAAATTGAATGATGTACAGACTACAGATGTATTATATGAAATATCATGGAGTACCTAAAATGACAAAGATACGAGGAAAATGCAGGGTTTTCGTTTTTTACCATCCTGTAGATTAATTTCATAAAGTATAAACATAAGAATTATATGCAAAAAGGAATCTTAATCTCTAAATCTTAATATCATGCGGAAATGAAAAAGTCATTGGGTCTTGTAGCTCTATGGGGTCATGAGTTCGATCCCCACTGGGGCATTTCATTCTGTGTTTTACAATTCTAACTTACAAATTGTAACGGGAAACTCCTTGAAAACACCAGATGTCTTTACAAAGGTGCTGATAGCATCATGTGATGTAGCAAATAGAATCCCTGCTAGATTATCTCTCATTTCTGGATTCTGGAAAATTGTAATTTAGGTATTTAACAAACAACAAATAAAAAGGAAATGGGCAAACAAACAAACAAACAAACAAACACAGAAACAAGTAATTACCTGTTCCAGAAACTGCTTCTTTTGTGGAGCATAAAGGATTTGAAAATCTGGCCATTTGTCAACTATTATATCACTCCAACCTATATCATACACCATTTCCACCATCACTACACCTAATGCCTAAAATCGATGTTTTAAAGTTTTGAATATTTATATGTTCTTTAACCCCTCTAAGGTAGCAACACAATAAAATGAAATGTAGTTTATTTAAAAAATATACACTTGTAACAAAGAAGGGTGTATTCTTTTCTATTGTTTTTAACTCCTTCGTGACTGGTCAATTTTTGGAAAAATGAAAAAAAAATGAAAAGCTGAAATGAAAATGAATCTATAAGCAAAAGAAGAAGCAACACCCAATTAGTTATATATCATTTTGAAGGGCTGGACCCATACTTTATGTTTTTTGAAAAAATATGTGAATATGTGAATGAGATACTGTCATTGTAACGTCATAATTCAAGATGGCACAGTTGGATTTTTATCAAAATGGAATTATTTTTAAGCATTTAATTTTTAATTGAGACTTCAATTTAAAAATCTGAAAACGCAGAATTATAGATCTTTTTATGCTGATTGCAGTGGTATTTGTACCATGACATAACTCCTACAAATAATTTTTTGGAGCTTCGAGACTGAAAATTCCAGGAAAATCCCTATGGCGATTTAACATGGGATTTTATCGTTTTCGCAATTTTTCGTGCGCTCACCAGCTTCGGATCACTGTAACTTTGTAAAGTTAGAGGCACTTGAATCTGACATGTCGCGAAAAAATATTGTAAACAATAACATCCCATGATTTTCCGAGAATTTTCAGTGTCAAAGCTCTAAAAAATGTATTTGTAGAAGTTATGTCATGGTACTCATACCACTGAAATCAGCATAAGAAATTGCATATTCACATTTTTTTCAAAAAACATAAAGTATGGGTATATCCCTTCAAAATGATATATTACTTATTGGGTATTGCTTCCCTTTCTTGCTTCTGGAGTCATTTAGATTTTAGTTTTTCATTTCTTTCCATTTTCCCCAAAATTTCCAGTCATGAGAGAGTTAAAGAATTCATACTTGGCAAGCTATCAAAAACCAGTGTGGCACAATAGATGATTGACTGTCACATGCAGTACATTAAAATTGAACTCATTCAATAGATATAGAGTAAACACAAAGGATATCAAATTTTGAATTATATCTGACCGCTGTTATATTTGGTGCACTGAAACTGAACTAATTGCTCCCACTCACTTCTCATCACAATTAAATTATACCCCAACTACCATAAAACAAGGTTATGGAAATTAATGCATGTTTTTCCTTTCTACAATTTGCTTTTACATGTATTATCATTCAGGACCTAATTACTTTGTATATAATTTCTTACTCCATAATCCTGGTCTAAATTCATTTAATTAGTAAATTGTATACCTCCGCTAAAAGCCTGAGTATTAGCTTACAGTTAAGGTTAACAATTATTCCAGTCTACCTCTGAAATTGCATACTGTACCCTTATTGAATGTGGTGTAAAAGAATTCAGTCGATGAACGGCCAGGGGGAAGTCATCTTTTGTAAGAATCCTCATATCCTGTTATTGTCTTCTACTATATGAAAATGCTAAAAAATTATTACAGTTATTTTTTATGAATTTTTATTCCTCAAAGATGACTTGATAGTATCAGCTAAGTCCTAAATTTCAATGTTAACCAAGTTGAATTGCCCTAGACATATACATGACATACACGAATAGATTAATATTGAGTTGGGTCAGACTCACCTAGCTCTTGGTATTACGTACATGTATGTGTTAAACCTGCATGCATCGGGTAAAATAAATGATATTTAGTCTGACATATGTTGTGTCATCTTGGATTTCCGAGGTATGATGGGTGTTCATACCTTGCAATATCAGGCTGATATTTCTGCCCAAAACCCTATTAATTTGCCATAGATTGAGGATTCTGATGAATGAGATATCATCTTATTCAGCCTACATTATGCTAATTCTTTTGTATAAGGTAAATAGAAGCTGACCAGTCAACCTCATTAGTCAATAATTAAGGGCCATTAACTATTGTTTAAAAGGAGTCCGACCAATGAGATCCTAGACCCATATTATTGCTGTTTGCAGGTGGTAAGCCAAACCAAAAGCCATGCTCTCTATCTTTGGATTAACTTAAAGCCATCGGCTGATGTCAAGGCATGTGCCAAGGTCGCAGCAAAGCTTCAAGATATGGTAAATGCTGTCACTCCTCCCAAAGATGCTGATGATGACACTGAAATCTGGGCCGGGGTAGGATTCGGGCCAAACTTCTATGCGCAAGTTGCTGGGAAAACAAAGAAGAACTACAACTACCCACATAGAAAGGGTGCCCTTGGGGATATGCCAAGTTCAGGTTAGACAACACTTTAAGATATATATTTAAAGATACATTTTGTTATATTAATGTCTTAAATTCTGTTATGACTTACTTTTATATAAAACTTTTGGGTGGAAATATACATCCGTTTTTTTTTGTACTCCAGTTTGTGTTATTTTGTGAAATAATGTAAATCTCAACTTATATTCTTATTCCATATACTTACAGGTGGCGACATCTTTGTACATGCCAAGAGTGACTCCAACAGCAAATTGTTTGAGCTTGCCCACAAGTTTGTGACCAGCTTGCCTAAAGATTCTGTGGATAACCATGAAGATATCTACAGTTGGGTGTACAAGAATGGACGGGATCTTTCAGGCTTTATTGATGGTGAGTTTACCATGAGCTGATATACTGTATCTATGTTTGGAGGAAGGCTTAAATTATGCATAAAAGAAAATTCTAAGAGCAACATTTGAAGTACTTGAATATGAGCAAAAATACATTTATAAATAAACTCATCAATGAAACAATCATGCACTACATGTATGTTCTTTAGATTTTATTGCTGAGGTTGTCCCAATGTGAAAGAAAGTAAAAAACAATATTACCCTTGATTTAGGAACTGAGAACCCTGCAGATGATGAGCATCGTACAACAGTTGCAGTGGAGCCAGAAACTGGAGGCAGTTATGTCATCACACAGAAGTGGGTACATAACCTCAATGTAATCAACTCTGAGAAAGGTATGTGTGATGTCACAATATGTCTTAATTTTTGCAAATTATTTCGATACAGTGCTAGTAGAAAAATATTTGTTCACATATGATAAATAAGTTGATTTAGTGTAATTTTAAACCGGAAGTGTGTCAGACACAATCTGTTTTTTTGTTTGATTTCAAGTACATATGAAGACTTCCGGGTATCTTTGATATAAAGCACTGTTGTAACAGTATTATCTACAACCATTGAATATTAATATTTTTTGAACTCCTGATATAATATTGTATATATGTAATATTGCTGATGTCTTTGATCATATGCAGGTAAAGTTTGATAATTTTTACAGACAAAACCCTTGAGAGCTGGGTTGGACGACGCAAAGAAGACAGCATTGAATTATCACGTAAAAGCATTTCATCACACGTTGCCAGGATGACTGGTGGTAAGTACAGTATGTAGGGCTTACATCAAGACAAACGTTAGATATCAAATCATTGGGTCAATATTACAAACCCAAATTGTTTGATGATTGAATGTGTATTGAATTGTTCAATGTTATTATCCTATTTAAAGTGTGTTTAGTTTACATTTGAAGAGAATCTCTGTTTCCTAGCTATATATAGTAGTAATTTGATCAGTTCATTATCCCATCGAACGAAGTTCGGAGGGATATAGGGAACGCCTCCGTCCGTCCGTCTGTCCGTCCGTCCATCTGGGCAATAACTCAAATACCGTTGGCCCGATTTTGTTCATATTTTGTACACATATTCCCTATGGGGCTAGAAGTTCTGCTCGAAAGCCGATTTTCAAAATGGCCGCTCATTTCAAAATGGCGGCCATTTTAGTGCCAAATTTACAGTAATTTAGGTGCAATATGTAAAACTGTAATAGCAATATGTTTTAGATGTAAAAAAATTATATAGGACATTAATAAAGCTAGAAATGTAGATATTAAAGAAGCACAAGGCAGCCATCTTGAAAAATGGCGGCCTTTACTCGTTATTTTACGATTTTTGCTGTAACTCGAAAAGTAGTGGAGCGATTTTGTTCATATTTGGTATGTGAATACTATAAACATTGCACACTGTCTAAAGACACTTTTGGTAGAAGGTGGCCATTTTAAAAAATGGCCGCCATTTTAAAAAATGGCCGCCATTTTAACCTATTTTACTATAACTCGAAAAGTAGTGAAGCGATTTTGTTCATATTTGGTATGTGAATACTATAAGGATGGCACACTGTCTAATGACACTTTTGGTAGAAGGCGGCCATTTTTCAAAATGGCTGCCATTTTAACGTATTTTACTATAACTGGAAAAGTAGTGGAGCGACTTTGTTCATATTTGGTATGTGAATACTAAAAGCATGACACACTATCCTATGACACTTTTAGTAGAAGGTGGCCATTTTGAAAAAAATTTGGAAAAAAAAATTATTCGAAAAGTAGTGAAACGATTTTGTTCATATTTGGTATGTGAATACTGTAAGCATGGCACACTGTCTAATGACACTTTTGGTAGAAGGCGGCCATTTTGAAAAATAGCTGCCATTTTAACGTATTTTACTATAACTCGAAAAGTAGTGGAGCAATTTTGTTCATATTTGGTATATGAATACTTTAAGTATGGCAAATGGTCTAATGACACTTTTGGTAGAAGGCGGCCATTTTGAAAAATGCCTGCCATTTTTGCTATAAACTTTGTTTTTAAAAATGCCATCCATGGCTGTTCGATGGGATTCGCTACGCTTTGGCGTTGCCGTTGTTCTGGTTAAACTTATGATTGTTGCAAAGTAATTCAACATCAGTTTTAGTTTTCACTTTCGTTTCACTTTCAGGAAATAACTTTGAGCAGAAGAAGGTGTTTGAAATTGTCCGTCAATCCATGCCTTTTGGTACCGTAAGTGACAAAGCTGGTCTCTTCTTCATTGGTTATGCAGCCTCCCCTGAACAGCATGAATACATGCTGGATCGCATGGTGGGCGCTGGTGGAGATGGCCATAGCGATGACATCATGAGGTTATCCGAATGTGTAAAGGGAACATATTGGTATTTCCCAGGTTCCGGAGAACTCAAGAAATTGTAAAATGCAAATGTGAAATCTCTCAGATTATCAGTTATCTGAATATATGATGATAATGATAACTCAAACTGTAATACAGAAAATGGGAATGATTATTTGAAGGATTGAATCAAACGAATCAGTGGCAGTAATTTTTTTTTTTATTTGACATGAGAACTATTAGAATACATGTACATGGTACATGTATGTCATAAAATTGTTATGTAATAATGATGTAATCAAACTATTGTAGTTTAGATCATTATATTCTGTTGCATGAGCTGAAAAATATTTTTAAATGTGTTCATATTAGTATTATTAGTATTTGATACTCTATAGTCTGTACCTTTTTACATAAAAAACAATCTAGAAAGAAAATGGTGAAGGAAATGTAATGTATGCACTAAAACAAATAAATGATCATATAATTGATTGATTGAGGACATTTAACGTGCCTCGAAATTATGATAAATGAGATTATGATAAATGGTGCACAATTAAATAAACATTAGAATGTATATATACAATCATTGCGCTTAATAAAAATATAATGGATAGTTAATCAATAAGTAATGAGTGCAAAACACAAATACACCAATTGATTTTGTTAACAGTCAGAGAAATTATTATTGTTTATAAGCTTTGTTATTCTTTTGATTAACAATAGCACAGATCATAAAACATGACACCGAATAGGATATGTATGTGAAATATTGCAATAATGATATATTAATTGAAATGTGATATGTAGTTAGCCTTTATAAATTGAATGAAATATATTTTGTTATAATCAATTTGCATGTATTCTGTTATTGTTGAACATTTTTGTTTAAGTGACTGAATGCTTAAATTTCATTTATAAAAAAAATTCAAAAATCACTTGATATCAATTATGTAACTTTATCTTGAATTCAAACATCAATAAAACACAATTAGAGTAAACAGTTTGATTTCACAATTAACTTGAGTTGAGGTTGGAGGTTAGATTCATTCATTTAAAAAACATGTAAGTATAAATATCCTCCTTAGACTAAGTTATGCATTGCCTATTGAAATACCTTCCATTTTTGAATCCTGGTTACACTAATGGTCATTGCATTCAGGATCCAGTTACATCAAAACACATTGACTATAATTTTAAAAATGCATTATATTTTTAGGGTTATTATCACAAATGCGTTCATATCATATTAATTACTGCTATATGACATTAAGATACACCAAGTGAGTTAACTTTTGAATATTTGAGCGTCTCATGTTAGTACTGAAGCCTATAAGTTAATCAAGGCACAAGACAGAAACAGGAAGCCATAATAGAGAACAAAATGTAGAAATATAATATAACAAAATGGTGTTTATTTCAACATTGATAAAATCAAATATAAATCATGTGAGCTTCACATTGCAGCATAAGCTTACAACTTTAGAAATATCAATAATAATTGATGATACATACATATAATTATTAGATTTGTTCAACTTAAATTTTGAATTTCACATTGTATATTACAATATAAATACATATATTTGTCACAAGGTATCAATAAATCATATTACTGTCACTAGAAATAAGTACTCAACTTTAACATTTCAAGAAAGTTCAGCTTAAATCCTCATATATTTGTTGATGACTGAAATACTGCATCCAGAATTATGAATAATGTTCATAAGACAGAGTGTGTTGATAGTTTATGCTTCACTAAGCCACCCCCTTGCTCTGTTTAAGGTTGAAACCTCCCCCTGTAAACCTGGCCTGGTCTGTCCTCTGGGGTTGTATTATAGGGGCACCAGCCTGAGCAAGTTGTCTCTCACGTTCCCTGAAAAATAAAAAAGTGGATTCATTAAATATTTTAACATGTATTTACTCCCAGGACAACTGTATGGGAAATATGGAATCATCCAGGAATGAATGAAGCAAACAAGCCCATAAAGTTAGAACCCAATGTATTGAAGGTCAGAAACTACATAATGTTTAAACATGACTATACATAGAACTATTCATAGATGTACACTCCCCTCCATAAGTTTGGCAACCAGAAGTTATTATTGCATAACATGTCCAAGCCTGTCAATATTTGGATCATAATGTTCTTCCTCGCAAACAATAGTACAGGAACTTACGACAAAGACGATTTTTTTAAAATCACCAAATGTAGACTTTTAAACAAGTGATTCAACTTATGGGGGATTGTATATATCAAATTATTTTCTATATAATTAAATTCTGCTTACTTTGATTGTTGTTCCTTTCTCTTCTGCATGTAGTATTTCTTCTTGACCTCCTGCAGCTCCCTGGCAATCCTCTCTATCTCATATTTGTATTCTTGCACCTGGGACTCGTACATGTTCAGCTCTGAAGACATTGCCTGTAACATAACAATAATGTTGTTGATGAGAATGCACAAAGGGAAACATTACAAAAACATGTTGAGACATAAACCATGTAAACCCCTTTAAAATGTAAGCCTTATCTTAAATAAACAATTTGAATCATAATACCTTTGAAGAATACTATACAGAAATATTCAACAGGCAAAATTAACCGAGTGTTAACCCATTTTGACTATGTACATGCTAAATTCTTGTACCAACTTAGTTACTGATCAATGCTATATAAAGAAATATATTTACTCACTTTCATTTGTTTGGTTTTATCCTTCAATGTGCTCTGATATATCCCTAGTTGTTCAGCTACTTCAGGGCCAGGTTGACGTGCGAGGATGTGTTTCAGTTCAACATAGAGCTTCTCTTTCTCTTGAATCAATAGTTCTTTCTCTACCACCTCTTCTGTCTTTGCTATCAATCTCTTCTGTAGGGTTTGTATCTTCTGGATCATCTCGTATGTACTTGGGTCGCTACCTTCTAATTTACGCCATCTGTGGATATTCATGGGGTTCTCTAATTCTTCTTCAAGGGCTTTACAACGTGTTCGCTCCCGGAGTAATTCACGCTGAATATGGTATACTTCACGACGGAGGTCATCAACATTAGCAACACTCTTCTGAAGGATCGCCTTCTCACGACGTAATTTCTTGATTTCAAGTTTGAGCACACGAATGTCTTCTAGACGTTGATTGTATTGGATCTCTCCCTTGTTGAGTGTGGATTGTTGGATCTTTATCTTTTCATACAAGAGAGCCAGTTCATCGTTACGTCGCACCAATTGAGTACCCAGAATGTCACGTTCACTGATAACCTGATCTAACTCCTTCTTCTGTCTGACTCTCTCGGCATCTGCCTCTGCAATGATCTTGAGCAGTTTAGTCTCCTCAGCTTGTTGGGCCTCAATGTATGCCTTGCTCTCTGCTGCCATTTGCTTCATTCTCTGCAGTTCAGCCTGTAAACACAATTGGTATTACAAATAAGAGAAAGAAAATATAACTACATGGATGTATAAATATCAGATTATGCAGCTTAATCTATCATAATGCATTTCAAAATATTGTGTACAACTGGTATGATATATCTGCTACACAAATTGGAACTACCAACTGGAATTTTATCAACATTGCCCTGGTTATTTGTCCATTCAAGTCATGCTTCATTTTCATACTTGAAATGTTGAGCTAAAGTTAATTGTACTCTACCTTCAGAGCTTCCTTCTCTTTCTCAACCCGTTGATGTTCAAGATGTTCTTTCACAAGAGCAGCCTCCTTTGATGAGATCTCCTCCTTCAGTTGATCAATCTGGTGGTTCATAATCTTCAGTTTACGTTTCATTTCTGTGATCTCATCCTGGGACTCAATCAAGTTCTTGCTGTAAAGATTTCTGTCACTTCTAACAGCCTCATAAAGATTCTGCTGTTGTTTCAGTTTAGTTTCTGCCTCAGCAATCTTCTTCTTGTAGTCAAAGATTTGCATCTCTCTCACTTTGACATCTTCCATGTGTTGTAACACCTACAATACACAAGAAATAGGGTAATATTAGAATGAGTCGCAATTAATCACATATTGCATATTTGTAACATAAATTCAATTTTTCATCAGAATTTTAAATTTTATGTTCATGTTTGATCCCCACTGGGGTGGACTGACTTTTTCACATCAGCAAAACAGAATTTCATTCTACGTTTTCATTTTACCAAGTATATGTCTATATGAATGGGTATCTTGATTTTTACCATTAAAAACTGAACAAAATTAGGACTATAATAAAAAAAACTTGTAATGAACATGTGAAAGACTTTAACTGTCATTCTCTTAGAAATTTTAATAATCAAGCAATAATTTATACCTTCTGTGTAAGATCACTGGCTTCATTGATATATCTATCTCTTTCTTTCTCAAGTTGGTAAATGATCTTCCTCTGTTTCTGGGCCTCATCTTTGTAGTTCTGTATCTCCTGCTCAAGTGTCTGCTTACTCTGCTCATGTAGCTTCACCAGGTTCAGCTGCTTCTGTGTGGCTCCTGCAGCCTTCAACATGTTCTTGTTGAGGATGTCTCTCTCCCTGACCAGGTCATCAATCGCCTTCTTATCAGCCTCTGACTGCTTCTTGTTGGTTTCCAGCTCTGAAGAGAAAAATGTCATTTTGGTAAAATTGTTTTCATGTTTTTTTAGAGTAAATAGTAATCAGTTTATATTTTAGTTATCAGGAGCTTGTTTCATGAAGTACATGTAATTATATAATCCAAGATTTTGAAACCTTTTGTAATGTTACTATCATGGTGGCAACATTCTTATTATCCTTTGTTGCAGCAGAATATTTATGAATTAATTTGGAAAAGGCATTCAATATGCTTTTCTTTCTCACCTCTATCCAAGGCAATTATCTGGCTCTTCAATGTCTCCTTAGCCCCCTCTGTCTCTAGTTTCTGGTCCTCAACAGAGCGAAGTTTACGCTGAATGGTTTCCCGTAATTTGTTGAGGCGCTGAGTCTCAGTTTTCAATGCATTCACCTCATCCTCTTTTTGCTAAAAAAAGTAAGTTCAAATACAATTTAACTTCAATAATTACTTATGATAATATTTTAGAAAGATGATTTGATTAACTCCAAGACGTTCGGATTCAATGATATGATACAGTTCAATTTTAATATAATTTAATACAGAATGTCACATATTACCACCCTACAGTATTCCCCCTCTAGATATCCTTAAATTCATGACACAATGTTTACACAGAATAATGTTTATTTACCTTGAGTTCCAGAACTTTATTTTGGTTGTCGTTGCTAAGGGAATCTGCAGAAACCAGTTGCATTTCAAAGTCTTGCTGTAACTTTTGGAATCGAGCATTGAGAATATCAGCATCTTTGATAGTGCGCTCATTGAAGATCCTTTGTTCTTTCAAAGACTGCTCAAGTTTAGCTGTATCAGTCTTATATCTTTCAATCTGACTTGACATGGTTTTGATCTCCGCCATTTTGCCATCTAATTCAGCCCGAGCTTGTTTCAATTCACGGTCCATCTTGTCCTTCTTACGACCTTCTCGTTGGGATTCATTGTTTCGCATTTGGATGTCTTGATTCAGCTAGAAATTTTAAAGGACAATTGTCATGAATTGGAAAACACAAATCAAACTTTGCCAATGCATTTAAACAATCAAGATGCACAAAATACACCTGTATGAAGCTTTGAAACATATTGATGTATAACCTCTGTCAATATGGTTCCTGATATTTTGATGGCATTGTGCTTTGCTTATAATTACAATATGACTTACCATTTGCTTGAAGCAATAGAATTATTTATAAATACTTGGTCTAATTAAATATTTCTTTTACCTCAGATATTTTCTGGTTTGATTCTTCTTGGTTTTTCTCCATTTGAGCCTGTTCCTCATTAGCTGAAGCAAGTTCCTCTCTAAGTTTGACAATTTCAGAAAGTTGATCATCACGCTCTTTCGTCAATTCTTCTTTGATCTTTAATAATTCATTCACACTAGAAAAAAGTTGAATATTATAAATTACTCAAATCTAAAAAATATTTTGTCAAGATGTTTGTTGAATGAACAATTACATACAAATGTACTGTTTATGTGTAGATGCTAAAACACTATTATCCCTGTTGTAATGGTTTCAAGAATATAGTAAGCAAGAATATAGTTGTGGGGCCTTGGACCTTATCTTGGGCCTATCTATATAATAGATTGAGGAGTAATTTACCTGTGTTCTTGGCCCATTGTAAGTCCAGCTCCTTGTTCTACTAGCTTGCTCAAGTTGGATATTTCTAGTTTGAGAGACTGAATTGTTTCTCTGGCCCTTGTTTCTTTCTCATGTGCAGCATCTACCATTTTCCATGCTTTTTCAATCTCCTTCTTTAATGAGGCGATTGTGGTTTGATCTTCTTGTGATAATTTAAGAGCAGTAGAAACTTTGGCAGAATTTGCAACTATTTCAGCATTCAGTTCTCTGCATTTTTGCATCAATCTTTTTTCACTGTCATGTGACTTTTTCAAGGCTCTATGTAATTTTTCATATTCCACTCTGAATTTTTCTAAACTGCGATCACCCATGAGTTCCCCCAACACCTCCTGGAAGTCTTTTTCCAGTGCATCAAATGCACTGTCATCCATTGAAGCTTTTTCTTTCTGTAATACAAACATTTTCAGTAAGTTGGATATATAATATGAAGTCCTGATGGAATGTAAAATACACATTTATTAAAACATGAAAATATGGACATGACTGTCTGTCAAGCATCCCTCTGTTCTGTCCCTACATGTAGCCTAGGTCTTATCTTGAAACTAGGCTAAAGGATCTAAAAACAGCAACATTTATAACTATAAGCAAATATGACATGATATATCACCATAACTAATTTAGATCTATATTATACTTATAGTGTAATTCAATTCTTTTTTGAAAATCAGAAGTATGAATTTAGCAATTCTTTTTAAAAAAACATGCACTGGAAATGAAATCAGAATTTCAAGGAAGAACAAGAATTGAACTTGAAGAAATGCCTGATTTTTGACAGATTTCTGAATATGACTATAGGCCTAATGACTAGATCTAAAATATTGCATAAATGTGAGGCCATATACCGAAATTTATATACTCATCATATAGTTAAAGTATAGTTCTTACCTCTGCCATTGTTTATTTTGATTTTTCCCTCCTAAGTATTAAGATTTCCACAAATATATATGCTGATTGTAAATTTATGTTTTCTCAATTTTGATCCGCCATTTATTTGCTATGTTTCCATAGCGACGACCTTACGCTATCAAAACTAGATCGCGATTTGAGATCATTTTGAACTTGAAAGCTAGAAATTATCAGGAAATAAAACCAATTGCAATCAATTTTAGCATTTGAATCAAATTAATTGCATTTATATTGGGAAACTTGTTCCTTGTCATTCATCAACAATAAAGAACTACTTTAGATTACTACGCGGCAATATTACACTAGACGAAATCACAGTACAAGTTTCAAAAATATTCCCGGGAATATATGTACTTGAAGCATTCAACAATGCTTAATTGTGAAAGATTATTTCATCTAAATTTACAAAGTATGCATCACAGTCATGTTTTCTGGAGTATGTCAACGTTTACATATTATACAATACAACAATTTCTTTGTGGCCCAAGTTTCTGTTGAACTGTGAAATCCAATGTTCAATAAGGACTATAAGGCATTATAAGTTGCAAAATGTCACAACCTACCATTTCTTACGATGCTGAAGGCTGGCTAAAAAACACCAACTGCCGAACACTGAACCAAAATGTTGGTTTGTGTCATAAAAATGAATGGGGCAGGTTGAAACTTCCTGGTTAGGCTTTGACTATAATATATTTGGCCTTTCTGTAAAATCAGACCCATTTTAGTGAACCAGAGAAACAAGGGTACATTGGCTAGTTTTATGCTGTCAAACTTAGCAGGTAGCAATGACTTTAACAATGACATCAAACAATTAGAGGTATCATTTACTGGATTGGTACTGAGTGGGGATTTGATTGACTCCCATTGAGTGTGGAACAGAATTTACTCAGACAGTCGAATTATAATGTTTACATTAACAACTTATATTTCACTATTATAAGTAAGAGTTGTCTTTTTAATTCAAAATACATGTACACCCAATACATGATTACTTAAATTTTTGGACAATTCAGCATGGTTACAATCAAATAGGGGAGAGTACTGAAAATGAAACTAAAATGTGTTGTTCTTGTTCTGTTTCAGAAGTGCTACCAATACTGTAGTCAAGTATCAATTCGAAAGAATGGGACAGTCACCATCCCTTTGTGGGGCAGGTAAAATTGGGTGCCTGTACCAGAATAAATAGCTATCCAATATGGCATTGTTTAATATAATACACAGGTGTGATATGGATCTAGATCTTTGGGGCTAGTATGAAAAATGAAACAGAAATTCAATACAAGTACATTTTGGTTGACCTTTCAGGCCATTTATTGTAAATAAAATACTTTTTTTGTAAAATCTGCACCTTTGAAACAAAACACAAATAAAATATTAAAATAGTTTCTTACCCTTAGCCATACATTAGCAACTTCAATTTTCATTCTGGAAATAGTTTTAAGCATATGTTGCTTTATATGGCTAAGTGTTAGTGTTAACAATAGTCTTGCTGTATAACCTTCAGCATTCAGTTTACCCTGAATGTTAAAATATGCACGGAATATCTTCGCAAACCCCCCAGGCAATATATTGCATAGCATCTACGCCTGGAAGTTATATTTGGTTTGATGTAACTATAATTTGGAAATAATAAAATATGATTATTCATTTAAAGGGTCAAATTCTGACCTTTGTTTATAGGCACTCAAAATCTTAAGAATAAATTCTATTCTATTTGACCTAATTGTGATACATTTAACTTGTTGTTGAAATAAAACAATACTACACATACAACGAATGGCAGCACTAAAACTGTCTTTGTTTTAAAAAATGCTTTAAATGGCATTCAGCATTTCACAAGTGGCATTGTGCATTTCACCGTTGGCATATAGCATTTCACAAAAGGCATAACCCGGAGTGCCTAAGAACTAGAAATATAAATATGCCATTTACCCAGCTAACTACACTGGAGTATGGACTTTGACATAATTCATTGCATATGATTATTCCTAGCATGTTGTTCTCACAAATAACCTCATGGTCCTTAAATCAAATCAACGAAATTCTACAGGAAGACATAACACAAATCTACAAATTTTTCTCTCCAAACAAAGGTCCAAATCTTTTTTTATAGCCAAATACAATAGAATAGCATTTTCTTTTATTCTCCCAGCCTAAATTTTGCAACATATTTTTTTTTAGTTAGGGATGCCCTCCCAAGATTTAAAAGTCTAATCCAAAATGTATTTCTGGCATGTTAGCCCAGGATAAGGTGGAATTATTTGATGACCATGAGATTGATGTAAGAATTTAATACTGCAAGAGTTGCCTACACACTGGCTCAGATTTTCTGGTGTATTCCACTAAACACTAAATAAAGGCATACTGGTATCACATTATAGCAAGTCACATAAACTATATGTTATTATAACCATTCAGGTACATTGTAGATTTAATAAAGGTTAAAACAAGTTTTCTGAAATTACTAATTGAGACCACAAGAATATTGTGCATGTACATTTTCTAAAACATGGAGTAATGTTCAGAGGGGTCATTCATCAAGCTATCGCAATCACTGCGACGTCGCAGACACTGCGACCACCGTGCGACGTCGCAGTGACTGCGACTGGGACCTATTCATTAACAAATCGCAGTCTGCGATGTCCCTGCGACCAGTCGCAGTGATTACCACGTGTACGTGCTTGTACACGTGTTTGTTATCCTTTCGAGATCCTCTTGTATCATTTCGTAAAGTTTTATAATGGTTAACCTAGGCATGCGATATCGCAAAATAAGGTCCACATCATCGTATATTTGAAGAGGATCTGTACGATCTCTAAATACGCATTCTCTAGGTAAAGTGTTGCGGTGGAAATCAACCATCAGTTGCGCCATTTTGAACGAATAAACGCTGCTAATAGAGTATTAAACACGTCATGCAAGATTGACAATGCGATATTGATGGATACTGAGTGGGTACAGTAACGTGGGTTCAAACCACGTGTAACGCACAATCACTGCGACCGGTCGCACGGTGAAATACTTAAAAATACAAGCCAAAAACTAGCTGTTTTTGATAGCATCACAAACATGTTAAACATAATGCATATGTTGTGCAATTTTAATATATCATGGATCGAATATCGGACTGTACGTCCTAGAATTTCCGTATAATCTCATAAAGAAATTCAATTAATTTAAGACATTTTTCTTGAACTTAAATCACTGCGACTGGGTACCACCGGTCACTTAAATTTGGGCCATTTTAGGGGTATTTCACTGCGATGTCGCAGAAAATTCAACAGATCGCAGTCGCACGATATTGATGAATAGGACGAAATCGCTTAAAAGGGCCCTTGCGACATCGCAGGCTTGCGATGTGCTTGCGATAGCTTGATGAATGACCCCTCAGAATGTTAAACCAAACACTTATATTGCATTCCTAGCCTGAGCAAAATCATGTTTTTCCTATTGATTATTTTCCAATGTTCTTTTTGTCATTTGGTGAAAAGGTTTGCTTGACAGGATAAACTTTGAGTTTTTTAAATTGATTACAATGTACGTGGGTTGCTCAATAAATACCTAGAGACTGTCATATGATAAACATAGCGAGAAACTGCAACTGTATTACTGCACCATTATTAGACAATGCCTCATATACAAAGTGATATGACTGTTAAATATTACATCTTCAGGACAATAACTTTTCTACAAAACAATCTAACCCATATCTGTTAAGTACATACTGAGTATGAAACATGTATGTGAAAAAATGTGAGGCAAAATCTAGTTGCTAGTTGCAAAGAGACATAACTGGTCATTGTTGACAGAACTGGTCACTGTTGATCAGTAAGTCTAGGAACAACAAAATACATTGCATATAATAGCATTACATAACAAACATAAACACGATACCAAAAGTATTCTCTAAATGGTCTCACAGGAAAATAAAATCTGCATTTATATTATCAAATCTCAAATTATCTTTGAGTTATAATGTACAGACCATCTGCTAATGTTCCAGCAGAAATTAATTTCATTATTTACAAACAATGAAAAGATGGGGAGTTTCAAAATGTCTCAAAGTAACAACTTACTTTTGATCATCAAAGGCGAGGGTATTGTCTGAAATGTTGATCATCCTAGCCATAAGCTAAAGACTATTGTATTGATATTTTGCTATATTTCCACTAACATTATAGGGGTTTGACTTTCCAGTCAGTATCAACATTTTGAGCGCCCATCTTTTCATTGTCATGACATTCAACTTCATAGTATTACTATAACATAGTATCAGAAAATATGAAGAAAATCTCCATGGAATTTAAACCTAAAATATTTACATAACATGTACATATATTGTATTTACTAGTACCTTTGACTCTCTATAGTCATATATGGCTGCAAAAGCTTAACACGTTACAATGACAATGAAATGATTTTATACAACATTTAATGACTGATCATGACTCCAATATACTATCCAAGCGTAAGTACATATCAAAAATCATTATTTTCATATTTTGAAAACATGCTATTTATTTATTATGGCAAGTTGAAAATAAAGTTCTTTAGCTCCATCATGTGATATCTGATACTGCCAACATGTTAGCTAATAGCATTATTTACAAAAACTTTAGTTGAATTCTGGTCATCAGGAAAATACATCCCTTATATAATAATAAATAAATACTACACATCCTTTTTATAGTGAGATCCTTTATCAAATAAACACAAATATGAACTAAGGTAAACTAGAAATGGGAGACTTCAGTTTAAATATTCAAATCAAATTGGATCTAGACCTAGTATTAATATGTGTGCCTGACAGTAGTTCAATATCTAATTCAGGTTCAATCCAGGATATGTGTAATCATGTATATACACTGAACTGATTAGATGACTTGATTATATCTATTTTGATCCTATTTCTGGCTTTGCATAAAGGTTACACGTTATCAAATACAACTCATATGGCCAAGGTCCAATTAATAATTATGTAGCAACAGGATAACATACATATAATAATAATAAAACAATATTTTTCTCAGTTAATCATGTGAACAGCATACTACCATTATTGCACCATTATTTCAGTAGTTTCACAATGCAGTCATGTATGTAAAACATGACAGAGTCTACTATATCTACCTTGAATTATCACGACAATTAAATGAATTCCAAATTTGAATGACAAGAAAATAACTTTGCTGCCTGATAATATTTAAACCTGAGTTGTGAAAACAAAGACTTGTATTTTTGCTAAACTGACCCTTTATCTCATGTACTGACCTAGAATTCAAGATAAATGACTAGCTATGGGACTTATATACAATGGAATATCAGAAATGAAAATTAGTTTACTGATTTATGCAATTTTCACATGAGATCTAAACTCCCCTGATGACCAACTGTGCCCACCAGATATTGATATATGCACTGGATTATATACAATTACTCATGGCACCCATAAAGGGTCTTTTTTATTGAGCATTTTTAGATATTGTACTTTTTCTTGCTTTGTAAAATGTTTTATACTTTTTCTTGGTTTTTGATGATTTTATAATTTTTTGGCAATTTTTGTAAGCATTTGCTCCTACATTTTGTCCCGTTTTATACTCTTGTTGACGCTGCTGTATTAATCATACGCTGTCGTGTCACTTAATTATCGAGTGTGTGTGGCAGATCATTGTAGCACCCTGACAGTAAACTTGATAATTCTAACTTTCAATTTATTCATTGACTACATCATCATAAGAAACATGCTGATATGTAGAATCATGCAACAACACAGGAAGTTATTTTCGGAATGAACACTATCTTATCTCCATTTTTTCTATTAACTCATATTTTACAAATTCAACTATTCCTTACTTATCAGTCGGCGAATATTGCTACCAAATACAAAGAAAAATTCATGTCAACTGTCAGGGTGGATATTCTTGAACACTGATGGTCATGGTTGAAATCACAGGGAAAACAGTACATCATGCGTACCATACAACATCACATGTTGAAACATACATCTTCCATTGAAGCTAATATATACAGTATGATAATACATATCCTCTTCAAGGGGAGTTAGCGTGAGTTAATACTTGAGCATAGGATTTCAGTATGGAGACATGTTGTCAAATGCAGTTACTATGGTTACGTGGCAGCGGTAAAACGAGGGACAAATTCTGCAGCTTCTGGATTCAGTGTGCTGGATACTTCTTCTTTGTTTGAAACACTCTGAAAAGAACATATATACATATTCAATTTGATCATACAAAATTAAATTACTTCATAAAGACCACAAAAGGCATTATTATAACCTTTCCTTGTTTTAAAATTTATAACAATCTGCTATGAGGCACCAGTATTGAGATCACCTGTTAACTGATCATACATTAATAATTTTTGAACAGATTGATGGAGACAGATTTCAACTGAAAAGTACATATATAAACTTACAGTTTCTTCACTTTTGTTACTATTGAGATTTTGCATTGTTAGATTCTGCATATTATTGATAAGTTCTTGGTCTCCAGATTCCTTGGGAGGGAAGCTTTTGCCATTTTCTTCATCCTCAATCATCTGTTCGAAACACATCTCCAGAAACTCTTGTTCTAATTCTTGCTCGACCTTAAACATAAATAAAACAGTGTATGATTACATTTTTGTACATCAAACATTTTACAGCAACTTCTTACTTGTGTTTTGAAATGTTGCTCCAGTTAACCCTAAAATCTACATGTATTATATATTAATCAACTGTTTCATCTGATAAATTAAATAGTATAATGTTAAAAAGTAAGAATAAGATATCATCATCTTAGGAATAACATTTATTTATTCAAAGTGATTCAATAATACTTTTCAATTGGTATCTGACTTTTTGAGATGCTCCTAATATGCACATAAAAGACCAAATAGCCGACACAGAACAATACAATATAAGAACCATTACAAATAATGAAGAAGCACTGAAACAAAGAATACAATATCTCATACCTTTCTATCAAATTCCTCAAGATCATCTGCCATCCACATATATTCTGAGAAATCAACATCACTTGGACTGTTGTGGACTGGACTTTGTTGTAGTTCTACTGGACCCTTCATCTGAAAACGAACATAGAGAATAATCATAATTAGATAAAATCTATATCAATCCTATACTTCCAGACTCAACTGAAGATTTGCAAATACCAATAATTGTGTGGTGAGCTTTTCTTGGATTGAACATCAAACGACTTGCAAAACTACAATGATATCAGTGTTATAGATGTTGACATCAGCACAACCACAAAAGCAATAAATTCAACAGATTACGACAGAAAGAATAGAAATCTTTTATAATTTTACTGTATAATACGTTTATATGATAATATTATGAAATGAATATCTAAAAATGATGAATAACTAATATCCTTCCAGCTGGCACATGATCAACCACAACTTCAAAGGCCAATCTTCCCAGGTTATTTTTCATTGGGAGTTTTAGCCTAACCGAGTTCCAAGTTCTTGTAACGCAATACTGACTTCAAAGAGTTACATTAACAGTAAATGTGCGATCAAAAATAAAACTTTGTGCAATTGTTGTAATTGCCAACTCTAACATTAATTAAACTAAAAATAACATTTGTGTTTTGTTCGGCCTTGTTTTGCTTTTGGTCGGCCATTTTGTTGACCAATTTCACAACAAAAACAAAGTTTTCACCATTGAAAATCGACATAACATAACGGTAAATGTTACTTACTTTTACAATTTTGTAGTGTACACTGTGATATTCTACAAGATAGTGTACAGAATATTGGAATCCAATTTACTATGCGTAGAGATATTTGCAAAATGTGTGGGGCACTCTAGATGATTTTCTGTGTGTGGCGAAAGATTTGATAACCGCTGGAGATACAATAGCAAAGAATATAATCATAATATTGTAACGAATTTTAGTTGCCAAAACGTCAAAAAGTTGCATACAACTCATATATCTTCGAAGTATATATACAAAAAGTTTCTTAATAGTAATATTTTGTCTTTACTTAGAGATGTACGTACAGAAATGTAACAATGTTTTCGCGGAAGAACTTTGTGTTTACGTCGAACTATTTTGATTGACCTCTGACATAATTTATACACTAGACGAAATTAGACTTGGATTCTCGGATGGGAAAATTCAACACGAGTTTAAAATAAAATAATATTGTAATTTTATTAATCTCGAGATTTCTTTATTTTGTATTTTATTGTGTTATATTTATTCTGATGGTAGAATGGCTCCGACATTAATTTCCCGGGAAAAGTTTCCCGGCAAAAAAATAACAAATAGATGGCAGTACAACCTAAAACAACTCAAAAGTGAGTCATGATTTGAGTTGTAAAGTTTTCTAATTTAGTAACTTTTTATTAGTGGCGTATCAATGGCGTGCTGTGAGAAATACGAGGATAGTTATGTTAGTCCAGTCGTTAAATATTTGCTTTTTACGTTCAACTTCATATTTTGGGTAAGTTTATTACATTTTATCTCTTATCAGACTATATACTCAGCCTATGATACAACGATGGGCTTACAAGACCAATACTGTTATATTCGGTCCTATTGGATATAGAAAAGGATCTAGCCTAAATTTTAATTTTATAATTGATAAATTTATAATTAATTTTGTAATCAACAATAATTTTCTTCTTTACGTTTCACTGCATTTGCCGTCACTAGCAATAGAGTCTAGGGGTTGGGTGCAGGGGCGGATCCAGGATTTTGTGTTAGGTGTGTGATAATAACTGAGAGCGAATTAAAAAGAGTCAAATTTTGTAGAAAGTGATGAGGCGAAACATAGATTTTCCAACATTTTAGGGAGCGCGTGCGCCCCCCACGTCCCCGTCTTAATCCGCTGGTTGGATGATACTATTTCTACCAGATGCGATTTGACTGGACTTCACCGTTACATGCACTCTCTAATATGGACCCCCAGGAATTTTTATAAAAGTTTTTTATGCATGTTCCTGGGGCTTATGCTCTATGGTTTCTCTCTGAATTGTAAGCATTTTTATCGTACCTAAGAAGGTATGATATTGTCAGCTTGACAGGCAGCGGGCGGTGTCTCGCTTTCTTGTCATCGCGATTCCAGGAAAACCACTAAACGGATTTACTTCATATTTTTACACATATTACATGGTATGAAGTTCAAGAGCTGATTAACTTTTCAGTGGCCATCTTGCATTCTGGTGGCCATCTTGGAAGTTTTTAGATAAATCTTGTCATCGCGATTCCAGGAAAACCACGAAATAGATTTACTTCAAATTTTTACACATGTTACATAGTAAGAAGTTCTAGAGCTGATTAACTTTTCGGTGGCCATCTTGCATTCTGGCAGCCATCTTGGAACTTTTAAGATAAATCTTGTCATCGCGATCCCAGGAAAACCACTTGACGGATTTGCTTTGAATTTTCACTCATGTTACATGGTAAAAAGTTCTAAAGCTGACTAACTTTTCGGTGGCCATCTTGCATTCTGGTGGCCATCTTGGAAGTTTCTAGATAAATCTTGTCATCAGGATTCCGGGAAAGCCGCTCTACGTATTTACTTCAAATTTTCACACATGTTACATGGTAAGAAATTCTAGAGCTGATTAACTTTTTGGTGGCCATCTTGGATTCTAGCGGCCATCTTGGAAGTTTTTAGATAAATTTTGTCATCACGATTCCACACTGCTATGTTTTAGGTACGATATTGTTCACCCTGTGTTATCCCGTTCCCGGACTATAGTCCTGCACTGATCGCATTCATTTGCCTGTACGATTACAACTTGGGAGAATTATCTACGCCCCTTACACTTAAGATACCTACCTCAATGCATTATAGAACTCAAGATGTAACTTCTAATATATTGGAACCGCCGATTGTCTGGGTATATCGGTAGAACAAGAACATTTTCTCTTTTTCATCGAGAGAGATTCCATCACTTTTCAAAATGGCGGTTGGATTTAAACGGGGAATCCCCCGTTTGGCTGTCCCGGATGTAGCCCGGAAGTACCAATATGGAGGAATTTGACGGTTGAAAAAGGTTAAATGTTACACGCAAATATTGCGATCAAAAACGAAAATGTCTTCGTTCTGCCGATAAACCCAGACAATTGTGGATTCAACTACACGAAAAGAATGCTAAATTACCAAGGAATCTATTGAAGTAGGTATCTGAAGTGTAAGATCAGTAAAAAATTCTCCCATGTTGTAATCGTACAGGCAAATGTATGGGCTCCGTACAGGACCATAGTCCGGGAACGGGATAAACCCTGTGCCTTGTTCAGCCTTGCCATAGGAGCTTCTAGTAAAGATAGGAAGGACACAGAAGATAATCTCCCGTTAAGGCAATACAAAAATATTACACTGTGTCTAGTCCATTATTTATAGTTTACTAGAAAAATTCATTAGAAAATAAAAAGATCTGTTGTAAAATATAAATGCAATGAATATATACGCATGATGAAATACTTTCAGTCACAATTTTTATTTTCAGCTTTGCGGAGTAGGATTAATTGCAGTCGGAACATGGGCTTTTATTGAAAAGAACAGCTTTACATATGATAGTGTAAAGAGCATCTATGATGTTTTATTTGATGTTTCCGTCATCTTCATTGTCGTTGGATGTTTCATTTTCATTTTGGCATTTGCTGGATGTCTAGGAGCACTTAGAGAAAATATATGTCTACTTTATTTCGTAAGTACAGTTTTAAATTATTTGTTTTTATATGGTATCAAACACAAAGATTAGTTCTAGAAAATATCAAACTAATGGTGCATGCACATGGTTGAGTTCACCAAGATATGCCAATACTAAATATACTGAATATTTACTTGAAAATACTGAAAAAAACTGACAAGCTATAACCTGATAACTAAGGCCAATAGGGATTTACAATGATGTGCTAAGTGAGCACTAAGTGCTTTGGTAGAAAATGTTTAGTAATACAGTACTGTCTGAAGTCATGCTGCCTTAGGAACTGCAAACAGAAGTCGGAATTTATAGCTCCAATATATTTTTGTGATAGCAAAGTTCAAAATTAAACACTTATTGTTCTTTCATTTTTGTAGCTGTGCATGAATCATTTTCTCATCCATTCATTGTTACTATTATTGTTAATTGTTCAGTTCATTTGTTCAATTGTCAGATGTCAGTACCATGTTTTTGTAAGCTTGTTTTATTAATATTTATATTTTTGATTATATGAGGCTTCAATACTCTTTGTTTCTGTTCCTAGTAACAGTTTGTGTTAGTTTGCAATATCATTGTGTTTAGATTCCAAGTAACATAGGCTCCAGTTGCAGAATGCCATTGTCATTCTGTGTTTCAGTTTCAATTACACTATGTTTTACCCTACTCTGTAGAATACCATTGTGTTTCATTTCCAATACCCTGATGTTTCACTTCATATAATACCATTATGTTATCATTCTGTATAATACCATTATGTTATCATTCTGTATAATATCATTGTGCTTCAATTCCAATACCACGATGTTTCACTTAATATAATACCATTATGTTATCATTTATTATGTCACCACCAAAAGTGGTGACATATTGTTATGGTCTCCGTTTTTTTGCGACGGCGGTTGGTGGTTGGAGGTTGGCGTCCGGCGTCTGTAACAATTTCTTACAACTTCCTATAACTTAACAAATACTGTTTAGACTGACTTCAATTTTTTTCTAAATCATCTACATGTTCTCAGAAGTTCAAATCTGACTTTAGATTTGACATTTGACCTTCAATGACCTTCTCAAGGTCAAAAAGGTCTTTTTTCAACTTGCTTCACATTGACTAAATTTTTTTTCAAAATCATCTACATGTTCTCAGAAATTCAAATCTGACTTTAGATTTGACTTTAGATTTGACATTTGACCTTCAAATCTGACTTTAGATTTGACATTTGACCTTCAATGACCTTCTCAAGGTCAAAAAAGGTCAAAAAGGTCTGTTTTCAACTTGCTTCAAATTGACTAAATTTTTTTTTTGATTTTTTTCAAAATCATCTACGTGTTCTCAGAAATTCAAATCTGACTTTAGATTTGATTTAAGATTTGACATTTGACCTTCAATGACCTTCTCAAAGTCAAAAAAGGTCAAAAAGGTCTTTTTTCAACTTGCTTCAAATTGACTAAATTTTTTTTTCAAAATCATCTACATGTTCTCAGAAATTCAAATCTGACTTTAGATTTGACATTTGACCTTCAATGACCTTCTCAAGGTCAAAAAAGGTCAAAAAGGTATTTTTTCATCTTGCTTCAAATTGACTAAATTTTTTTTCAAAATCATCTACATGTTCTCAGAAATTCAAATATGACTTTAGATTTGACTTTAGATTTGACATTTGACCTTCAATGACCTTCTCAAGGTCAAAAAAGGTCAAAAAGGTCTTTTTTTAACTTGCTTCAAATTGACCAAATTTTTTTTTCAAAATCATCTACATCTTTTCAGAAGTTCAAATTTGACTTTACAAGTTCTCAGAAGTTCAAATCTGACTTTAGATTTGACCTTTGACCTTCAATGACCTTCCCAAGGTCAAAAAGGTCTTTTTTCAACTTGCTTCAAATTGACTAATTTTTTTTTCAAAATCATCTACATGTTCTCAGGTCAGAAGTTCTTCTTAAGGTCAAAAGGTATTTTCCAACTTGCTTTAAATTGACCAAATTGTTTTAGGTGGTGACATTTTGTCATGTTAATGCCTTGTAATATCATTGTGCTTCAATTCCAATACCATGATGTTTCACTTAATATAATACCATTATGTTATCATTCTTTATAATATCATTGTGCTTCAATTCCAATATGATTGTGTTTCACTTTGTATTATACCATTGTGTTTCAAATACAACCATATTGTGTTTCAAATCCAACACCATAAGGCATTGTGTTTCAATTTCAGTACCATTGTTTCTAGCTTTGTAAATCCATTGTGTTTCTATAATGATGCACTTGTTTCATTGTGTATAATACCATTGTTTATCACATACTATGTATAAATCTAGTGATTTGATTGGTTGCTTTCTATGACGTATTTCCCGTATCACATAAATTTCATATGATACGAGCACACATACCACACGTTGTCTATGGTAACGAAATGACGTCATACAACTTCATTCTATTCTTTCCTAATTCAAAATGACGTCACATGTAGGCTATGTTACTATTTCTTAGAAATGATGAATTCGTCATTTGAGGAACTAGAAGTTAGAACGACAAAGAAAGCTACCAATCAAATCACTAAATTTCTACATAGTATATGATAAAATCGTCATCACACGTTTCAGCGTATGTGATACGGGAAATATTCCACTCAGTAAAAAAGTATCACCACTCAAGCTGCGCTTTCGTGGTTATACAATTTTTACTTTCGTGGAATATTTCCCGTATCACATGCTGAAACGTGTAATAACTGATAGTACTTATACTGTATCTCAAATCCAATACTATTATGTTTCAGTTTGCAATTGCAATAGCTGTCATCTTTATACTGGAAGTCATTGGAGTAGTCTTATGCTTCGTATTTGCTCAACAAGCCAAGGCTGCCATCACTGATCTCCTGCAAGATGAAGTCATTGTTAGATATAGGGATGACCCTGACTTACAAAACCTCATTGACTGGGTCCAAAAAACTGTAAGTCATTTCAAGTATTCATATAACTGAAAAAAACGAATACTTAGGTTCTGAATATTTTGAGAAGAAGGAAAATATATATTATATTTTGGTATCCATAGAACATCATAACTTATGACTACATCATCCAAAGTTGCCCTTAATTCTATATTTAAGATATCAACTTTAGATTTTACAAAGTACATTTTAAGTGCTGGTGGAACCAAGTACAAATTGATATGTCATTTGCCATATTGGCAGAACATCCAGTTTCTATCTTTTTTCATTTTCTTACTCTTGCTGTTAAAGTAGGTCAGACTCATCAATCTTCTTTGCAGTATGTTTTTCATATACACGGGGTGGAACATGAAATGTTTTATATCATTCACAAGCCATTCTACATTTCCATGTCAAGTTCATACCCTTTACTATACCCTTTGCATTCGTTTGACCTCACTTCTTGAAAGAAAGCTTTGTCTTCACTCTTTCAAACTGAAATAAACCTGTGAACTCAACACGCCAATCAGTGTTCGTCGGCCAAATTTGACCGACGTTCTATATATGGTCATTCCTTCTGACGTCATTGTTGAGCTCGGAGTTGACCAATGACATGTGCACATTTAATTAGAACGCATTTGGCATATGTTTCTTCAAGCTCACTGATTGGTGGAAGAAAGGTCAGCACGTAGGTCAAAAGTGATTTATTACCCAAACTGTCACTGGCACCCGTCGTGGGGGCGGGGCTACTAAACTGTAATATGGTCTCTACTAGGCAGAGTGTAGTTTAACTAGACTCTGCACGCAGGGTACCTTTACTACTGCAAAGCAATAATATTAAAAGTGCATTTGTATAATAGTTCACATTTTGAGTATTTAGTTCCACCAACCTATAAAGGTTATGAGATTGTGATTGTCCTGAAAATTAAGTCAACTGGGCCATATAATTTATTTTAGCAAATTACCACAAAATTGGCAATGCTTGGCAGATATGGGTTTACTCTAATTCCAGGATCAACATGTATTTTGTAGCTTGTCATTTTCTCATCACATTCACTGAATGTTTAACCTCTTTGCCGATTGTAAGCTTAATACACAGGGGCGGATCCAGGAACCAACAAGGGGGGGGGCCCAAATTTCAGGTCAGAGAAAAAACGTCCGCGCTTGCGGGGAAAAAAATTTTGGGCCCCTAAAATCCAAAAGTGGGCCCAAATTTTGAAATTTTGAGGCCCATTTTCTTCAAAATTTGGCCTGAAATTAACAAATAAGGCCTTAAAAGGCCCAGTAATGACCAAAGAGGCCCACTTTTTGGGGCCTGAAGGCCTTGTTTGGCCCAAAAAATTTTTTGGGCCCAATTTTTTTTTTCTGGGCCCACCCAAGGGGGGGGGGGCCCGGGCCCCTGGGCCCCCCCCCCTAATCCGCCAGTGATACATGTACATAAAAAAGATTTTGTAAATTCACTAAACTTAAGCATGTACACATTATATTACTGCCTTCAATTTGAATGTTAACACAATGAGCAAACAGTTATTGAATCCCCCCTTATAACTTATATTAGTTCTGTTTAAGTTACTTTAATACAATACCCCAAGGCCTTGTAATTACCATGCTCTGAATACAACAAATAAATCTTTAATATTCATACTTATAAGACCTTAGTTAACCCAAAGTAGCTGTCATGAAAAATGCCAACTTTTACTTATTATATGAAGAAAATTCTATATAGGTTAGAGGAAACATTGAGTCTAAACTCAGTTCTCTGTTTTCAATTTCCTAGAAATTGGTTTCGGTTATCGCCAGATGAATGATGATGTCATTTTAGAAAATTGTTTTGGAATGCGTGGCTGGGTGTGCACCACATTTTAGAGGTCATGATTTCACTATATTGAAGATTCTTGGATAGAGATCAAAAATATTTCATTAGATGAAAGTTCAGTGCATCTAGTATGTATCATTCTGATACTCACTTACAATGTAAAATGATCTGATGACAGAAATTTTTATGTGGTAGTACACAATTATAGTATGGCTTTTAATTTAATTTTAAAAATGTGATCCACATGTCTCAAATCAACTTTTATTTATGCAAGTTCTTAGTAATATTAATATTACATATAGTTAGTGTTATTTTTTTCTGGTCATTGTACAAATTATGGCAAGGACTTATGTTAGATTTTGTAATTTATCCCCTCCGACCTAAATTTTGATAGAGAAAGCATATGGAGGTATTAGACATAAGTCCAAATAGAAAGAAGATGGAGGCAGACCTAGTCCTAGATACAAGATTTTACATATACACAGAGTAAAATCCTGGTAAAACTGGGGTTATATTAGACTCAGTCAAACTTGCTACAATCAATGTGACAACCAAAATGTGTTAAAGTATCAGAGAAATTAATTAGTAGTTGATAAGATTGGTTTAAATGTCAATTAACCTTGCAGGGGTTAAGTGTCTGTTTATGTTGGTAAATCACTGATATGTCAGAAGTATTCCATGGTCTCAAATGTGGCTCTCAGGGCAGTTTGACTCTAAGAGAAGAATTACATACAGTTAAACCTGCCTAATGAGAACACTACTATGTTTAATTAGTGCTAGGTGAAATGGTTTGGATAATCATTGATGATCACATTTCAAGATTTTTTTCACATGAGAGTTTTTAACATAAGTTTTTTTTATCATGATGGACACAGTAGGATACTAGAAAGTGAGAATGAGAAATTGTTCAAATTGGAGAGGTGTCCACATTAGTGTGGTGTTCGGATATACAGATTTTACTGATCCAAGTATTCATAACCTTTTATAGTATAGTACTATACTGTCTCTCATGCTGTTAAAGTTCAGTTTCACTTTCTGATTTGAGAAATACAAATTGAAGAAAAATGCTGAGTAGTAGAGATTGGTCATCTTCAGAATGTTGGTATCCAAGGTCCAGTATGCCTTCTTTTAGATCTGTAGCCCAAGGTTTGGTAGATTCTATATTTTAGGTTTACCTATTTATGCCTAACATGAAGCTTTGATATATGGTATTGGGAGGGTCTATTTCTAGGAAAGCTAGAACATTCTCAATTTTATTTTTTATCTATTGGTATTTGTATGCATAAATGATTCATTCCTACTGATTTAGACATGAGCTATAAGAAATATCTAAAACTGCTCAAAATATCTTAGTTTTTATGATTTTCGCAGTCATACAAGAATCAAATTGAAAGAAATTTTTTGAATTCTCAAAGACTAGAACTGACTAGATGTTTTCATATAAAAGGCAGAGAGTCCAAGAGGAAATATATTTTGATCCATCTTGAGATCTCCATTGAAAATAATACACTGGTAGGTGTACATGTATATAGAGAAATATGGAGGAATGAATAAGCTTTTTGATTTTTGGCAAAAGGTAAACTTACGGAAATTGATACAAGCAAATATTTACAAAAAATTTGCCAAAACTAGGTGTGTAAAATGACAACTCTACTTCTAGCTCTAAATATTTACAACCTAAAAACAAACAGCATTTAAATACTAATTACTTAGTACACTGGTAATGATGATTCTAATCACATAGCTGCTAGTAGCTGCCATACATTAGTCACACTTAGAAGCAGGCCATAGACAGTTCACTCACTTTCCATCATTAATTATCACACCCTTGGTATACGCAGCTAACGAAAATTGACCGGCACGGGTCAAAAGCTGGACCGGCACGGGTTAACGGTTTTATTTGAATTTAAAACAGCCATAACTTGCTCAATATTGACTTCCTCGTGTCTAATTTGAAATATATGATGCCTCCCGATGCTTTTAAGTACCCCAATTTTTTACAGATTTTTAAACGGACCAAAACTCTCTAAATGCGCATTTATGCTCTTTTCTCTCGAGAACGACTGTCTTATTTTCACGATAACTTTTATTTAGTACTTCTAACATATAAGATCTATTTTTCCCCATCAAGGTATGATGTAAATGACATGCTATTTACATCTTGTGAGTTTCAATGACGCGCGTTTGATTTTATAAAAAATGCCAAACTTTGTGACAAAGAATTTCATCCTGCTTGCAGTGAGAAGACGGACCGGTTCGGGGCAATCTGCTTGCAGAGAGAAGACGGACCGGTTCGGGGCAATAGCTGATGAAATTCTTTGTCACAAAGTTTGGCATTTTTTATAAAATCAAACGCGCGTCATTGAAACTCACAATATGTAAATAGCATGTCATTTACATCATACCTTGATGGGGAAAAATAGATCTTATATGTTAGAAGTACTAAATAAAAGTTATCGTGAAAATAAGACAGTCGTTCTCGAGAGAAAAGAGCATAAATGCGCATTTAGAGAGTTTTGGTCCGTTTAAAAATCTGTAAAAAATTGGGGTACTTAAAAGCATCGGGAGGCATCATATATTTCAAATTACACACGAGGAAGTCAATATTGAGCAAGTTATGGCTGTTTTAAATTCAAATAAAACCGTTAACCCGTGCCGGTCCAGCTTTTGACCCGTGCCGGTCAATTTTCGTTAGCTGCGTATACCAAGGGTGTATCATGTCTTCAGTCTGGCCATGGTTATTGAACTCCCAGTGTGCAAAGGTTACCTTTTATTGTACCGATTATCAGCAGACATATAGCGGTACGTTCAGGGTAGTTTTGGGGTACTTTCAGCTGTTGGGGTACTTTCATGGAGGGCGTGGTGTCATTCAGCCAACAGATAATACATTGTACTAACTAGGGGGTACCAACAAGGTGGTTCTTTCAGCTTGGATTTGTTCTTAGCCCCTCATACTTCCAATGGCTAGTTGCACTTTCAACTATGGGATACTTTCAGACAGACGTCCTGTGGTATTTTCAAATAACGGAACGCTCACCTGTGTGTGTCATATTTTCAGCTTGGAGGGTATTTTTCTGTCGTGCTATAATTTTTTAAACCAAGGGGTTGGGGTCTCACAGCTTTATCCTTTCATCTAACCTTTTCATATTGAAACTGAAAGACAGAAATTGGTGGCTTTCGAAATTGCTATAGTTACAGAAAGCATTGTAATGTTTAATTTGAAATTTAATAACTTGAATATACAAGTAGCTCCAGACTAAATATAACTTAAACAGCTAGGTTAATATATGAGTCTATCTCTTGTATTGTGCACAAAAACATAATTCATGACCAATTTCAACTTAAAATGGCTCGAGATCAGCCTTCCTGCCCATCTATGTCAATAAAAGTGTTTTAATAACAACTGATTCTTTGTTTAGTTCAAAATAAAATACTCAATTTAGTAGTTTTAAACTTCAATCAGTTTCCCTGAGCATGGAAGCATGAACGCTTAAAAAAAGTCTCTCAAATTGGTTGTTTCCTGTCAAGTGTTGTTTTTAGAGTTATAGTAAGTGGCAATGAAATTGTTTTCCGTTGTAAACAAAATATACAATAAAGCATTATTTCTAGACTTTGGTTTCTTGGTAAGACTAGGAAGTTAAAATGCATGTGGGTTTATACACTTGACATTATTTTCTTTCCAGTAATTTGTTATCATGATCCAGCATAGGCTCAGGAACATGTATAAAAAAGATTGAGTCGAAAACACCTTCTCTTTTCTTTTTCATAAATGTTCCTGAGCATATGTCATCCAGTGTACATTTGATATGTGTTAGTTCTAGAAATGGGTTATTTATTTTTTACACTTTGAAAGTGTTGTCATCTAATTCAGACTTATCTCTCTCTGTTTTAAACATGTTCTGTAAATAATGGCTGTAAATAATTAAGACCTATATAAAAAGATTTGTAACACTGAAACAATGATTATAATCATAACCAACATTTCTTATCAAAATTTGTTATTGAATCAACACTTTAATGCTGATGAATTTTTCCTTTAACAATGTTATTTGTATTCAGGTGCGCTGAGATTATCTCTTGTTTCAGTATTAATGTGTTAGGCAGAAGTCAGGGTTGACTGGATTTGACCCCTTAATTTGTATAGTTATGTGTTAATCCAAGCGTGATCCTTCATTTTTATTTTTTCTAAGTTTTCATCTTTGCTTTCAGTTTGAGTGCTGTGGAGTAGGAGAGAAAGGCTACAAAGACTGGTCTCTGAACATTTACTTCAATTGTACAGAGGGCAATCCAAGCCCTGAGAAATGCGGAGTCCCTTATTCCTGTTGTTCCATAGAAAATGATATCGATGTAAGTTTGAATAAATCGAATATTTAAATGAAGCCCAAGAATGATTTTGACACATACGTCAGAGATTGCATGACTAGTGGAAGGTTTGGTTCTCGCCTACCTATGCAAAAAGCAAAATTGAAACCTATAATTTTCATGTACATGTTATTATAGTGGTACAGTAAATAGTGGTAGAGTCATGTAATTGACACAGTGAGGGCCTCTAATAATCTTGTTGACTTTAGTGTTAATAATCGTGACTTGCTAAAGTCTGTTTTAAGCTTCAATAGCAAACATAAATTCAACTAATTAAGATCAGTGTTCACAGAGGAAATTATAATGTAAGTTTAATGATGAATTACATGAAATTGTGCTGTTTATTTTAAGAATATAGCAACAACACTATCTGACTTCTGGCTGAATTTTTCATTTACCCAGTTTTTTCCATGACTTGCACCACTACTATTAAGTACTGTACGATACTTGTTTTTCCGCGGTTGAGTTATTATCCAGATTTCTAAATTATAGTAAAACCATTATACCATATTAATAGGCTCAACATCTGATTATGGAGCTCAAATTGTGTAACATACTTTGATTTTTGTATTTCAGGATAACTATATCAACACAATGTGTGGGTATGGAATGCAGGATTTATCAGTAAGTAATGATCATACAAAGTAGAGTTTTATGTTTAGGTTTCTAAGTTTGATTGCATATTTCATTTTGGTTTAATTTTACATAATCAATATCATGTTAAGCCTCCTGTAGTTCAGTGTGACACTTGGCATGCAAACTCTACATGGCTTCAAACTGGAGATACACATGTCAGGGGCGGATCTGGGAACCAACAAGGGGGGGCCCATACTTCTGGTCTGAGAAAAAAACGATAGAAAAAAATTTTGGGGCCCTAAAACCAAAAAGTGGGCATTGATTTTGAAATTTTGAGGCCCATTTTCTTCAAAATTTGGCCTAAAATGAAAAAATAATACATAATTTATGACCAAAAAGGCCTACTTTTCGAAGCCCTAAGGTCTGTTTTGGCCCGAAATTTTTTTTGGGCCCAATTTTTTTTCTGTGCCCACCCAAAGGGGGGGGGGGGCCCAGGCCCAGATCCGCCAGTGCATGTAGTTGTCCAAGTTTGATGAACTGAACACCTCTTAATATTTCTTTTGTTGAACAGCATTTACTTTTATAACTTTCCATGTCAATTATTCACCCTTGGTTTACGCAGCTAACGAAAATTGACCGGTACGGGTCAAAAGCTGGACCGGTACGGGTTAACGGTTTTATTTGAATTTAAAATAGCCATAACTTGCTCAATATTGACTTCCTCGTGTCTGATTTGAAATATATGATGCCTCTCGATGCTTTTAAGTACCCCAATATTTTACAGATTTTTAAACGGACCAAAACTCTCTAAATGCGCATTTATGCTCTTTTCTCTCGAGAACGACTGTCTCATTTTCACGATAACTTTTATTTAGTACTTCTAACATATAAGATCTATTTTTCCCCATCAAGGTATAATGTAAATGACATGCTATTTACATCTTGTGAGTTTCAATGACGCACGTTTGATTTTATAAAAAATGCCAAACTTTGTGACAAAGAATTTCATCAGCTATTGCCCCGAACCGGTCCGTCTTCTCGCTGCAAGCAGATTGCCCCGAACCGGTCCGTCTTCTCGCTGCAAGCAGGATGAAATTCTTTGTCACAAAGTTTGGCATTTTTTATAAAATCAAAGGCGCGTCATTGAAACTCACAAGATGTAAATAGCATGTCATTTACATCATACCTTGATGGGGAAAAATAGATCTTATATGTTAGAAGTACTAAATAAAAGTTATCGTGAAAATGAGACAGTCGTTCTCGAGAGAAAAGAGCATAAATGCGCATTTAGAGAGTTTTGGTCCGTTTAAAAATCTGTAAAAAATTGGGGTACTTAAAAGCATCGGGAGGCATCATATATTTCAAATTAGACACGAGGAAGTCAATATTGAGCAAGTTATGGCTGTTTTAAATTCAAATAAAACCGTTAACCCGTACCGGTCCAGCTTTTGACCCGTACCGGTCAATTTTCGTTAGCTGCGTATACCAAGGGTGTTATTGGAACCATTTGGTTGTCATTGTTAATCTTAAAGTGAAAATTTGTTTTGTGGGAAATACAAGTTAGTCTTACAAAAAATAGACCCTTGTGTAGTACTTATTGTAACGATGCTTTATCATCCTTTGTTAGAGGCCATATACACAGGCAAATTACATCGGGGCCCGTACAAGGTTGCACGAGCCCCGTTCCCTCTGTACAACCATGAATGGCCTTGTACATGCTCACACGAACCTTGATTTTAAATGACAAGCCTCGTACATACTTGTATGGGCCTCAAACTTATTATTTAAGCTTGTGCGTGGCCCAATATAATTTGTCTGTGTACCCCATAATCTATATTTTGAATTGAAGACATTTCACTGCATTATGTTTTTGCAATACTTGCACTGGGTTTAATCCCTCTAGTTGCATCCCTCCCTCCATTTCCTCTTACCATGCATTTTTAGAAAGCCCATGCTCTATCAAAGCTTGTGAAATGGATATTAGCATGTGGGGGAGGCAGAGGCTTGTTGCAAGACATTGTTCTGGACCCAAGAAACTGTACAAGCATTGTATACTTTATTTTTCAGCCTTCCACTGCATCAAAGAAGATCTACATTAATGGATGTGTAGATGGTGTTCTTCTATTTGCTGAGAGAAATCTCTACATTGCCGGAGGTATTGCTCTCGGCATTGCCATTCCACAGGTAAACTTAACTTAATGCAAGACAATCAAAATGCAGAAACTCAATACAGTCAGTGATCCAGAAAGCATAAATGCAAGTTAGAGCCTTACCCAATTACCCAAATGTGAGTAGGTAGTTACCAGTTTCACCACCAGGTGGCTGATTCGGGTCAATTAACATGGCAGGTATATGAGAAAGTTCCCTTAAACTTGAATATTATCAATTTAAGTGGCTCAATTTTCATATAACCCTTATGCGTCTGATACTTATGCTAATGAAAATATGTCCAGTAAAGCAAAATATTATCTGTCCACTAAAAGAAAAGATATTTCATTTTTTGTGATTTTATAGCATGGGGTCTATGGGGAATCTCCCCGAGCTAGAAGTCACATTTTCAAAGAAATTTAATTTTTAAAAGTTGATAAACACTTTTTAAAACCACATTTCTAGATGTAATTTTACATGTAGATTTCAAACATGATATTAGTTTGACTGAATTTTGAATTTTTAATGATGTAAATCAAGATTATTTCTACTCGCATCTGGGTTATTTAGATTTTGGCACCCACTTGAAAAAGAGCAACATAGATACAATGAGTAACATATTTCGACCAACTTTGGTCAGAATATTGAAAATGAGAAACCTTTGGTTCATACTAAGGGAAAATATGTCGAGAATGCTGCAATACTTGGAGCACAAAGAAAACATTACAAAAAATGACATATACGCATATACATAATTATGAGGGAATGCACAATTTTTCTATTAATGATTTACTGGAGATTGTAGTTGCATACTAATTGATTCGCTCTAAAGACAAACCAGACCAGGTCATCTCTCTATAATATTCACTGTGCTTTGACAGGAACTATTAACTGGCTTATAATTGCAATACATGTATGTCTTTTAAGAATTTCCAATCTTTACTAGAGCTGAAATGTTCCATATTGTTGAAATAAGAAGTATTGATTTTTCTAATAACAATGGTGAGATGTTGAATATGGTGTCTGTTTATATGTGATTAATTCCTATTAATTGGTTTATTAAGGTTAAGATATTTTCCATTGATTGGAATTCAGTTAGTATTTATGTCTCAGCTGTGATAAAAGAATGTGAAGCTCTGGGTAGGGTGAGATCTTACATTGTGCCCTTTTTTTCTACACATTCTATATTTAAGAAATATAGACCAGAGAGCAGGGGAAATATTGTCAAATACACCCCGCAGGGCTAGGCACAAACGTTTTCTGTACCCCAAACGACCGAAGGGAGTGAGGGGTTTGAACGCTTCTTTGCAAATTTACCCCCGGGTGAAATGTTGACTTTGTTTACAGTTTATAGAAGGTGTTCGAATCTGCTTTATTCTATAGTGAAACACTTTTCACTGTTCCAAGACCAACTGAGTTTATATTAAAGGAATCTCTATAAGTGAAACATCTCATACCAAAAGAGTTCTACTTAGACAGGTTTTACTGTAATGACTCAATACATGATTCAATACTATACTTAGCATGGAGTTTTAGCCAGATAGAAGTACCTGACTATACTTATAGGTGTACTGCTCACATGGTCAAATCAGGTCATACTGATGGGCATTGCAATAACAACTTGCAGAGAATAGTATCATTTATTCAGTTATTATTGATAGTACTTCATCATCAAAATGTTGCCATTAAGATCTTAATCTGGATTATATCTGAATATCTTTTATTTCCTTTACAGCTATTGGGGATCTTCCTATCAAGAATCCTGATTGGCCAGATCAAAGACCAGAGAGATAGATGGGTATAGGTGAGGGCCTCCTTTGATGACATCCAGTGACAAAGAGGACTGTGGGTAACAGTTAAATCTCATACATGAGCAGCTGACAACGAAGTAAATACACCTGTACTAAATTGTACATAATATTTCATTATGGGGCTCATGCTGTCATGCATAATACAATGACAATTAAGAAATTAGCATGAAGTTACACAGGCTTGAAGTTGCTTAGAAAATTTCAGTTTTAGGTACATTTACAAAAATACAAAATGTAGAGGCACTGATAATTTATTAAGCATTTTTTCTCCCTTATTCTTCCATTAACACATTGCTCAAAATAGAGCAATAAGCGATATGTACAAAGTGCCTTCCAACAAACATTCTTGTGTTGAAAACCTATGTATATAAATATCTCTAATTTTGAACTCACTGGTCCTAATGTTGTTCACTGTAGACTGGTTGATGTATGCGCATTATAGCTACCAAAAGTTAAATCCAATAAAAAGATTCACTGCTTAACTGCTGAAGATATATTTCCCGATAAAGGTATTTATAAATGCACAGATCATCTCAATGCAAAATGTTTTAATGCAATGGTCTTCAGAACTGTCATTAGATGGCGAAGAATTTGATGGGTTTAAATGTGTAACATAAAAATATTCCTTCGATATCTCCATCATCGAATTTATGGGAAATATCTAAAACTTCTTGAAATTAAATCTTAGAACATTTAATTAAATAAAGAATTATTGCATCTTACTTGCTATACTATATGAAAAAATACACGTATTATAAAAAACTATGACAAGGACCATTGAAGAAGCAGTTATACATCACATTTTTTATATTGTTGGGTTAATACAGATTGGATAAGAATTCTCAGATTTTTTGATCATTTGATTTTTGATTTCAAAAGATTTTACCAAAATGATATTTTTCTATTTGTTTATTACAACACCGTTGTATGTTTACTTTGTACTTCTCTCATGCTTTATAATCAACTTTGGACTTATACAAGTCTGATATTATATGATATTATTGATATTTATAGGATATCCTATGATTTTGAGGAATATCATTTTTATCTACGAGGTGATATTAATATCTGCACGAGAGAGCAAAGCGACACTTATAAGGAGTGTACTAAATGTATAATATCATTGCAAAATGAATTCCATGCCAAATAGAGTCAATTTGGTGGGAAATCAACAAGCGGAGTATATCGTCACAATATCCTCCGCATATTGGGTTTTCAGGAGTATATCGTTACGATATCCTCCGCCCGGAGTATATCGTCACGATATCCTCCGGTTATTCATTTTGCCAATAGATATCAAATTTATTTTTTAATGTTATTATACATTTAGTACACTAAGTGTAGGATAATATATGATATTATTACTGAATTCCATGGTATTTTTATGGAATGTCTCTATTATCAATCATATCTTGTAAAATTGCAGTTCTTTACTGTCTTAGTAATGCAAGGACTCGATATTCTATAGGACTACTCAACTTCTTTTTGTTGTAAATATTAAAATAAGAATTCTTAAAGTTTAGGCCATGCCCTGATAATCAGTGGCCATGGCAATAAATAAATAAATATTAAAATAAGGTTTACATTGAAGACCAAATGACTCTAATTCACAGTGTAAATGTAAAAATGTAAAATGATTACTCCAAAGATATAGTACATGTTTTATTTAATATGTGAAAATGTATGATACCGGTAGGTCTTGAACATTTATGTCTATAGCCTGCAGTATATTATTCATCAAATCAATGATAACAAATGGATTTGATTTTGTGTCATATTATAGATTTGAAAATCATGGAAATGCTATATATATCGAGAGAAGATAACTGGGCCAGACGGGTTTGGTTAAGACCTATAGCACTTTAACATGACAATGATATGATGTGTGTTGTTGATGTGATTAGTTTGTGCATTTTTCCTAATGTAAAAAAGATGGCAATACTATACTTTACTATGCTATAAAACACTATATTGTAATTATTAGTGACCATACATAGCACTTCTGTATGTTAATATGAGAGAGACTTTTAATGATTTGTCACTACTAGAAGTAAAATTAGTCTAAATACTTTTTTATTGGTCAGAAGGACCATTTAGAGGGTTCATCATAAATTGACTTGGTTTTTTCTTGTCCTTTAGTTTTGGTTCACAATAAAGGAAGAAAAAATGACCTTTCAATTTATTGAAAAGTCAACAGTGAAGAGTTGTTCACTAAATATCTACATTAGTGTATCTACAAAAGTGTATTATAGCTTGCTATATTTGGTATTGATGGTTGTAGTGTAGTTGGTATTGGCATTGATACAGTACAGCTCAAAATTGACTATAAACTGGTCCTACTTACTACAGTATTCAAGCCCCCTCCTCCCAACTACAATAAATACATGAATAAATACATGAATAATTGTACATTAAGCAAAATAATAGCAATGTATATTTATTCTGCTTTTGGATTCCATTCATCAATTTTGTGGTCAATTTTGAGTTGTACTGTAATAGAAAAATTAGATATATAGTTTATATAAGATGATCTGAGGTCTGCGATTCAGCATTCATATTGTATAACAGTTCTATATTTGTACAATTACATATTACGAATATATGTTACATTTAAACATATGCAAAGGATGAAATGTATTTTTACCACTAGTTCTACAATAAATATAACTTTTATAATTTATATGAGTGTTCATGTTCCATACTGTAGTAAATAGAATAATTTGATAGTTCATATATCTGAAGGCGAAATGGCCTAATTACATATTGGCAATGGTTTTTGTTAATAACAATGTATGAACTTGTTAATATATGCATACATTACTTTGTTGACTCATACACAAGTTAATTTCATTATTCTGAATATTAATGTGATATGTTACGCAGGTTCATTTTGAATTTCGTGTCTTGTGCGATAAATTCCTCATATTATAGCCAATGTCAGATTTTGAGCACCCTGAGTGCAGAGTTTTATTCAAGACTAACGTTTACTTCAAGACTGCAAATAATCGAACTAAACTTAAAACTAAACATATAGTGCTTTGAAATTAAGTTTTTGGTATTTGGTAAAATAATTGGTTGCTCTTATTGAAATTAATGTGACTCATAAAGTGCAAGTTCATTGATATTTTGAATGACACTGAGGTAATATTACGTTGTAATGTAGATTGAAGATGAATAGCCAGTATAACATTGTGGAAGTGAAATTTGTTATACATTTATAATTGAACAGAGCATCTCATAGCTATACAATAAAAAGTTTACATAGTGAAGCGTTTGTTGTAAGCCAGTTAAAACAATGATGAATGAGTTATTAACATTCATTTATTTGGATTACCTTTTTTGGCTCACCCTGTATGCGTATCAGAATGGTATTGAATAGCAGTATCAAAACAATTATAAAATATAAAAACAAATAAACAGACAGCAACGAGGACTTTTTCAGATTGATTTCTCCTAAAAATTCATCATACATTTGTCTGCATATCTATCATTTAGTTTTACTCTCATATGGATTGAAGACACAAAATCAGAGACACTTGAGATATATAGGTGAGGTGATATACTCCATGTGAACTGAATGTCTCAATTTAGTGAGAATGGTAACAGATCGCTAGCAACCATCATTTTCTAATGCATGCAACAGCTTGATGATACCTCTCCTATATGTTAATTACATGAACTTTGTTAATGATATTACCTCTATGAAAACTAAAGGAAGGAAGGTCAGAACTTATTAAAAAATGATCCTGTGTTTGCTAAGTTACATGGATGTTTCAAAATGACGTTAAATGTGCCCATTTGAGGATTTGAATACAGTAAGTATTTCAACATGAAAATTGTAGTATAATTGTTAATTTCTAGAATTATTAATTTTTTTTTTATTTCATTTAATTTCATGCTATTTTAGCCTAATAAATGGATTGAATATTTGAATTTAAAGAATTGATATTTCATATATACCTTATGTATTTCCTTTTCTTTATTGTGCCCCTTGATAATTTTTAAAGTGCATTGCATTTTTTCAGGCTTGAATGGAAAATGTCCAGTTACTATGGTGATGGTTACCGTGGCAATAATTTAAATGCTGTTGGATATAGCAATGCAAACAGCAGTTTCCAAAGAAACAACAATGCCAATGTGTATGAAAGGAATAGTCAAAGACCCACACATAATAATGTGCCAGGTGGTAACTATGTCAAGAGGGCTAATGCTTCAAATGGTAACTATGGAAACAGATCAAATATACAAAATGATGATTATTCTTATACCCATAATGTACCTAGCAGTAACTATGGAAACAGAACGAATGGACCAAGTACTAGTTCCTATGGCAACTCACAAGCTGGAGGTAGTTCAAACTACGGATACAGTAACAACAGAAGAAGTAACCATGGAAATATAAATGATCAACAAGGACAAGGAAACTACATGCGTCGTAATGTTATGCCTAGTAGTAGCCATGTAGAGAATAACTATGATGGTAGTTATGGAGGTAGTGACTATGGGGACAATGATAGTTACTATAACAACAGTCAATATAGTAACAGTCGATATGGAAGTGAACCTGTTGAAGACCCTTATAATAAAGTATCTAAAATGCCATCTAATCAGATGCCGACCCAGTATTTGTCACGGCAGCCAACTCCAAAAACACCCCAGGAGTTAGCTGCCCTTAGGGCACCGATAGCATCCCCTAGAGTACCACATGCTGCCTCTAGAGTACCACAGGCTGCCCCTAGAGCACCACAGGCTGCCCCCAGAGCACCACAGGCTACCCCTAGAGCACCACAGGCTACCCCTAGGAGTACACATGCACAAATGTCACCAAAGATAAACCAAAGAGCAACCCATCAGACAAAAAATCCCCAGATGCAATCACCTTCTAGCATACCTCCAAGTGAAAATGATCCATCAACTAAAAGGTTTGTTGCATTTTTCAAATAAACTAAATACTACATTGTCACACCAGTCAGATACTTCTTTGAGTGATGATTTCTCACTGATGCACCTTTTTACAATTGTTCATGATATTCAATGCTTTTCAACATTAATTACCATTGCATCCGATGTCATTAAAACATTTTGGTTGGACCACTATTTAGAATACATGTATATGTATGCCTTGTGATTAGTATATAGCCTATCAGAGTAATTTTTAAAAATATATATAATTTTTAGGAAGTATATCAAGAAACTTGCCCTTCCCAAGCATATAATAGCTGGAGCCAGAGCCAAGCAGGCTCAGATACGCCAAGCCAAAGCCAAAGCCAGGGCCCAGGAATCCAGGGGTTCTGTAGACGAAATACGTCGTATCCCAGAAAGAACTAAGAACAATGTGAACTATGTCAGCAAGTGTGTCAAATACCTCCTCTTTTCCTTCAATTTCTTATTTTGGGTGAGTAGTTGATGTAAAGATCATGAATAAATGAAAGGGACCCAATGAAAGTACATGCACCATATGCACAAAGAAACGGACTCGCAGATAACATGATGCCAAAGATGAATGCAATTTTGAAAACCATTGCTTCGTCCAATTTATACTTTTGATCAACTTATTCAATTCAATATAATTTCAATAAGATTTATATTTCAAAAATACATCGAAACATCTTATACTGTATATCTGAAATTACAGGTAAGAATAAGAATGCAGTAGTTAATGACTTTTATAACTTGCAGCTAGCAGGACTAGGAATCGCGGGACTTGGTGCATGGATTGTTATAGAAAAGGACAAAAAGGTGCGGGACATTTTGGACTTTGTTTTTGATCCATCTATACTACTGGCTGCCTCAGGTCTTGTGATGGTCGTCCTGTCCTTCTTTGGATTCTTGGGTGCGCTGAGGGAGAACTTGTGCCTGTTAAAATCTGTAAGTAAGCATTTGATGTTGGTCATTTATAAAGGCAATGGGTGATATAAAAACTCTGCAGGATGAGCCAATTTAAGGGTTATTATAGGAGAGGATTACTATTTTATAAAGGGTACACACTTGTTCTTAAAGATGGATCATTTTAGTTCTACTTAACTTCATTTCCATGGGTTCTGATATGATTAAGTTATGCTGAGAGTAATATGTCACTGGCATTCTGTAACAATGTTTGGCATCTGTAACAAATTGTTACACTTTTGTTATTGAAACCTGTTGCTATATTTGTCATGTTTATGCCTTGTCATGTTTTTGTCAGAATTCTACTTTTAATCTTATTACAGTTCCATGGTTTTCTATCTCTGATCCTGTTGCTAGAGATGGCCATTGGTGTTCTAGTGTTCCTCTTCTACTTTATGCCTGAGATCAGAGAGAAGCTGGGGTTCCTAGACCCAGGAGAGACCCTCCAACATGCTGTAATACGTTATAGAGAGGATGATGATCTGCGGGATATGATTGACATCATGCAACGTGAGGTACGCCAATAAATACAAAACTACATGAAAATTGTTTTGCTTTATTGTCTTATTTTGAAAATCAACTCTATACAATCAGACAATAAATAACATGATGCTGATATTCTCTTCAACATTAGAATAGAAATCAATGTAGTTCAAAAAGCCCATCAGTTGAGCAAGCCACATGAGTTCAAACTATTTTTGTTCATGTGATTCCTTTCGGAAATTTCAAAGTACTATAACTCAACAATTAATATTAACCTGAATATGTGTACATGTAGTGTGGTTCTCTGGTAAAACTCTTTATTTGAAGTCAATTGGTTTATCGTGTATATCAACAGTAGAACAGACCCATTATGTATTTTGTAGTTCCATTGCTGTGGGTTCAGCAATGATGATCGTGGGTACAAGGACTGGGACCAGAACCTCTACTTCAACTGTAGTGAGAGCAACCCAAGCAGGGAGAGGTGTGGGGTGCCGTATTCATGTTGTGTGCCAACTGGGAACATGATCAATGTCATGTGTGGCTATGATACAACAAATAGAGAGGTTAGGTCACATACTCCCTTCAAAATCCATGGATACCAAACATTTCTCTACTCACTTCTACTCAATTTTGTGGCTGGCTCTGCCATTTTACTTTTTGTACCATTGCCTAAATTGGTGTAGAGAGGAGACGAAAAGAAAAAGGCTTCAGATGTTCATTATATTATATACTGTTATATAATGTTGTACCTGCATGATCGTTCCAAACCCTGTTTACCTGCTTGAATGGTTTATCTTCATCTAATAGAAATAAAGTAAATTTTCTTTCTTCACTATAGTTCTCTTGCCATCATATCTTGAGTTTTCATAATAGCGATACTTGCTTGTTATACTACTTTGTTTGGATTTCAGCTCTCAGTGATCTCCAGCAAGATCTACACACAAGGGTGTGTCAAGGGATTTGGTGTATGGTTAGAACGTAACACAATCCTTATGGGAGCAGCATCTCTAGGCATCATCATACCACAGGTACTATTATGTATACCACAGGTACTATTATGTATGGCACAAGTACTATTATGTGTGCCACAGGTACTACTATGTATGTCACAGGTACTATTATGCATTCCATAGGTACTACTGTATATGCCGCAGGTACTATTATGTATGCCATGGGTACCGCAGATACTAGTGAATTTCATAGGTACTTTTGTGTACAGTATATGACACAAGTACTATTATACATACCACGGGTACTACTATGAATATCGAAGGCACTATTATGAATCCCATGCATACCTCAATGTAAATAACATGTACTTTTATATATATATATATACCACAGGTACTTCTAGTAATGCCACATGTACTAACATTTATACCAAAAACCACATGGATATTTTGAATGGAGGTGAACCATTCCTATTACATGTTGTTGTTGTTGCAGGTAATTGGTATTTGTCTGGCCAGGACTCTTGTAGAACAAATTGAGACACAGAAAGCTCAGTGGAGGTAATTACCCAGAAATCTTAATGGACACAGAAACTCATGAATCTCAATGGAGGCAATTGACATTCTATTGGAGTCATTCAGATTTATTAGACCAATGCTTACAAGATGTTTCTTCGAGGTTCACGAATAATGTATACAAAGATAAACTAACCATTTTCCAAATTGTTATGTGACACAACAATGTAATGAAGTTAGGTACCCAGAAAACATATGGACACACACTAGACACAGTGGATGTATTTACCCAGGTGTACATTGGGGCTAAAGGTTAGAAGACAAAATGCAAGCGCCTGAATAATGTAGAATGGGATACAAACATGGGAGAGATGAATCATGTGCATTTGGCTGGTCCCTTTGTTAAGGATTAATTCCATTGGAATACAAGTTAAATCCAAGTTTATGTTGGGTAATCCCCAGCTGAATCACATGCATTCACATTTAAACCCATACATTTTATCTCTTGTCATGGTTTAAAATGCGTCAACTCCATAAATCATTGCAATATTGTGAGTAGGTTTCAATACTACACAATGAAAAAATGACCATTTGTTGCTTTTCCAAAATACAAGGTAACTCTTATGCAAATATTTACCAATCAAGCAATATTGTGAATATTTCCATTTTATATCACTGCTTTGTTAGCATTGCCAAGAGGTCAACCTTCCCAGATGTCTTCATTTCTACTGCATTTGAAAAGAAATAGCTCTACACCATAACTTAGTGTTATGTTATGTAAATATAGTGTATGTACAAAGAAACAACAATAAAACTGAACAAAAAATTATGAATATAATTCACATCAGTACTGTTTATTTCTTATATTCATATATTATCCATTGGCCACAGTGTAAACAGACATCACCAATAAAGCCAAAGAACTAGAGAAACTTTGAGATATGAACTGAATATACAAGCTATTGGGAGACAAAATGAACACATGCTGACTGGTGATACTGGGCTTTACACAGGGATTTTGCATTGTGCTGTGGTATAAGGTTCATATTCACTCCACTGCAAAACTTGAACATTTAATGTTGTTCTTATACAACGTTTCCATGGATACAATGGTTACCGTGGCTACATTATATCACCACAGAGATCATATATACAATAACAGTTTTCATTGATATAAATATTGGTATCCGAATCATGGATTCCATCCATTACCATACATAGTTTAATAACTAGCTGTAACCATAGTAATCTTATACAATACAATAACAATATACAATACACTGTCAATATACAATACATTGTCAATATATTATTAATACATAAACTGCTTCAGTTTAAAGAAATTCCCAACCCTTCTGATCAATATTAAGATGACATGTATGATTTCTGCGTATATGGAGCAAGGGTATACTCATTCGAAAACTAATCTTCCTTAGTTTATGAAGTGAAATAGATAATTTTTGAAAATATATTATGAATGACAATGAGGTAGAACATTTACCGTACATAAATATACGTATATCCTACATTTATTAATTGGATTAATAATTTTTCATTAAGGTTAATTATGAATATGTTATGCTGCCATCTCTGATTGTCAGACACACTGGTCTACAGCTGGATAATAATTAATTGAACTCAGTAGTCTCCAAACCTGAGATCGAAGGTTTATCAATATCAAACTTTTGTCCACCATTTTGAACGAGACTTTTTCCAGTTAGTTCCATTCTGCTGTAGACCAAATTGACACTGAAGTACTTTATAACTTATAACATACTCCACTACTTGTACTTAACAAACGTAGCATGCACTTTATAAATGTACTTCAATGTACTCACACTGTACATTAACCTAACATGCACTAAGAGGTACAAATTCTGTTCATTGAAAATAATACAATACAACCCACTCTCCAGATTCTGTATACACTCTCATATAACAAGATATCTAAGAGATGTTCTTTAAATAGTTTACAATACTTTATTGTATTGTGCTAAGAAGATGCATAGAAACTTTTTGAATGACCACTTACTATTATATAATGGCACTGCAGGATTAAAACTGCACTTATTTTGGTGAAATTTAAGTACATTAACATATAGAATCTAGAGTTTAATGTTAAAGTGACCATTTAATTACACCAGAATCTAAGGCTGTACCAGAATTAATCATCACAAATTTCTTGGTAAGCCTACTAAATAACTCATGCATGAACAGTCTACTGCACTCGTGGAAAAAACCCTGGTCAAAAATGAAAACAAAATTCACGATCCTCTAATCTAAATGCAAATCTAATATTATAAACATATATTCTACAGTACTAGGAATTTAATAGCAAGAATAATTTAACATAAAGTACATAATGCATACAATTAAGTATGCTAGGCATAACATAAGTACATACATGACTTTAAAATAAGTACAACACATAATATATTTAAGATAAGGAAGAAATTGACAGAAACATTTAAAACTGTTTAGAAATTATTTTGAATGTGTTTTTTATACATTTTACAAATGCCATTTCTAATAAAACTTAGCTGGTTGATTCTCTTAGAATGAAAATACTGGTATTCATTTGAGATTGAGACAACATCATTATCTAAATGATTTTGCAAATAATGAATGTGTAACATAATTATACCGATACACAAGGTAGTTTTTCTACAGTTGTAGTGAAAGATTACTAACCTGTCAATTTCATGCATTGATATGTTGCTACATACACAAAATCAACTAATCATAAATAGTATACATTCAAATTAACATACAATGCATATGAAAATAAAATTGGTCAACAAGTATCCAATTAGACCTCACCATTTGTATCAATAGGCGTGATTGGCTCAGATAACTGTTGCTATGGTAATAACCATTCAAAATTGTGTCAGAATCTAAACCTCTAATACATAGTAACATACCTCTTTCTTCCACATAGTATATTTCCACAGTGGTATATTTACATGTTTCTACATTTACAAGTATGCAGTTTAAAACTACACTTTAGGTAACATAATAAAAAGAATTATCCATACAGTTCCCTATGACCATTAGAAAAGTTTACAACCATTTACAACAAAATATGTCATACAATGTGTTAATAAATACAATATATCCCAATTTACTTTCTGTTATCATTGGTACCCTGGGAGGAGGCCACCAGGGTTTGAAGGTCATAAATATACATTTATAATGTGTAACATAATTAATCTTGTATAAGCCACTTAAGTGATCAAATAAACTTCTAGTTGAGGCCAATACTTCACAAAGGATCTCTCTCATAGTCTTGCCCCTCCAACTATCTACTGCCCCCTCCTGTGTAGAAGATATGGGATATACAATGGCATGTTAAATGACTACCTTTCCACCTTCTTCAGTGAAATGAAATGAATGAATGACTAAAAGGTGTTTTTTCTTGCATTCAACCATTTGGTCTTAACATTCTTTGAATACTTGAATACCTATTTGATGCTAGGAAGGTCATTTAGCCACAAGGAGACCATTCACTTGATGGAATGACAATAATAAATACCTGTATGTACATTTACATTATACTGCATCAAAGTCTAGTTACCTATTCCAACAAGATACATCAAACATTCTTTCATCAATATTTTGTAGGAATATTTTTCAATAAGACCTACAAATGTTACATCTTAGACATCCTTATATACATCTTCAAGATCATCAGTTAAAGACTCATTGAGAAATATTCCTTTCATCTGGTTTTCTTGTCTATTTATTTACAAAGCTATAAAGTTTAATATCAATAGTGTTTCTTGTGTCACCACATCAACACATGAGACAGATGGCCCTTATCAATATTTGTCCTTGTAGGTCCTACAAAACATACACAGTACGAGGTCTTACTAGTTACTTAAATTTACTGTATTGCGACCTCTAGTGTTTAAAGTATAGGGTCCCATAGAATCAATGCCCCATCATTCTTCTGATTGGTTGATGGTTTGATGGTTCTAGTCCTCCTTTAGCTCCTCTGGGACAACCAACAGAAGTTTCTGTGTCGTCAGGGTGAAGTTGTCTGAAAAAATGAATAAATTATTATCAAACATCCAACATTGTTATCCCAGAGATTTAGCTGAACAATAGTTATCAGATTGAAGAAGAGATTACTGTTAGAGAATATGAAGATTTTACTAGTGATTGAGAGAGAATTGATGAGTATATGAATTTGTGTAATATGTATGTGACGCTCCTTTTTTAATTAGTTTATACTTAAGTAATGAGTTATTCAATTTGAGAGTATGAGATAAGTTTTGCAGAATCCACAGCTTCTAATACTACATGATTATACAGATGTACTACAATCAGTATAAAAATCTATTTGCCTTCAAATACAATTTTTTTGGTGTCCTATCAAGTTATACTCATATCTCTTATACTATGTTCAAGTTTATTTCATCTAAGGTTGAAGTGTCCCAACTTGCTACAAACATTTTTCTCTCTCAAAATAATTCAAATGATCTAATAGAATCAAAACAGATATATAACTCTAAATGATTCAATATCTGAATGTACTTGTAGGTAAAGGCAAATAAGATTGTGGTGTGAGATATGAAGAGCTAGAGGACTAATACTAATTCTTAACCTGTTTTCACAATGTATAAGGTTATGTCTCAATCTCATCGGTGAAACATCAAAGAACTATCAGTTAAAAACTAATGGGTAATAAGACATCTAGCCCCAGATGAATAAATTTAATTAATTATGAAAATGGCATCTTCATTATCTGCAGCCTCTTTCTGAACTTGCATACACTGGTGGTGACACCTGGTGAGTAGCTAGACAGATTCAAAATTGAACCCTGGGTAAATATTCAATGAATAAGTTTAGTCTGTCCAGGGATGTTTCTCAATAAGATCATTGTTCATAATTCCTAAAGTCAAATTTAATTTACAACATAACCATAGTTATATCATAAAAACAATTTAAGTTCAGAAATTGTAATCTTCAAATATCATATGAGAAACAGACCCCCGGCAATGTATTGACATAACGTTAATGATTTGAAATTTGATTTCCTGTGATGGAAATGAATGAATCCAGATCAAATCCCAGGATCTGATCAAGGTTGTCATATCCAATAAACTAATGGATCAAGATGTATTGACATTTACCCCAGGGTAAAACTTATAAAGCCTTTAAATAGAGAATAGCCACACAGAATGCAACGTTCACTGAATTTCAAATTTTCTTTCATTTCTTTCACAAAATCAATTTTTTCTTTTGTTTTTCCAACATCAAGTTGATCATCAAGATTTTTGAGATAACTGAATTATATGGTTATCAAGAACAATGCATTCTGTAATAATAATGAAAATGTGGATACAATTATATTATTGATTCAAATTTAAATCAATCTTCACAAATTAGGATTTATATTCATTAAAGGACATATTTTATTATGAAACTAGTTCTTATATAATAATACTATTTGAATATAAAAGTTGATATTTATTATCTGTCCTCAATGAAGATATTTTAGAGTCAAGACATTTTATTGAAGAAGTCCCATTCCCAAAATACAGTTATGCATTGCAACAGAACTTTGGGTATGGAACTCCTTTCTTTAAGTTAAGTATGTACATGTACTGTATGTTTGAGATAATATCCTAGTCTTTTTTCTTTGTTTCTGGTACCACCATCATAACCTTCTGCGTAACTATTGTGAAAGAATCTGTAAAAATATAATTTGAAATAATACATGAACAGTTGAACAGTTAATAGTTAAATAACAGACATAGACACATAAGGGTTAACTGCTCCAAGCCACGGTTTGACGAGACGGTGTTAATTGCTTGCAAAATGTGCAATAAAAAGCAAAACTGCTGCGTTATATTCTATGGAAATCCACATGAAAGCAGTGCATGTGTTCATACACACATCAATGAGTGAATTAAAGAGAAGTGCAAAAAGCAAAAATGAGCACCCAAAGAAATTCAATAAAACTTAATCGTGAACTTAAACAGAAGCCTATTTACTACTTCTAAGTACAAATAATACCAAAAGATCAAACATATTGAAAACTCAGCTTCTACACTAAGTTAATAAGCTCATAGCATGACTTAATAAATAGGCCACTTTTTATATAAATAAATCACATTATTTCATGTTATTTCAAAATGTAATATTAATACCAACACACCAAAATACATGTATTTGACATCATAAAAATACTTTTTTAACATAATATGCAATCTTTAACAATAAACAATTTAATTAACAAGATAAAATAATGACAGTTAATAACTTGAACAACTATATTGAACATCATATAGAACAAGGGGGTGAAACACAATCAACATCACTCCTCCGATATAGGGAACTTATCACAATGATCTTTAAAAGTACTAAACAGAATTTTCTCAATATGAGGTCAACTTTCCTTTATCCCATAAACAAGTAGGAGTAGTAAGATAATGAAGGGAATGAATTCAAGAATAATAAAATCTCAGAACAGTTTTGTTTTTGTAATGAAATTAGTACATACACATGTACTCAAAAGACCATAATGATAAATTAACATACATACAAGACATATTGTTAAGAACTTCACTTTGCAATGACAATATAATATAAACAGCCAAGCAATGGATCAGCATTATATATAAACTTGATCTCTTGGACAAATTTAGTGACAATTTGAAAACTGGATTTGAACAGATTCATGCATTGTGTTTTTTCATACAATATTTTCAAAAGATCAAGTTGAAGGCAAATTATATAGAAGCAAGGGGTCTGAGTGGTCAAGGATGTGTCATCGTAAGTGTACTCACTCCAAAATCGTAAGAAAGCCTTTGGTTTGTTGGTCCACTTGACACATATCAAGTAGACTGGTATGCCTGTTGCAATGATGGCACATCCCATAGCTGAAATACACAAGATAGACATACATACATAAATAGTATACCAATTCAGACACAAAATACTAATATTTGAAGTTATGTTTATTTTCATTCACTGGAGGGTATTTTGATTAATACCATAAATTGAAGAATTCTTGTAAAATCTGGACTAACATGTCAATCATTGATAAGATATTGCTAAATCCTTGTAAAACAGTTCTAAACACAGAACAAAGCAAGATTTGATTTGTTGAGAGATGTTATTCAATATATTCATGTACATGTACTCATCATCAAGATGGTAAATAAAATACATGCAGTAATCTCCACAGGATTTTTTCTCAAGTGGGTGCAAAATTCTCGTTTTCACAATTCAGACCTTGGTCAAAACATGCCCATTTTTCATGATCTTTCACGTTTTCAAGTGAGGGCAAATGGATTTTCAAGTGGGTACAAATGGATTTCCAAAATCTCAGGTGGGTGCTGCACCCACTTGCTTTAATGTTTGGGAGATCACTGTACATGTATCATAAACTTTTAATAATACAATTAATAATTTGTTTCTTACCTGTCTCAACAGGGCTAGCATAGAATGGTAGGATCACCAAGAATATAGAGGCAAGAGTGTAGATAATAGGCCATACCAAATGCACCTGAAATAATACAATTAAAAGTATGCTTTGTTTATCAATTAAATGTTTGTTTAGAAATAAATTATAGTACAAAACAAATGATGTGAATAGTACATAGACTATTATATCATATTATAGTCCTATAATACTCTGTAAAAACTGTCCATAATACCATTCAAACAGAGGGTCCTTTTTACAAAAAGGATTCTTAGTTTTTTCTGTATTCCACAATTTACAATTGACAGTTTTCACTGTATTATACTAGTCTTGGATGTAACCCTTGTGACCCCCCCCCCCCCTACTCTCCCCTAAACACCTCATCTGGAGGTGAAGATGGACTATTTAATCACCAGCTTTTCCTCTGTGTAATAAAATAGAATGTTTGTACACTATAACAAGAGTACACCTTTCATCTTTATTATTGAAATATATCTTTATAATGGGACTATCTAAGGTCTCCTACTTAATATAGACATAATGTTGAGTGTTGTGCAAGCTTTATCAGTGCTGCTCCTTCGCAAGGAAACAATGACTTCTAGTTACATGAGATTTAATGATTGATTTAATAGTTCACATAGACATTTCTCTACTGGAGTTTTCTGCCTATCGAATTACAGTGTATTTATTACTTATTTGAATAATTTTACACATATGCTAAAAAGGTTTAGGTTTATTTCAAGGGGTTATTAGGATTATTTATTGCATAAGGGTTATCTCATAGGTTGCCCTTAAAATGTTCATGTTTACTGACAAAACAGAAATAAAGCAGTATGTTCTGAACTGCTTTTTGGAGCAGAGCCCAATGTTAGATAACCCAAATCTATTTATTACCAAAAAGACTCTAACTGGTTGTAAATCCAAATAGCAGAAATCTACATTGTAGATAAATGATTTGCTATCTTATACACAGAAGCCTATAAACTATTTTGAAATTCCAAATGCAATTAATGAAACCAGAAACAGATTTTTGTAATGTACACTTCTGAATATTTCTCTTATCCAAACACCTCTCTTTTCTGCAATTATTTATCTACTTACTTTGATGGGTCTGTTCATTTCTGGTCGTTTCCATCTGAAGTACAACAACGAGACGACAGAGAGACCAATAGCGAGCCAGTTGACGAAGCCGACATAGTTGATTAGGGCATACATGTCAGAGGAGCAGAGGTACACAAGGGATGTGAGGCCCATGAACAAGGCTGCTGGGGCAGGGGTAAGGCGATTGATAGACACCATGTTCAACACCTGGGGCATGTGCCCTTCTCTTGCTCCAACAAAAAATAATCTGAAAATACAATAGAGATAATCTGTATACATGTAATCTGTGATTAAATCTGTTAAAGACATATATAGTACCTAAGTTTGGGGCATAGAGCTTAAAGGGAGACACATGTTTCTTAATATCATCAATTGAAATTCCAGATACATCAAAATGAGAGGAATGTTTGGTTGCATAACTATGACCTAGAATCTGCCCACACATCATGATACTGATGATAACTTCTATCATACAACACATACACAAGAAATAAATTGACCTTTCCGGCAAAAATGTGGTTTTACAAGTTAGCCTAAAATCTAGCCTAAAATTATAATCTAAAATGTTGACAAGAACTCTTAATATTGATGATAACAATCTGATGATCTGTCAAATTGTGGGTATCAGGTAATAATGACAGAAAACCAATCTAATATATGAGTTTAAACACATTTAATATGAGATGACATTTTATTTGAATGCAGTGGAATGCTACACACAAGATAAAACTGTCAGATATAAAAACCTCATAATATGGCATCATGAACACGTTTGAATTTCAGACTACACACAAAGAATTGACATATTTCACATGTAAAATGCTATATTCTGACATGAAAAATATGCAATTAACTAAGCTACTTTTTATCCAATGTCTAATTTTGCCCCTAGTAATGACGATCAATAGAAGAAAGAACTGTAGTTAAACAGTTATGATTTGGAGAAACCTAATAAAATCACAAATCATTGGTTTGATTTTGGTATAATGTAAAAGTCAAGGTTGGTATCTATACATTCATTTTTCTTATTGCCGGGATGTCCCTTAATTTTTCTGATCAAAAATATTTCTTCTACTTGAATCACTCCAACAATGTTCAATCTAATAATTCCTATTTATTTCACATTTAGTATCATTACAAATAACTTCCAGTATAATCAAGTGGAGTAGAAAACTCTTATCGAAGAAATATCCTGAGAGTATATTAAGTTTAGACTTGGAATCAATCGATCGTTCTGGCAACCTGTCTTAGTAATTTCACTAATTGTAACATTGAACCAAACTGAAAAAAGAGTTTTGTATTCTATGACGTAAGTCGGCATCATTGTAGATCCACCCACAATTGTCCTCTAAACATGTGACCGTGCTAACAATCCTTATATGGTAGAAATACAGCGGCTGGATGTTGACATATTCAGCATATGTTGTTTATTATAAACTACGTGTGCAGTTTAATGACATTCATTTTGGCATAAATAAATGATAACTTTTTATTTATTTGGAAAAAACATGATTTCTAACAAAGACTCTTTCAATAGGTACAAATATGTCTGTCAAAGTAAACATGTTTTACTTATTACTTTACATGAAATATTTATTTATACATAAATAAAATCAACACGGGACAGCACCTGTTATTTTCTTAACATATTATCATGGTCCATAATCAGTTTGAACATACAGTAAACATAAACAAAGCAACAATAGATGATAAGGTACAGGGACCTTGGTACATGATATCCTATATCTAGCAATGTGCGAGTTCAAACTGACTAGAAAACAAATAATGACTTCCGTGTGTAACCTGGAAAATAGCTAAAAGATCCTTATTAAACAGGAACGTTATTTGATTGAAAGTGTCAGCTGCATTTAAAAACTTTAAACCTCGAAACATGTGATCAGCCTTAAACAATGACTGAGAATAGAATTAGAAAGATTTTTCAAGGAGCAAAAATGTTAATGTCAGAGAGTATGGGGACATTGGGGAGATAACTAGAACCTCATAATTTTCCAACCTGGGGATCAGAAATACAGCTAAAGAACTAGTGAGCAGCTTTAAGAAACATACATAACTGCATTACTGTATATGACATAAGAATAGCAATGGGAAGAACTGCCAAATACATAACGCCATGTATTTGTAGATGTGCACGAGACTGACACATCGCTAAATGAAAATTAGAGTATAATTTGGTCAGACAAATACAAATATGCTCCCAAGAATCCCATCTACAGTATTATATATAAAAAATCTATGCTAAGCTCACATTCACAGTTTATTCAAATTGGAATTAGATTTAAGTCACTGCCAAAATTGAGATTCTCAGATTCTATTTACAGATCTATAGTTCCAATCACAATATGTTTGGTGTAAGGAGACTCTGAGATTCCATTCACAAAAGTGGACTTAGAAAGGAATCTCTAACAAAATTAGGTCTTGAAAAGATAAGATTATCTAGTAATCAAAAAGGCATAAAAGATTAGATCCCTTCTTGAAATAGGACTCAGATTAAATTGCCAAAGATCCTAGTGATATTACTTTACTCAAGACCATTCCATTATTCTTCATCTCAATTCTTTTGTCCATTCTCAGTATTTCTTTTTCCTAAAGGCTTATGTTATAAAAATGGAAGGAGGCAGCGAACCAACAGGGCCTAGTCTCAAATCATTCATTCAAATCTGCTAAAGGCACACTAAAGTTTTCTTTGGTGTTGAGATGATCTGAGATTTCATCAGGTTGGTTCTCTGTGACCAGATTATAAATCATTAGTAAATTATTTAAAGGAAGGGTCGTTTCACAGTATTTGACTAACACACAATGAAATGGTTCATTTATGTGGATCTCAATGTGGAAAAGTGGTTCTGCAAACACGAGGTCTATTCATTAATAAAATCAAATTTCCTCAAACAAGTTGCATTTTTGCATTCTAAACCATATACAAAAGAAATATAAAATTGAAAATATCTAGGCTTTCATTTATCACAACTCGATATTGATCTTTTACCTTTGTAAGATAGAGCTCGGTGCTTTTATATGGGCAAAGGCTGACCATGTGCTAGATGAGTGATCAATAAAGATAGTCCTGAGACAACGTGACAATACGGCAGATGTCATCAGTAAAACATATTCCCGCCATATTGATACAATGCCTCGTAATATCTCTAGTGCATCATTTATTACTTATTGCTATTAATAACTATTTATGACAAAATAGACATCTAATTAACTCACTATTAAAAATCAATTATGTGTAGAATGATGAAATCTGTATGATGCAATACATATTCATGGAATTTCTTTTCCTGTTTAATTTTAATCATGAATGGTTTTATCAAATCAATATATTTTATTAGTACCAGCATTCAAGATATGATGCTTATGAGCATGACCTTCCTATTACACTAACTTTTACCATGGCAGGAATATAATACCAATTAAGATAGACTTAATCAAAATTAGGTGTCTAAATCAAATAATAATTGATTTTCCCATGGATAGCAATGCGGTCTGTCATGTATTCAACTTTCATCATAAGACTGTTGAGCCATTTCACAATACTGCTATAGGATTTGAGTGGGTGGGGAGCTTATTTGCAATAACACAAGAGATGCATTTCATCAGGATTTTAAGGATTTCATCATCACGCTCTAATATAGTCTGACGCTTTATTAGTCTGACGCACAGCATGGAACCATGGTTGTTAAAGGCCATACACAAATATAAATATTGGTTCTACATGTATTTCAAAATCTAAATATCATGATGAAATCATTACATGTATTCCTCATTAAATTCTGAATAAAAAGTCACTCCTGATACTAAATACAGTGTACTGTATTATACTGTGAAAACATTGATTGTTTCAATAATTTATGACCAAAAGAAAAGGAAACATATAATTTGCATTTCTGCAGACGATTCATTAGTCACGTTTCCATTGATCAGTACATTACAATATATTAACCTCGCATCAGGATGTCCTTCTGTATGCCCTTCAATAGTCTGCTATTAGAGTTCAGTAGTACCTGACAATGCTAACAGGTCTGTGAAGTATCAAACACACTTCAATCTCTAGTGAACTTACAGATATAGGGACAAACTAACATATATTCCTCACGGAGTACCATATTCTCTTAATGGTTTTGACATTGTGAGGCTCTTTCACTGAACATTTTTAAATGTAGAATATTCAGAAATAGAAGGTATTCACAGGTTTCCCTGACTACAATAATGGATAATGGGATCATCCAGAGTATTATACAGATAGACATATACAAATCTGATAATGAATTAGTATGATGGTTAAAATGTTTTATGTTGTTTGACATTCATCATCACATGCTATTTCCTATTGCGTCTTACAATGCTAAATGCAGGTGAATATGAATATACCAGGTACTTCACCTGTATAGTGGCATACCTGCATTTACAGAATTTCTTACATTATTTATGTTTATGTTTTAATATCAAATGTCTTATATTAAATTCTATGTCAAATCATATAAATCACATGTATGTATGTATGTGCAATTCTATTTCAATATGAAACACATGGAAAGATGCAGTTTGAGCGTATACAAAGATTTGAGGGTCATGGTTGATAGACAAGGGGGAAAGGTGGTAGGGGTGATGATTTAAAGGAATCAATGTTGAGATTTCCAGTTATGTGGATAATATCCCGACCCCAAATGGGACTCTTCCGCGTATGTGATCATATTATTTAAACTTTGAAAAGAAATAAAATCATAATAAAATAACACATTATACTGTGTCCTAAAATGGCAGGGAGAGAATTAATGTCTAAATATCTAAAAAGATAACTATTGCTTTCTCTACTTCCATGAGTTGATTCTTGATACATTTACTTAAAATTCCTTTCGAATCTGTGGGCAAAAGGACTATCCATTAACATTCAGTGTGGATCTTTAATATTGTCAGGATTCCCCTCATAAATCATCTTGATTATAACTTGACACTAACTCATCAAATATTGAATATTTATCTTGGATGGGTGGCTTTAATATTTGGTCCAATCTTCCTCGCTGCCTAATAAGTAGATATTGAGTACATGCTTTTACTATTCTAGAAAAGCAATCATGTAAAAACCAAAGTAAAGCATTGAAGAAACATGCCTTTGCTTTTCTTCTGATTAAACCATTTTAAAATGGTTTCAGAGTACATTCACCTTTTATGTCAGAAACATACTGTGAGTACATGTATTGTGAAATGTTTTTTCATTTTGCCTCACCAATTACATATTCAAGAAATCGCATGAGGGATTTGATATTTCATGACTCCCCACATTGTGTTTTATTTATAATTACTTTTTTTCTCTTAAAAGTAGATTAGGTATTTTAAAAAGAGCAATGATGCATATTTGTTTTGAAAATGTCACCTCAAAGTATTTATTACAGGTCATATAGACCCAAACTGCTTGATTTATAGCAATAATGCTTTTTACATTTAAAACTTACGTTGGTGGCATTCCATGTTTCTCTAGCATTAAAAGTACATGTATAACAGTTCAATTCTGACAACCATTTACCCAATTTACCATACTTTGGTCATACTCATTTTAATAACGATGAATTTGTTAACTTTCTTGTGTAAAAAATTAATCTTAAAGTTTTACAGGCATTACCTCTTTATATTTAATTTGTTAAAAGATACAAACATAAAAATCTAGAGAAAAGGGAATTAGGAATTGAAATCTAAAAAGAGGGCATTGACCTGTTCACATCTGCTACCACAAGTTCTCTTAACCTAATACATTACGGTTCAGCATCTCTTGTAAACATCTATCTCTTAAGATATAATAAATTGTATGGCTGAAGAATTGCGATATATCTTTGCCATTTGACAAATAAAATGTTTTTGCATAAAATAGATTTTTTTCAAGGGGACAAAATAAGACACTAGCTTTACACTTCTTTTCTGAAAAAGGCATAGCAAACAAAGTTTCCATGAACATACAGGCAGATATGCTTAATGTACCTCAGGATATATCCAGCATCCCAAACTTCCCAGAGTATAACATCTATATTCTTACCTGGCTGTTGTAAAGAGGATGCCGTTTACACCACCGAAGGTTGAGAGAGCGACAAATATGGGCATAATCCACCACATAACTCCATAAAGTTTTTGTGAGAACATCTGAAATAAAGCCAAATAAAGTCTAAAGTCTAATATGGGACTTAATATGGACAGAAATGAGGCATGACACTACATTTTGAGTTATTTATTACTCACAAATATTTCACCTTAAAACACCGATTAAAGCTTCATTTAAGATCAATAAGATCTTTACTGCAAAATCACTTTTAAAGTCAGAGGACAAGCCAATGTGGATTGAGGGTACATTATTATTATATAGCAGGTACTTACCACAGCCACAGCAGGGCTGTCAATGATGCCTTGAGGGGACACAGTGGTAAAGTATGCAACATTGGTGAATGCGTACACCACTATCACCAGGGTACAGGAGATCCAGATAGCTCTTGGCAAGTTTCTGAAACAACATTAGGAGATGTAAATATGTGAAATTCAGGTACTTCCCATGGAGATAAGACCTTTATATTAGTGAAATATGTTCTGCTGAGATGTGGTTTCATTTTGTACCATATGTGAACTATAATTTTAATGTTAAGCCCACCAATGATCATAGTCTTGCATACACCCCTAGATTGTCCATCGGTCGAATACCTCCCCATTCTTTCTCTAGCAAAATATGATCAACATTGGAAGATGTGAATGACAGATGTTCCAAATTATGTACCCAAATACAGTTCCTGTTTTGTAAATATCTTCTGTTTTGAATTGAAATGTTAACATTCCTATAAAAACTGAAGAACAAACAAACAACAGGTTGTTTCATACAAATGCACGTGGCATCCCCTCCCATTATCTATTACGACCCCCCCCCCACCCATAGAATGTTCCATTGTGTAACTCATGTAATCTTATAATAAAATATTGCAGATTTACAATCCAGGTGAAAAAAGTAACATTGTAGCAAAGATTTAGAACAAGGGGTGATTTAAAGGGCACTCATTTCTAGCGTGTAAAATCATTTTCTTTGCTTCAATCATACTGACTGAACTCTCATTGACTTTCTGTATAATGTCACATACATCAGTCAGACCCATAGCCAGGTTGAGCTGAGGATGGGAAAGGCCCAAAATCACATGAAAAATGCTCAGAATGGTGAAAAACTGCATGATTTTGAACCTGGCTATGGGCCTGTCAGTCATTGTCTGGAAAGCTGGAGTGGCATGTATTTATTATCTGGAAAGCTGGAGTGGCATGTATTATTGTATTTTTTCTTGGCTTTAATCTCTAATAACTACACAATATATAGATACAGTTTTACTCTTTATGACCTATCATGTGAGGATAAAACCCATTGAGTCATGATTTTTAATGGGGAAAACATTACATAATATGAAATTGATGTAAGATTCGAGATGAACTTGAGGGTTCTAACTGGTCCCTAATAGTGAAGCTCTAAGACTTATACTGCGCCACTAATATAGATACAAGTCGAGATGCACTTCAATGTCATTCACCTAAAACTGTTAAATAACTCATCGTAGCAATAAAACGTGACTTTAAAATCTATCTGCACTATTTCACTATTACAAGCGAGGTTCAGTGTAACGTTACTGTGCTTAGCTGTCTTCAGACAATAGAGGCTGAGTGTGATAAATGTGACTGGTTATCTTATAGCTATTATCTCACCTGTATGGATCCTTAAGCTCCTCAATAACATAGTTCAGGTAGTTCCTACAAAAAGAAATAATGGTGTTTAAATCTTGCGTCAGTTTAATTTGAAAGTTTCAAGTTTAAGTGTCCTTAGAATGGTTCAGTGTCAATGTATCTGGAATGGTTCTGCGTCAATGCACTTGGAATGGTTCAGTGCAAAAGCACTCAGAAATAGATCAGTATCAATTAAATGATTCAGAATTAATAATGTGCTTGGAATGGTTCAGTATCAAAGCATTTAGAATGGTCCGGTAGCAATGTACTTAAAATGGTTCAGTTCAAATACTTGGAATCATTCAGCATCAATGTATCTGTTCAGCTTCAATGTACTTGGAATGGTTCCACATCAATGCACTTGGAATGGTTCAGTGCAAAAGCACTCAGAAATAGATCAGTATCAATTAAATGATTCAGAATTAATAATGTGCTTGGAATGGTTCAGTATCAACGCTTTTTGAATGGTTCAGTAAAATGTACTTGAAATGATTCATGGAATGTTATTATTAAACCAACACGTGAGCACAGGTATGACCTTTTGGCAAGAACATCATATTTTTACAAATGTCAAAGCGACACAGGTCAGTGTTACTATATGTTACATTAACATTGAAAATCACCAAAAATGCAATTACCATGTATTTTAGGAAGATCCTGGTCTGATTTTGATTTAATAGGTACATGTCGAGTAGCAAATAAATATATCAATTGTACTTATTTCAAGAATTATCTTATTATATGACCTGCAGTTTTAAAAAAACAAAAACACTGCACGAACTTGACAAAAATCAAATTCTGATAAGAACGGGAACATACAAAAAATATGTGATACATGAATTTTTTCTACCATTTGTATTCGTTTGACTTTGCTTCTTAAAAGAGAGTTTCATCTGTAGTTTAACTAGACTCTGCATGCAGGGTATCTTTTTTCACAATAAGCATAACATTAACACTAGAATTGACCCAGACAGAACAACCCCAGATTCTAACCAGGTTTTAAAATATTACCTTGTATTTACTATCTTTCTGACCTTGAAAACATTTTAACTTTGATGTACAGTATTGTATTATTTATGCGCCTTACATCTGTTCACGATTCTTCTATGACATTCCTTTGTTTTTTATGAGCTTTTTCATTATTTATTGTTTTACCTTTATTCAGAAAATACATGTATGTATAAATTAATAAGAAACTTATAAAAAGTATGAACACAATTTTAGTGACTCAACAGCTCATTATTGCCCTGCCCCTCATCCCCACCCCTGTCATTTATCTCCCTTCAACCCAAATAAGGTGAACTTGAGGTAAGATTGCAGGATGTATCTTACCATCCATTGTATGCAAACAGTCCAGAGTAGAATGCCATGGAAACCTTCCCAACATCCGTCTCTGTGCCTTTAAATGGGTCCAAGAAATGTTCATAGTGACCTGTAAACACAATGACATTTACATGTATTTGCAATTAGTAGATGATTTATAGAACCTCAATCATTCTATAAAACAGGGTTTTAACTGAAAAGACTGAAACCCTTGCAGAAATGACATACATGTATTATTCTATATTAGGATTAGTTGTAACTCCAACCATCTTCCCTGCCCCACCCTTTACATGTAGCTGATTTTCAACAATCCAAAATATAAAACTATAAAGCATTTATGAAGTAACATTTTTCAGCATAATATATTCTAAATAGATACGCCATAATTATGTTCAAGGAATCTATGCAAGACCCTTTAAATCAGAAAATGATGATATACTTTGAAATGGAATCGTGACTGTAATCAAGAAGTAATTTGTTCAGACTATTTGTCCTTCTTCTTAATGACAAAAGTGACACTATCTTCTTCGTGAAAACAGAATGATCACTTTCATAAATGTTTATAAGCATTAGAAAGGTGTGTTTTAATATATCTGTATAGGCCACGTGAACGGTAAACTGACGATTTTCCCTATTAGGATTTCATAACCTATCCCATCAAAGCTAGCTAGGTCTATCTGATTTCTTCAATCTGATATGTAATGATGCTAAAATTTCCGATTGTGATCGAAAAATCCATTCCGGTTCATTAGAACACCAATAATTAAAGTCAACTGATTAGCACTAATTTCAATCTGGATCATAATTAATTTTAGATTTGTGTGAATTATTGAGAACCTCAAGTTACCTTAGGCCCACACAGGACTATAATTGAAATTGTCTAATCCAACATATCAATACGCAGAGGTAATATTAATACTAAACAGAGGACAAACAATGTCACCTCTATCATCCTACGCACCATCAAGAGAAACAGACTGCGTCATGAACATGTTTTCATTAAAATACATATATGAATCCTGAAAATTGGAGCAACAGAACCAAAAATCAACAATAAGTAAAGGACCATTCTCGGTTTGGAGAATGAAATTCAGCTGCTTATTCCATCATTATTAAAGATTAATTTGATTATTGGCTATTGACTATCAACTACTGATGACGGTGGGGGGTTCGCTAATATTTGTTTTATAAAAGAAATAAAAATATTACCATAATTAAATCTTAATTATTCAAAAGATCACATTTCAATCTACTACACTATGTAAAAAAATTGTTGGCGACATTGATAACATCGAAATAAGTTTTACGTCGAAATAGCTGATGAAATTCATTCTCCAAACTGAGAAAGGTCCTTTTGTAAATTCAAGCCAATTGATGATGATTGAAGGGAAGTAAAAAATTTGGTCAATTCAAGATAATGACATAAAACCCTCATTTTCACATAAAACAGTCGCCAGGCAGGCTGATATGAAGATAACTTGTTAGTATATATGTATTTTATGTGTTTTCACTGGGACCATCTGTTACAGTAAGTAATTAAAACTTTCGCGAGAACAAGATCGAACCATGAGTTTGTTAAAAGATTGAACTACTTAAGACAGATTTACATGCACCTTTAAACTAATGGATGACAACGAAGTTGATATGCTAAGCACTTAATGTACCACTTAGCCCTGTTTTTGTCCCATTTAGCCATGTTCTTGACCAGCTATTTTGTAATCAAGGTAATGTTCACTGTATTTAAAGTACAAAGAGCTGTGATAAGCTGAAATCAAACAGTTTAAAGTCAGAAACCATCTAGTAACGATGTATTGAATTATGTAATTCATCAAAACAAACAACATAAATGCGTGAAGCTGATATTCAGAGAGGGTAACCTGACATATATCAATATCCTCAAATGAATATACAAATGCACTGCACTATTACCCATTAATAGGAGTGCTGAAGGTTTTGTACTTTTTCCCCCCAAGCAGCAACTGCTGTTCTAATATTATCATTTATCTGATAAACTGAACTAAATATGAATGCCAGTCGTATATATCAGCTGCCAATTAGAAAATTATACATAATCATTACTGATATACTTGTAATCTAGATACACAGAAACTCACTGGTAATTTACATAACAATGTGGGAATTTGAACACCCCAAGTATTAAAAGAGAATTGTTTAAACCAATTCACATGTAACATTCATGCTGTACCTCCCCCCCAGAGAAAAATAGCGTAAAACTGTAAACAATATGAGAAAGTAATGTATCGGTCCCTTAAAGGTGCGATGTAAGACACATTTACAAGACTTGTGATTGTGAAATATTTTTTGATTTAACAACCAAGTGGCGTTAAAAATAAAATAATAATATAAAACATATTTATTTTTATTTCATTTTCTTTTAATTAGTCAAGTTCAGACTGTGGCAACAGTCATGGTTATTCAATGGCTGGAGCTAAATAGTTTGTGGTACATTGAGTTTCTTACCTTTTCCAAGCTGTACGAATCCTGTGATGATAATCAATATAAGAGCCCCGACCTTGGCATAGGTGAACACATCTTGAACTCTTGTGGCCCACTTCACATCATACATGTTGATTATGGTTAATATAACTGAAAATACAAAGGAAACAAATGTTAATATTTTGAGGACATTACTATGTTACTATAATAGCATTTATAAAAGATTGAGGTATCACAATAGCAGATTGAGAGACATTTTACAAGTAGGTAAAAAAAATTCCCAAAATCAACAAGATGAATCTTTGTTGTGTGTAGCTTAACATTATAACTATGATGAGTGGTATTATAAAACACTGATAAATGTCAAGGTCACTTGGCTTAAGCTGCATTCCACCAGGAACATTAACCATCAATGAAGGGGATTCTATCGTGATATACGTCTCATACCATACAGATATACAGTGAACAAATTGAGTAGACACCAACTCATTTGAAATCCTTTAGCCTTGCACCACTTGCATTTGGGAGATTTTATATGAACTGATATAAAATCGCTCACTTAAAAAGATATTCAAGGACACAACATAGCATTGACATCAGGTCAACTTAACATCAGGAGTCTATCAATATGTTCTACACTTCATTGTTATAGGAAACATAATTTTTTAGATTCTAGAACATTCGTCAGCCCTGTAGCCAGGGGGGGGAGGTTTGGGGGGTTCGGGGTTCGAAATTTCTTTCAAAATCATGCAGTTTTTCACCATTCTGACTATTTTTTTGTGATTTTTGGCCAAATTTGCCAAAGTAAACCCCCCCTAGAATCTTTTGGAAAAGTGATACCCCTTGGAAAATTCTGGCTACGGGTTTGTTCGTTGATCATTTTCATTCAAGTTTTCATTAGTCGCCTTCTCTTGAAACCCCATGGTGATATATGATACATGTCCTACACATACAAACTAATTTTTATTAAATCAAGCATAAAAACTGATATAAGAAATGAAAGATAATGTTTTGCATAAAAATGCAATATTCCACAAGCGGAAAAGGCTTTTCAACTTTTGATCGATATCTAAGTTCATGGTAAGAGTGTAATAGTTCACACATTGTACACAAAACAAGCTTACAAGATTGTGTTACATATTTACTGAAACATTATCGATCTTTTGTGAAAGCAATAGAGTTTATTGTAGTTTATTTATTGATTGCACGGGAGTTCAGCAAATGGTCAGTGGGTACAAGTATCAATAGGTGTGGCAGCTTGGTTGGATTTTGATTGGTCTGTTTCCACACCCTCCAGACAAATGTTGTGCAATGAGATACGTAGGAACTAAATAAACCTGACCTTGCGATACTGAACGTAAATCATGTTTGTAAATATATCTAGTTCCTACGTAATAGAAAGTTATTTAGAAATAGGGTCAGAGTAGAAAATCGATATGCAGGGCAAGATAAAACTATGTAGAAATCCTTAGATTCAAACAGAAACAGGTACCATTGACATTTCACTTTCATTTGACATTGAACACTTAAATGTTTTTTAAAGTTGGATTAACCTAGATATATTTAGCAGACAATTGAATATACAGAGTAGGCCAAAAAACCAATACACAAGTTTAAAGATCATATGATATAATGTTAAACCATGCCATGTATTATATATAATTTTGAAGATAAATCATTTCCTCACAATATAGCACCATCTGATTGTAAAATCTTTGTTTTCCTGGAGAGTTAGAGGCTTATATAGTGACCAAAAACAGTGGATTTCCAAATTGTGAACAATGAAGGGATATTTGTATTTGGCACCTTCAAAAGAGGTACATTTACACAAGTTAACTGCAAAATTGACCAATAAACATATATCGTTTGAATTAACTATCAATTGTTTATTACTCTTAAATAAATTTATAATGATTCAGTCGAGTATATTGAGTGCAGATGTGACTGCAAAATGGAGGGAAATTTGGAATTTCCATTTTTTTGATTTTTGGTCGCTCATGACATGATATGTAATACATGGCATATGGTTTAAATGTGGGTATTCTTTTCTTTTGGCCCACCCTGTAAATAAGCTACCATTAAATCTGAACTTTAATAATAGGGGTGAGTATGACATGATCATTGTGACTCTGACTTTCTAGCATCTGATTGTTGTAAGAATGACAAGGTTAGTATGGATTGTTTATTTTATAACTGCATGTAATACACCACAACTACAGCTACAGTATTAAGATGTAACCTCTTGTAAGTGTGAACCATAACACAGAATTATATCAATACACTGGCGGATCTGGGGGGGCCCCCTTGGGTAGGCCCAGAAAAAAAATATTGGGCCCAAAAAAAAAATTTGGTCCAAAAAAGGCCTGAAGGCCCCAAAAAGTGGTCATTCCTGGGCATTTTAACCTTTAGCATGCTACCGGCGAGCGTAGTCGCCCGTGCTTAACAATCCCCGGCAACTGCCGGCGACTCCAGTCGAATTTAAACTTTCAAAAACTTAACTTTTTCCCGCCGGTCTTATGATCCAATCAGATTGCCCGATTTATTTAGTCCTTACGTGGGGACTTCCTGTTGACCTAGAAATGGCGATGTTTCGAAAAATATTTCTCAATTCAAAGATTTAAACAGTGTTTAAGTCGTTTTTAGTGAACAAATCGTACAAAATGGCGGCCAAATACGATCACAACGAACATGTGGAGGAAATGGATTGCGATTTCGAGCTCTTTAGGCTCTTGGAAGCCGATAATGGTCATCGAAAATAGAAACTAGAATATTTTCTGAACTGAAAAATGAACATTCGATCGCTGCAAATTCAGTTTTGGATTCTGACCAGACATTGAATCTCTACAGGGGCGAAGCGGTGGATTCCGGAGGAGTATTCATGGTATATTTATGCCCAGTCCTGTTTATTTATGTAAAAAATTCATGAGAACATTTTATTCATGAGCCAGGCCAATGTATCTTCTCTTTGTGAAAATTTTATCCAGATTCATTCAGTAGTTATTGAGATATTAATTATTTAGTCCAGGCATATCATTTTTGCACTCTTTGAAAAATAAGTCAGTCGCGTGGGATATATTTGCTGAATTAAGTTAGCATGCAGAAGGTTAAGGCCTTATTTTTTAATTTCAGGCCAAATTTTTTCAGAAGTTTTTTCTCTGACCTGAAATTTGGGCCCCCATGTTGGTTCCCAGATCCGCCCCTGCAATATGGCACAAAATATACATATTCTGAAATACCTTAGAGAATTACATTGAGAACAGAAAAAATGGTGTTATCCAGTACACTATACTAAACTAATAACCCAGACAGAGCAACTGAACATGAGGAAAGTGAATGATGTTCACGACTTCACATTTGGTGCAGTGGCTGAATTTCTGAATTTGCAACATTTATAAAAAAAAGATGCTACTCATATATGTATGACTGGTCTATAATAAAAACAGAACTTGAGCGATGCAAAGATGCAGTGAGTTTGTTTTATTGTACTATGTCATAGACTCCCATATCGCATGAAGATAACATCTAATCAATGGTAACATCAAAAGAGGGTGGGGAACAGGGGCAGATCTGAGAACTAACAGGAGGGGGGGGGGCAAATTTCATTTCATTTCTTGAAAAAATAATAATAAAAAATAAAATAAAACAATTTTAGGCCGAAATTATTTTGGGGCCCATCTTGAGAGGGAAGGAGGGCTAATCCACTAGTGGCAGAAGTGGGAGGGGGAGACTGACAAACAATTCAAGTCATCTGTGAAACCAATTCTCCTCATTCTGATTTATCAGAGTCCCTCTTTACCTAACGTTTTTGAGAGACTCTGATATATCATGAGGCAGAACATGTTCCTAGCCAGTGCATTCTCCAAGTAAATCAGTGTATATGGAGGAATAAATTAGTACCTAAGAATGCACTGTCCTGTTTTCCCCTTTGTAAACTTTAATTCAATGAATTCATTATGTGGAAAGCTTTTATTTATCTTGATGGTTCTTGTTTTTATATTGAAAATTAATAACTATGATAATGTTGACATACTTCTTTTTTCTTATTGTTTTCTAATTTCGAATTTTAAACAAAAATTATCATGCAAATGTCGACACTTAGATTATTTGGGAGGGCATTGTGTTTGGTCACACTCATTAGGCTTTGTCTGCTTATGTAATCATGCAACTGCAGGTAATGCCTTCCCATGATACTCATGGTCAATAGAACTCTGTAAATAATTTGATTGGTCCGTACATTTTAGGGTTAAAGGAAACATTTATTACAGTCAGTAACCCACAGTCTGAACTATTCCAAAAGGATAGTAAAGGCTGTGGATCCCACAATGAATTCTCCTCAGTTGGCCTTCACATGTGTGACTTAAACGCTACTTGACACTTGTGTCAGTGTTGTACTGATAGAAATCTTGACTTTATTGACAGTTTTAAGCTCAGGGCAATATTATATCTAAAAAAACATCAACATGACGTAATCTCTTCAAAGTATAACATATGGCTAAATCATTGGGTCTATCAGAGGCTAATTATTGTTGCTTGTCAATATCTCAACAACTGAAGATGACATCTCTTAAAAGCTAATTTTGAGTTTATATAACAAACATTACTTCGATATTTTGGTCTTATTTCAAGAACAATTTGTAGTGGCAAGATTTTCCAATCTTATAAGGTAATTTCACAATTCTGAAAATTTGGTAAAACCATTCAGTAAAAATAATTACCCAAGAGTTGTTAGTTGAGAGAAACAAATATTTGCCAGTTTTAAGAAACATTCATTTTCTTAAAAACAAGCCATTCAAGCATTTTACCCTTTTCTACAGAAAGTCCTCATAAACTCGTTTAAAGAGAGTTTCATCTCCAATGTACTGGGCTCACAGTGGGCTCTGACAATTAAGAGTATTTTGATTGGGCTAAGGGATTATTCTTTTCGTTGATATTCCGAAGCTCTTTTCCAAGATTTGGATAATGGGACTAGATGTTAAATAAATATTCCTCATATTCCTATCCCTGAAGTACTATCCCTTTCTGACTTCCCAGTTCTCACTCAGAAATGTGAAATGATAGCACTAATTAAGAAAATGGAATGATAAATGAGAAACATCCTTATTATGACATCCTTCAAGATCAGGCATCACTGGAATCAATTGAAATTCTCTTGGACCAAGGATGGACTATGAATCATCGAATGATTGAGCCAGATATATTATCTATAAGCAGAGAAACATGCAAGAAGCAATTTGAACTGGCATGAACCTCTGTATGAGTGCTGCACCTACTGTATCTAACATTCCAGACTCAAAATACATCAACAACAGGTTCAAACTCCATTACATGTAAAAAGGGCAAAAACTGGATGCCTAATTACTTTGGGAAAAGTCCAATTCACAGGCTTCAAGGGTGGCTAAGTAGCCAAATGACAAGTTGCATTTCAAAACAAACATGGATCGAGTCACCTTCCTTGAGGACATTGCCTTCCTAGAAACATAAAATAAGAGGTACAACTGTTTCAGGATTTGCTACATGGTGACAATTGCATTTCATTTTTTATTAACTCAAAAAATGAAATTCTGTGAACTAAATGATGCACTTCATTAAAGAGTGAGATATGACGATTTAAGTGACGATTTGTACAGGAAGCAACAATACTGTTTATTCTAATGCCAGATTTGGAAAAAGATTTTTTGGAAAGGGGAAGTAGAGACTTGATGGAAGAAAGGCAGATAGCATAAATTCCATATTTAACTTCTAATTATGACATCTCATATCATGGATTAAATGCTATAACTAATTTTATAGGGAATTCAATATTCATATTTCAGTACAACTAACAAGAGATCTCTTAAGTTAACTATATATATAGCCAGTGTTAATTTAGGTCATACAAGATAATGTTTCACATCATAATAGAAATCAATAAGTTTATATATACACTACAGCTTGTTCACACATTGAACGTGTGAACCCTTGTAAAACAATTAACAAAGAATCCCATTGATCAAATCAATGTACAAGCAGTGTACGTAGCCAGGGGGGGTAAGAGCCCCCCCCTGGCCAAAAATCTAAGTCTAAAGTCAAAATCTTTCAAAATCATGCAGTTTTTCACCATTCTGAGCACTTTTTAAGTGATTTTGGCCATTTTTGGACCAAACTTCTCACAAGGCAACCCCCTGGAATTTTTCAAAAAGTGAACCCCCCTTGGCAAATCCTGGCTACGGGCCTGACGAGTATGTGATATATGAGTATGGGATATATTGTGAGCCAAATCAAGTATCAAAGAATATGCTTCAAGATCCTATTGCAGTTAACCTCATGAAGCTTGTTCAAATCTGGTATCAGAGAGATGTATTACATGATACATGTACAGGTCATGAAGAAGCACATGAAATTATTGCTATAATTCAAAAGGGCAGTGTCTATTTATACAGCTGTTAGGCATTGTTTTGGAAACTGGTGCACTATAATTGACCCTAACAAGGATACAGAAACATGATACCACCCATTTCTTATCCTTACTATACAACATATGTATAGTTTATGTTACATAACAACCAGTATATCTAAGCCTATAAAATCTTTTAACTCTATGCTATGAAGAGGCCAAATCAGGTCAAATACATTTTAAGTCACAAGTAATCTGATAATCCATTGATTCAAAGATCAGTGGACTTGAAAAGACAATGTTCCTTTTACTAATCCACATCAGTCTCTACCTTTTGCAATTTGTTTTTGGAATCGTCATAACTTACCATTTGACAATGGATTCTCAGAATTGAAAGTTACGATTGTATCAAAAATGAACCCATGAAGCTTTGAGGGTAAGAAGTAATATGTGCCACAAATTAAGAGCTCTCTTACAATCAAACAAGGAGCCATAATATACTTTTAACACCAGTTGCCTAAATCAAGTGTTAAGTACATAACACTAACTGGATGAGACGGAAGTTCTTCATAATATGGTACCTATATACACAATACTATCTCAACGTACTTCACACTATCAGTCTAGGGGCCACCAATCCCCAACTATCAGCTGATGTCAACTTATATAAAACTCCAGTTTGTTGACTTGATAATTTAAAACTCTTCACACACTGAGTAGCATTCAAAAATTGTTCATGAATTCTTCACGGTCAAAATGTTTTTGAGTTTAATACATCAAAATAGCATATTGAAAGATGTGAAGTAGCATCTCAAAAGAGAGTTTCATAGACTTTACCGCTAGCCTCAGAATTTCAGATTTTACATTTATTCAATGATTCTAGTTTATTTACGGAATAAAAATGATACTGCAGGGAAATCAAAATAAAACTGTTGTCTTTTTTGATGGCGGCAACTTGTACAGTCACAGACAATCGATCTTATGCATGTATGTACCCACCCCCAACCAATTACCCAAGTAATTCCAATTACCCAAGTAATTTAAGCATTTTGTCTAAATTTATTCCTTACAATTCTCTAAGATATTTTTCATACTGAATGTAAAAAATTAATTTACGCTTTATAGATGAATATAAAAAGGCTGAGATAATCACAGGTTTGTTACTGATCTTTTGTTCAACACCAATAGATTTATTTTGAATTATTGTAGACAAAATAGTAAATGACCTTCAGTTAATTTTTGCATGAATTGCATTCAGTCTAGACAAGGTGATATTATTAGCAAAATAGGTACTTTATGAAGCTTCCATATAAATGGGGAATTACTAAATGGAAAAGTACAATTTATCAAGATTACACAAAAATGCAATGTTTGATTCATATACATTTTTTAAATACTCGTATATCCAATTGTGTAAAGGTCAAATTGATCGATTGTAAGTTGGTTGTAAACAAGCTATATGAATATGTATAGTATGTACTACATCATCTTAATCGAGATAACCCTAAAAACACATGGTTATGATGATAAAAAAATGTTTCAAGGATTGCATCACACAATGAACCAAACCCACTTCCTTCTGAACAACAAACCACACCTACTTCAATAATGTTGATACTGTGAGGTATTAACTATTGTGAAACTTACCAAGAACCAACTCAATTGTTTTATGAATTGCTGGCAACTTTCCAAGAATATAATATGTATGTATCGTATGAAAATTCTCTCTGTCTGAAAATAATCCCTACTTAGTGCTTCGTCCCAATTCACGTTCACTTTACTATTTTCAGGGAAGACATTATCGAAATTCAAAGGACTCTTGGAGTATTTGACAACAGAGCCTTCATTCATTCAACATCACTTAATACCAAATCAAAACAAATTTGGTCCATCCTACAATGCAAAAATTTGACCTACCTATACATACTGCTGCTAGAAGTCTCACTGCAGTATCTGGCTGTTCACATCCTGGGAACAATGGCTCAATGACATAGTATGCGAATGTCAGCGCGACAATTGCTAAAGAACATGGTCGAACTATCATACATTCAACCCATAATCTTAGAAAGGCTAAAAAGGGTCCAAAAGCTTCAAATATATAAGCATAATCGGCACCCGATCTTACAATAGCTGTGCCAAGTTCAGCGTAACAGTATGCTCCTATCATAGAAAATAGTCCACATGCTATCCAAACTATGAGTGATAGTCCAACACTTCCACAACCGCCAACCACACCTTTGGGGCTGACGAATATACCCGATCCAATGATCGAGCCAATAATAACTGTACAGCCATTGAGAAGACTGATTTTGGGTTTGAGATTTACTCCTCCATCATCATTTGCTGCAACAGGGACAGCACCATTCTCTACTGGAGTGTTTGGTTCTGTGAGGTTGATCTTCTCATAATCTTTACTAGGACTGCCAGGTGGTGACTTAGCAGCCATTCTGATTTCTGTTGTAAAATGAAAATCTGAAAAAAATTCATCAAAAAATCTGGATGATGATGAAATCAAAGTTTACAATGAAATTGTCCACACACGCCGTTTGTTTTAACACTAAAATATATTGTAAGGTGTTTTGTATGTTATGGAAGTCTTAAAATTGAAATCAAATGTAGCTTACCTTCAATAATCCTTTGCAAATGGAAAATATCTCTGAAAACGTGTTTCACAAATTGAAAATCTTTGTAGACTACAGGTCACGTGACTCGAGCAAGGTGACCGCTCAGTTCATAAATAGGGGTGGGAGGTTCTATTATGCTATCCATTGATTTATCATATCAAAAAAAGAATTAGAAGGAGAACTAGAAATATAGATTAGAACTATAAGGTATGTAATACATAAATTATTTGATTGAATGAAACATGGTTTTAATCAAATACAGATTGATAAAAGGCAAGCGTCTCTCACCCACCCCTCTCAGTCGCCTTATCCTATTCATTCATAATTTGAGTGACGTCACTTTATAGTAAAATATTTACAACCTGTCAATTTTCCACCATCTGTCTATCCCAGTCACGCATTCGGAGTGTGATATGAAAGTGATGTTTAGTACCATTCTTTCCTTGGACATCCATGCGATATATCCATAGTATCTATAATAATTAATAATCTATAATGATTGCCACGTGTTTTTTAAAGGTTGAATAAAGACTATAGAAGAAATTTGGGAGTCATTTTACCTTTCCCGAACTATTAGTGCAACGTTTGGCCTAATGTCTTCTTCGCCATACCTATTTTCTTAAAATATATGCACTTGTTGACGAATACCACCAATCAGACTTGCAAATAGACTTCTAAATAAGCAATTGAAAGGTTGGACGTCCCGCCTTTTGTTTTTTGAAACATTTCTAAATCTCCGCCATTTAAAATTCTTGCTGCAGCTGAGATAGGTAAGACCGCATGTTACAGTATAACCACGGTTGTCTGATATAACCGTATGCATGGTACACGATATGACCGCCGTTGACGGTCTATTGCCGGCGACTCTTGCAGTTAATCTGATCCACTGACGAAGAAAAATCAGGGTTTACGAAAAAGACCGACCCCACCGACCACCGACCGGTCGGTGTTTTCCACTGGTAGCCTCAAAACAGGGTTTGAAGAAAATGTGTAAAAGACCGACCATATCATGTAAAAGACCGAACATATTTGTAGCCTTAAAATATTAATAATTTGATTTTGAATGTCAATCGTTGGACTAGGCAACGTTTTACCGATTTTGTACCTTGCAACGAATGGCAAGCAAACAAATTGGGCATGACTGTCTCCTCTCGATTAATTGTCCTGCCTTAGGTCCTAACCTATCATTAACCAACCTATCGTTTATTTTTAATGAAATTTAACAATTTCGAAACAAAAATGATTTGTTATCGTCATAGCCTACTCGAATATTGAACACGATATAATGTTACATGCGTTCTCTTATCGGGTTTAAAAGTGACTTACCATTTCAGTACACCATTAGAAAGCTTTTTTTGTCATATCAAATTTAGTTTTTACCAGGTGACGTTTAACAACTGAGAAATCAAACATAACGTTACGACGTCAACATCGACGATGTTTGTGTGTTTTTGTTATTGTGTTTCATATGAATGAAGAATGAACGTAATGCAATGTTACGTGCGTTTTTTTCCAAAGTGACTAACCAGGATGAAATTGGTCTTCTAACAACTGAAACATCACTTAAAAATATGACATTACACACCACGACGATGTAACGTTTTCATCGTGATTTGAAATGATTAATTATACGTTTTTAAATCACGACCTAGTAAAGGTACTATAGTCATTGGATTCCCAGTTTTAGTTTTACTTCTAATTTTGCATTTTTCATCTTTATGTAAAAGACCGTCAGCCGACCACCGACCACATGTACCCAACTGTGGAGAGTGACTGGTCGGTGGTCGGTGTTTTTCGTAAACCCGAAAAATAAAAAAAATCTAAGACTAAAACACCTCAAATCTGCCCATATTCAAGGTCTTCTTGACACGCGCATGGTATAAAGGAAACAGAATGTTGGATAGAACGGTAGGTGAAAACGGGGCTGGAATCCAATGACAATATAACCGGTAAATCATTCAAAGGTACGTGAGCATTTTTTCTGTCGATGTCGGGAGTTTGGGGGTTTTCTTTGTAGCTAATGAAAATAGATGTTAGCCTTGATGAAATATTCAAAATTCGATATATTTTGACACCAGGACCATGATCGTTGGATACGTCTCTGCACTATTTATTCAACCTTCATAGCCCAGACAACAATTTCATTGAATAACTCACAGCTTTTCACATGAGAGATAAACTTCACATTCATGTCAGGTTTTATGTCAAAGTAGATGTGTGTGGGAGAGGGAGGGGATCAGGTATAATTTAAAAAAGTAGTAAGGCTCAATTCAAAACTATTGACGACAGTCACAGCTTCAGTGCAATTTACAATTACTTTCCACATTAACATAGTGGAACTTTTTGCTGAAAAATGCGTAACATTCTGAAAACATGATATGCCTCACATACTGTTTTGTGATTATTTCATCATCCTAGTAAAAGAATGAGACATATAGGCCCAATGGAATCGGAGAGCTGAGAATCAGGAATGCAGTAAATTTATTTTTCCTACACTTATAATGGAAAAGTAGCATTCTACCTTTCATTCTAATTCATAGAGCTGAAGAAATGTCCCTGTCTAAAATAGTGAGAATGTAAATTCAATTCTAAACTTCTTTGTAATTTCTACCTTATGGTAAACTAGTGAGTAAATGGAACAGAAATTTGACAAATAGTGTTTTGAATGGAATGTTGTTCAAGATGAACATCTAATAATTAATTAAATAATTGTAAAACAATCACTTACAGGCCCGTAGCCAGGGGGTCCAAAATTCTTTCAAAATCATGCAGTTTTCATCATTCTGAGCACTTTTCAAGTGATTATAGCCATTTTTGGACCAAAATTGTCAAAAGTGAATCCCCTCTGGAATTTTTCAAAAAGTGACCCCCCCCCCTCCAACAAATCCTTGCTACAGGCCTGACTTAGAAGATAGACTTTCATGGAACCAGAATAAAAGCAATAAATTTTTGTGCATTGAATAAATGATATTATAAAACACATTAGAAAACTACCGCATTTTACAAAATCTTCCGCAAAACTAGTTTTTCAAAAATCTACTGTTAAACTACCGCATTTTTCAAAAACTTCCGAAAAGTACCATTTTTTTCAAAAATCTACCGCAAAAACGACCGAATCTTTTCAAAATCTACCGTAAAACTACCGCATTTATGTCGAAAAATACCGCAAAAACTACCACATTTTAAAAAAACTACCGCAAATTTTTGGTCTTAGGTTGGCAGGTATGGATAATATCAGGAAACCTTGACATTCCTAATATAATGTTAATCCAATGTGGATGTACACCATTAATTTCAATATGTAAGAGATGTTTTAATTTTATGTTTTAATATTGCATGCACTTTAAAAGTCATAGCTGTGGTTTGAAATAACGGATACATTGTACAATTTCTCTGAAAAAATAATGTTCATACATCAGAATAGACATTTCATACAAAATTGACTTACATTTAGGTGAGGTTTTCTAATTTTTAAAATTATTTTTACTGCCCCTGGCAGGCCCACGGCAGCCTCCCGGCATAATTTCAACCACAAAATGCCCCCAAAATCTCCCCTTGTCATAACCCCGGCACTTCAATAATGCCGACCCCGTCAACCCTGGCAACCCCGAAATTCTTTTGTTTAGCCCTAGGCAATTGCCCCCAAATGCCCCCGACAGCAGACCCCGGCCTATGTTATATTCCCATAGAGAATTTTTTCGCCCTTGGCAAATTGCCAACCCCTGGTCGCCGGCAAACCCCGGAGCTTTTCGCAAGGGCAGGCTTGTTTCAAAAATGTTGAAGTTTGTTATGCAGAGAGTATGAGCCATGAATATCACAATTGAAAATTAAATTAGCAATCAAAGTTATTCATCCAAGGAGATGGAAATTAACACCAGGGTCTTGCGCCATCTATAAATGAAGGAAAAGCTATTCACATCTTAGTACATGTACACCAAATCACTGGTTCCAACATGGTTATAAAGATGTTATGTTAGGCCTACTGAGATAACAAAATGGAGGAACTTCTATTGGAGAAAATTTGTAAGATTTTTAATTTTCATCGTTTTTACCATCAAAGAGGTTGATTTACATCCATATATTTTACCCATATGCTGTTGTTGGTAATATCTGGTTACTGAAAAGCTATACTAGTCTGTCACGAGCAAATACATGTATACCATCAGCTCAAATAATCGAGTGAGAATTCCCTCACTTCAGCATCCAGGACATTATCTGGTCAAATTCATAACATCTTGGTTGCTTCATGTTATGGCCTAACGTCCTGGTAAGTGAAGTGAGGAATTCTCACTCAATCATTGGAGCCCTTGGATGTTTATATGGGACTGATTCGCCTTTCAGTAGCAGGATGTTACTTTTAACATACAGGTAAAATATTTGGATACAAATCGACCTCCTTGACATCTTGGGTTGAATTAAATGAATTGTGAAATGACTTTCAAAAGGACACTCTTTATTACAGAATGAATCATCAAAGAAACTTCAGAATATCAATTAAGGAGTCACTAAATGAAACTTTTGTAAGTTAGTTCTTAAATCAATTGTAACCATATACTGTATAAGTGGTAATTTTGCCTAATCATTTAATTTGCCTATTTCCTAATTTTTGCCAGGTTCGGAAAATTAAATGTCGGAAATATTGTCTTTATAATGTTATCCAATGGGAGGTTTCTTGTCATTAGGAAAATTAAAATTAGGAAAATGATGAAATTTGAACATTCGGAAAATGAACCACTCGGATTAAATACCACTTATACAGTATAAGTACAAGGCATTAGCATGCAAAATGTCACTACCTGCCATTTTTTAAAAGATGCTGATCTCCAAATGCTGAATGTCAGATTCACCATCCACAAAAAACTTTGAGACTATAACAATATGTCACCTGTTGAGGGGGTGACATAATGAGCAAATAATAATGCCATAGTAAGAGAACAAGAAATTAAGTATACGTCATCATGGGTTCGTACAATGTAGCTTACAAATCAACATAAAATATTTGTTTATATTTTATAGCACTTTATTAAAACAATGCTGACCAGCCTGTTGTATTCTACATCTCCAAACATTTCTAGACATAAATAACAAAAAAAACTCCCAGTAAACCATTTTCAGATTATTTTTAAGACTTGAATCTCTAAAAACAAGTTAATATGATTTTTGTGAGTCAGTCAAACCTAAACAAGAACACAAACGTGTACAATATGTCCCCACCAATGGGTGATCCTGTCAAATGGATATCCTGATAATGAGTAGTCAAGACTTTATCGTTACAATTTTGGGACGGAAAATGCAAAATGGCCACCTTAAAATTTACCCAGAATAGATTTTCATACTAAGAATCATCCCTGAAAATTTGAAATTGATCTACCAAAACGGTTCACCTGGAAATGCGTAGACAAGACTTTACAGACAAGATTTTAGGACGGAAAATCCAAAATGGCTGCCTTGACATTTACCAAGAATGCCAAAACACTAATCAGATCTAGATTTTCATACTAAGAAGCATCCCTGAAAATTAGAAATTGATCTACCAAACGATTAACCTGGAAATGCGTAGACAAGACTTTACAGACAAGATTTTAGGACGGAAAATCCAAAATGGCTGCCTTGACATTACCCAGAATGCCCGAAAACTAATCAGATCTAGATTTTCATACTAAGAATCATCCCTGAAAATTTGAAATTGATCTACAAACGGTTCACCTGGAAATGCGTAGACAAGACTTTACAGACAAGATTTTAGGACGGAAAAATCCAAAATGGCTGCCTTGACATTTACCCAGAATGCCCAAAAACTAATCAGATGTAGATTTTCATACTAAGAATCATCCCTGAAAATTTGAAATTGATATACCAAACGGTTCACCTGGAAATGCGTAGACAAGACTTTACAGACAAGATTTTAGGATGGAAAATCCAAAATGGCTGCCTTGACATTACCCAGAATGCCCGAAAACTAATCAGATCTAGATTTTCATACTAAGAATCATCCCTGAAAATTTGAAATTGATCTACCAAACGGTTCACCTGGAAATGCGTAGACAAGACTTTACGACAAGATTTTTGGACGGAAAATCCAAAATGGCTGCCTTGACATTTACCAAGAATGCCCGAAAACTAATCAGATCTAGATTTTCATACTAAGAATCATCCCTGAAAATTAGAAATTGATCTACCAAACGGTTCACCTGTAAATGCGTAGATAAGACTTTACAGACAAGATTTTAGGACGGAAAAATCCAAAATGGCTGCCTTGACATTTACCCAGAATGCCCAAAAACTAATCAGATCTAGATTTTCATACTAAGAATCATCCCTGAAAATTAGAAATTGATCTACCAAACGGTTCACCTGGAAATGCGTAGACAAGACTTTACAGACAAGATTTTAGGACAGAAAAAATCCAAAATGGCCGACAATAAAAAAGTGATGATGAGTTTTTGCTGATTTCTTCTTACAAAATTATCACATATAACTACTGTTAACAATAACATAGGCTATTACAACAAAGTACACCTGAAATTATTTATAAAGCTACTAAATAGTTAAAGTATGAAAACTGAAAAACACCATTCAATATGATACAAAGTATTATCGCGCGCTAACTTTTCTTAAAACATTCAAAATGGCTGACATGACTGAGCTAACAGGTCCAAAACCTAATCAGATGTAGAATGAAGTGAGCTGAACAAGATATTAAAGTTTTAAAAGCAACTGTGAAGCCGTTTTTCTTAAAGTTTGCAGACAAGGATTTTAGCATTTGACTTCAAAATGGCCGACAGGAAGTAGGTATCGAGTTAAATTTTTTTCATCCACATCTGTATGCACTCATAAGTTATCCCTGAAAATTTGAAGGTGATATCTGTAGCTGTTTTGGAGAAAACTGCCGGACGTACGGACAGACGGACAGACAGACGGACAGACAGACGGACAGACAGACGGACGGACGGACGCGCCTAGGCCGACAATATGGCCCCACACTATGTGGTGGGGACATAAAAAGGCAATCAAAGGACCACATTGCAACAGTATACGGAAAAATAGAAACAAGATTGTTTGTGGTTTGGCTAACAAATGTGTGGCTTCTTCCATTTTGTCATGTAATTTTAGAAGCATGGCCTCAAAATTAACATTGCTGCATATTAAACCAATAATCTGAAATATTCAAAAGCTAGGTATCTAAAATATGAATGAACATTGTATTTTTTATCGATATAATATTGCACTATGGTCCTATGATTGCTTATTTTTTAATTTTGACCGACTCATAAAATATTTTTACTTTAATTTGAAAATACATAAAACAAAGGAACACCTCTTTTGATATGCATTTCCTCATAACGGTTTATGAGGCAATATCATTGGTTTGTTTTATTATTTGCTTGTGTTAATCTACACTAGAAATGAATCTGCCTTAAGCCTCAGTCACATTTGATCTACGGCAACCATACAGCAGCCATAGCTTCCCAAAATTGAGAATAAAAATATGCAGCATAAGATATAGGGATAAGCAGTACATGTAGATTTTCTATATCGATTTTGTGAAGCTACTGCCGCTGTTACCCGCTGTAGAACAAATGTGACTGAGGTTTTAGTCTTGATTGTAACCCCGGATTGTCACCAACCTACAGTATAATACAAAACTACACTGACACCATCTTTGTTAACAAATAAACATTAAAATGTGTTCATATAAATTAATCTGACTCAAAATATAGAAAAAGTAATATAGATTCTGGACACTTCTGTCGTCGCTACGATAGGGTTGAGCCAAATTGTGAATTACAACATCGACCTGTCACCTCCCCATCTCCATGACTACAATAACATTGTATCCTACATTTGTCTTCTTTGAATATTTAGGTAATACTTGTACAAAATAGAACTCTAGCTTTGGACTCTCTGTATAGAATCTGTGTTCACTAGTCTACAATAATTTACTCTTATCTATCTAAAATCACAGTGTTGAGATGTACTTTGGCACAAGCAGTTTTCGGAGGATCTTCCGGGAATAATTTCTATGCATGTATTTACAAACTGCTTTAAGCTACTATGTTCACATAGTGTGTGCATGGACTACACTACAGACTGTAAGCTAAAGACAGAACACCCTGGGAAGTTCACCCTATATAACTTCAATAGAAACAGGACCTGCGTAATATGACATGTGAACAAATCACTAAAAAGAAACATCTCATACAAATTCATATATATCAAAGAATATTTCATGCATGGAGTCTCAATAAATCTTGTAGATTATGTTCATTCCGACTGTAGGGTTCATTTTTGGAACAATCGTAACTTACAATTTGGTCGCGAGTCATTGTACATCAAAATGTACACAATGGTTTTCGCGGAATCATAAGTACGATTGTACCAAAATCGAAGCCCCTTTTCTTATATATTCAAACTATCAAAGGGTTACATTATCTTTAGCTTAACATCTATACTACTACACTAAAATGGCTTCAAGCATCTGCTGTAGCACAAAAACATCATCCTCTGATGTCATATTCAACATATAATCATTCGATTGAAATTACAGTACGTAAGACAAAATGTGTCTTTATAATGTAAAATAACAATTTCTATCTCTTGGGTTACAACATTTGAAAATATCAAGTGACAGACACACATACAGTGCAAATACCAAATAGAAATGTATAAAAGTACAAAACACTGACAATTACAAACAAATATATTAAACTTGGAAAACATTATCACATCACAAAATTACAAACACAATTCTGATAATTCAAATATTTTGTTGAGAAAAATTGAAAATCTGAGAATTTTATATTTCAAAGAGAATTTCAATGCTCTTGCATTTTTTTGGCTTACACTGGTACTGCGCAATCCATAATGAATGAGACAAAAAAACTAATGAAAATATAATGTACTTAAAGTAAAAATTGCAAAATTGAATGGCTCATGAGGGTGAACACTGTAATAAAACAAACACCTCAATGAGGCAGAGATCTGAAGAATGAACACTGTAGTATAAGCACCTTTTCTGGAGTAATTGCCACAAGCTGACACACAACAACCTCTATACACATTGTAATTTTGATGATGAAATCAACCAAGTTTTCCTATATACATGTATCAAGAGAAAACTGTGTGTGCATGAGTGGACCTTGAAATTCATAAATACTATGAGCATTGTATTGTTATTTTGTAAAACTGAACATAAACCAGATTTTCTGATTACGATAAATAAATTATAATAAAAATCAAAATCATAATTTCATTTCTTATTTCATCAATTCCAGAAATGATCTTATTTTATTCATCCATTTCCGAATCTCCACTTAAAGGAATTGGTTCACCAGTTACTTTACATCTGTGCACTATTGCTTTATCATAGGCACGTTTAACGGCCTTGCGTACATTTGGTTTCTTGCTCTCAAGAAGCTTGGCTTTATCTAATCCGGAGTCTACACCTAAAGGTTCAAGTTTGTCTCTTGGAAGCCACTGCCTGCAAAACACAATCAATGGTTTATAAAGGTCTTATGGAAAATCATAGTTACTAAATTATGCTTATATTACTTACAATATATTACAATACAATGAGCTTGGCATGAACATCTAATTCTGTATTTGAAATTGATCATACAATCGTATAGTATTGCAAATCTTTAATCTCCTTTGTCATTATGGAACACAAATTCAGGTTAAATACTTTTTAACCAAGTACGCTGCTTTTCATGCTATTATTACCATTGCAATTTTCTTCAGAACTTCGTGTATTTTAATGGAATTAAACAAAGAAACGCCGACAATTTCACACTGGCCTAACACAAACAATCAATTCAATTCAATAAGACCTTACCATGTGCGCTTTGTATCAAAAAAGAGGACCAAGTATACAGGGTATGAGAAGTTTGCTTGCAGGGCTATGACATCCTCTGGGGGAACAGGAATGGGCACCCCATTGTGGAAGTAACCTGTTGAGGGCATCTTGGGGTTAATCATCTAGAACAAAATGTATTATTATTTATTTCATTGTTGAGTTCACTCAATGCAATCAATACTGAATGAGAAAATTCATGAAACAAAATAAAATTAATTTTTGATTTTGACTTTTTTCCTGGTATTCAGTTTCATGACTTCCGCTTTGAAAGTGAGCTAACAGGCAAAACGAGAAAAATGAAGAGAAAGATCCCATTATAAGGTATTAATTCTCATGTTTAAACTTTTTTACATTTTCTAAACTAGAGTCACAAGCTAAAATTGCATCAATCTTTTGTATCATATTTTGAGGTTAATATTGTTGCTTGAATTGAAAATAAAACTTGAGTACGGTATGTTAGAAACCCTAATAAATATGCAAAAAACTTGAAGGATACTATATTAACATACCAGAGCAGGATACCAGGGGTATCCCCTACACTTGGCCCACACCAGATCAAGAGCCTCCAAGGTCACCAACTCATCATCAGAGTTACGATGCAAGTTTTTACGGGCTGTAATAATAAATGTCAACTCTATATCAGGTTGCAGCTGAAATTCTTTCATGACTTCAAAAGTACAGGGCGATTAAAAAAGTTGGGCTTTTTTGCTTCCTATGCTTACTTCACATGACAGATACTAGATATTCTTATTGAACAAAATTCTCTGTACTTCAATTAATCTAGTAATAATTTGTTTTTGAACAGCATCAATAGGCATTTGTTAGACATCCACAACATCAATGTATAAAATAAGTTAAGCTTTTGGACCACCCTGTAAATGATCATAATTATGACCAATCCAATGCCCAAAACTGTTAGTTAAGATTATTATTAAAATCAAGAAAGAAAGTCTGTAAAGTTTAAGATAAAAGAAACTCTCGTAAAGTTAAGGATACCAGAGTAAGTGGTTTCCTTCTTTTGCCTTCATTTTATATCCATGGTTTTGATTTAGGAATATTCAACTTGATGAAGTCTCCGTTGATGACCCCCATAAATATACAAGACAATGTTTTGCATATTTGTTTAATACAGTGAAAGTAAAGAGGCAAAGATGATGTAAAATGTTTGAAGAAAAGAAAGTGAGGGATAGTGTTCAAATATTGACCATTGTGGTGAAACAAAGTTAATTTTGTTATGGTAGTTGAAAATTAACATCTTTCACTCATGAACTCTTCATGTGTCTGTTCCCCCTTACAAAATTAACTTTATTTTTTTATTTTCCAAATGGTACACACTAATAAGTATTGTAAGATCTGCAGTATAGTTTTAACAAGCCAAACACCAGTCAATATTATTATGATTTGCTCAGAGAGGTAAAGTGTGTTTTGAATTTATGAACTACCTTCTTTTGACTTTGCTATACAATCTACATCAGAACTTTCAGCTGAGGAGGCATCAGTCACGAGAGGACCTTTCTTCCTGGGAGTTTCTCCACTGGGATAATTTTTCAAGGGACTGTTATAGACCCCATCACCACATGCACCTGAGCTGGCTGGGAATTCATACTGGGGACTCTCAGGGGATGGAGGACTATTTTTACTATTACTATATCTATGAGAACCTTTTGTACTGCTCCTATTTATTCCATTAACAATTTCATACTCTGTGCTAATGTGACTATGAACATTATTCCCAAAGCCAATTTCATGTGGAAGTTCATGATTGCTGGATTTTGCTTTCAAGGAGGTAGTGACATCTTTACTAGGTGAATGAAGTTCAGAATTTGAAATACTCCTTGTTTTCCTCCGTGCAGGGATTTTCCCAGCTTTAACTGAATTACTTTCTGGTTTTGGATCTAAGTTACTTTTCCTAAAATAATTAGTGATGAGATTTTTTTGTTTTGATGACGACTTTGAGGTTGATTGATGATTAACTTTTAGCTTTTTTGTTGATTTTGAGGTAGTTTTGTCATTGCGGGGTGTAACTATGGGATGAGAGAGTGAGAGTTTGGGGGTACGGGGTAATAGTTTAGGAGGGTCAGTGGTGTGAGAGGCGCTGGGTAAAGCATGCAGCGAGGCACCTAAAAGACAACACCAAGCAGAGTCAGTCAGCGATAGAACCATGCATGAAAAGTCCAACATCAAAAACAAAGCTCAAGTCTCCAAACAAGCTTTGTATTATCACCATGTTAACACTGATAACTTTCTGTCCATTTTTACAAATTATATCAAATCTACAAAAAATTATTGGACATTTCTTAGCAACTGTTTTTGATGTGGACTTTTCATAGGCAGATTACAAAGCACACCACAACAGTATTTCAGAAGCAAACTGATGATTTCTATGGCTACAACAAGTAATTACAAAGTACAACAAATGTGGTTCGTAGAAATAAGATTAACTACTGGATATAATTCATTTAGAGAATGAAAACCACAAATTGTACTTATATTAGTGTACAGTGACCCAGAGAGCGCAATCAAAGAAATGAAACATAATATAACATACATAAATATGAATATGAAATCATTAAATTCATGTTTTGCTAAACCATAACCCATATTTATTTGTTTAATTAATGTTATTTTTGCAAATTCCACTTAATTATAATTTTGTGTATGTTTTTATTCCATTCACTGATGTGCCCTCAGGGCCACTTTGCCCTGGTACAAGTACAAGCTGCGGTTTTTGTTCTCCAAAGACTTGCAACAAAAGGTCTCTGATTACTATTTATGTCCACGATTTCTGAAACACCAACCCCTGAGAAAGTGGTTTGGGTTATCTTGAGAAATAAATTGATCAATCAATTGCTCATTTCCTGTCAAATTTATAAATGATCTGGATCTCATGCATTTAGATAAAGCTTGACACTTATGTAGTTTCTATTAATCATAGCACTTTTATTTATCCATCTGTCCATCCAGAGAATTGATAATGCTGAGATTATGGACAATGAGAGATCTGGTATAGTAATCATTGTCCAAATTGAACTTAATCTGTATGGCTTGCAGGGGTTTATTTAGAATTTCTGACAACAGGCAAAATGAATAAAAACAACATGTAAAATAAAATTATTGGAAATTATAATTTGATTTCTTGAAACAAATGATTTTGGTAAAAAGAACTGTAAAATTGCTAAGGAACCCCTGGATGATCATTTAGTACTAATAACGACCTGCTGATATCTTCACAATGGTTTCAGAATGCGTCATAAGGATTTCAAAAATGCTGGTTAAAATTTAACTATGGACCAGTTGCAATGTAATTTTCCTATACAAGCTGAAAAGTAAGCTAGACCAGACCAAAGAAACTGGCTCAGGACCTCTGGACAAATGCTAATTTCGCACCCTGAATGGTATAAATTATATCTACATTTTACATCAAATCAGACCAGTCTTGTCCAAAGCCCTTTTTACCAAAATGCATTAGAAAAAGAAGACGTATCTTGCATCAAGCCTGTTTGTAACATTCCTCCCTCAACATACCCATTGCCCATTTAGGTAGGCTAATAGATGGCACTGGAGAACAGTTGCTGCTAGACTTGTTTTAAGCATGCGAAAAAGAGCTATTCAATAAATACAGAAAGATGCAAAGAATTGTTAATTAAGCATGGTAAAAATGAATGGCAACATAAAGTATGGCACTCAAAGGCACACTCTTGGCACTAATAAGCCAGCTCTTCTGTTATACAACACCCATAAGAAGCCAGGACAAATACATACACTATGTTAAGCACCCGCATGAAGCAGCCTGACACTTAACAAGAAATTGAGTTAATAGATTTCATATTTCAATTTATTTATAAATATATAATTCATTTGTTGACATGTGATGCTAAACATAGTACTGAATTGTCGTGGCCTATCATGTCCCAAGGCTACGTACCTCGTCGACTATATCTATGTGAGCCATCCTCATTTTCACCCTCAGTTCCACTACTAGAGTCACCCGTTGACCGCGACGCAGAGCTGGATTCTGACGTGACATCAGAGTAGTCTGATTCACAACTGGATAATAAATGAGGCTCCTGTCTATATTGAAGGAAACTCTCTTTCCGCATTGGACTTCGTGGACTTTTTGGACTTTTAGGACTAAGAGGCTGCAAGTGCATGTTTGAATCTGAGGTTGGTTTTTTGGCGACCGGGGAGTTTGGTGCAATATCAAGCATCCCTGTATTGCTTGCTGAGCGTTTACGACGTTTTTTACTGATCTGTGGACTAGCGGGGCCCCTTGAAATGGGCCCTGGACTTCCTGGACCCCTAGGGCCAGGGCTGGAAGGGCCTCTAGAGGCAGGGCCTGGACTTGTAGGGCCTCTAGAAGGTGGACGGGGACTTTTAGGCGTAGCAGGAGGTTTTACATCCTCATCTGAGATCTGTGGTGTCTTAACTTCTTTCATTTCTACATCAACAGCTTTAGGCTTTGCTGGTCTGCCTGGTTTTCTAGTCGGAGTAATTGCAGCTCTGTCCTTTTCTTCCTTGTTTGATAAATGTAAAGGTCCTTTGCGTATCTTGCTGAATAGGACAGCGGTGCGTCTGTTTACCCCAGAGGTGGAGGGTGAAGGTGTACTGGCGCTGATGTTGGAGCCATCATTGCTGGACTTGCTGGATTGGTTAGAGGGTGTGTAGGGTCTCTCAGGGCTGACCTTCTCATCTGGAAATCAACATATGTGGATTTTAACATTAAAAATACATAGATCGTGGTAGGATATTTTCACATTAATTTCAATTCTTTACACTATATGTGGATCCTTAATAGATTTCAATAGTATGCATTCCTTAATTTGAAGCATTACTTAAATGAAAATGAAAAAAATGAAGTGTGATCCATGAATTTTGTGAGGACATTCAGTGAATTTCAGTGATGGTCTCAAATCTGTGATATACTTTTACTTTAAAATATTATGCAAAAGCAAGGTATGTGTAAAGCTCACCTTTCTCAGTTACAAGCTCAGTCTCCACGCTAAGTTCTGGTTCAGGCTTGGGTTTCTTACGCCAGCCTTTGGGTCGCCCTCGTGGCTTTTTTGGGGTAGTCCTGGGGGTGCCGGCAAGAGGGGCAGGAGATCTTGGGGCCCCTCGTACACCTTTCAGAGGGGATGGACTACGCCTTGGAGAACCATGTTTGATATTTTCTTTGGTGTCTGCAGAACAAGATTGGTTTAGATTATTTCTACGTATAACAATCATTACAGCAAACACTACATTTAGTAAAATTCATGTAAATATTTATCTACTTTATAAGAAGTATTGTTATGCCATTGTATGATTGAATTTGAACAGACAATTATTAAGGAAATATAAAAATGAGAAGCGGAGACTTGATTCGAGGCTAAACACAATGTGTATATTTTTTATAAACACACTGTAAAGGTAGCACATTCAGCTTAACTGTAACCATCTTTGGCCCTGTACATCGAACTATAGTCTTGCTTGAAATCTCTGGGATCCCTTTTTGTCTACTTCAAAACCTTTGTGGGGAGGATTTAACAAGGGCTTGCAGCTAGACTAATCCAATTACTCAAAGACATTTCTACCTACCTCCCTCTATATCTGAGCATTCTGTACTACTAGCACATTCCTGTTCACTAAGGAAAGCCTGACCCTTCTGTATGGCTAACTTCCGCCTTACTTTGATAATCTCCATACGTATCATCTTAGCCACCTTCGACTTGCGACCTGAAATATCAATAATATGTATATTTTCTATCATCTAATGCGCTCTAATACATTCAATAATAAATTCTCTTTTACATCCTCCATCATGTAGACACTTCTATTAACATCTTTCTTCTAACAAATGTGTTTCTCTATTTTGTTAATTCCTGGAATTTCAGCAACCTTGCAATTGTAATCTTTGTAACTTTGTTCCAGGCTCAGGTGTAATTTTCTTTGTTATTGAAGTATTTTTCAATAGAAATGTATGTAGTGGTTCATCAATTTCTATATCTTTCTTTATATTTTATAAAAGATTGTTTGGCATCATAGCATCACTCCAAACCTTTTGACTACATAACAATGACGAGCTTAATGTTAATTGTGTTTGTTCCAATTATATACAATTGTATGCTGTCCACCTCTGGAGGGGTGAACAATTGTTTACTGCATTATACATACCAGGTTTCATGTGAGCCATGTCCAGTTTGTCCAATAGAACACGTAGTTGCTCCTCCAGAGGAAGTTTCTCCCTTGCATCTGAGTGGATGAATGTGTCAACTTAAACATATGATATTTATTATTACTACACACCCTGAAACTCCATTGACAAGTAACACTGCCCTCTCACTTTAACAGGTGATTTTTTTACTCTTGACTTTTGTAAATATTATATGTATGACAGATGATTTTAAGTCCATTGTAGTTCAAAGTTAAAAGATTTAAATGATCAGAATGAACAATCCACAGCATTCTAAATGGAAGTCGAGCTCTTGTTTTTTGCAAGGGTAACTACCATACTTCTTTACAATCAAATACCACAATGCACAAACTGTATCATAATAATTATGGTGACAGTGACCTTAATAGCATAGATGAAATAGATGAAACCAGGTGATCCACTTAGATTGGAATAATCTGGTTAAAAATCAGTTTTCGTCCAACTAGGATATGCAAGATATTCTAATTAAACTAATTACACTTTGCAGCCAGGGGAGAACAAGTGTAGCAATACAATGTGTGTTTCTCTACATACCATCCTCCAAGATATAAGGATCAGCCGTTGGTGGCTTTGGGGGTTCATCAGTCATCAGCCCTGTCTCTGCTACAATGCCAACCTTCTCAATCATCCTACGTGTTGCCCTGATAATAGCACCTCCCTAGAAAAGGCCATCATTCATTTATAAATGAAGGAAAAAACAGTTCAATTATGCCCAGGTAAAATTGGAAAATTCTGAGGCTGTGAACCATGTTGGAAAGTACAATTTGAAAAACATTTTAAAAACAGTTTTTTTTCTTTATAGTATAGCTTTTGCAGTTTCTTTATTAAGTCAAATGTTCTTTATAGATTCTGTTTATTTTCAAAAACATGTTTACATCAAGTACAGTACTATATAACCCCTACTCAGTTTGGGAGTGTTATAGACATTACCTGGTCTCTCATACGCACACCAGCTCTATAGAACACTGTCTCTTTGGCATTATAAGCTAAACAGTTGCTAACTACCAGATCAAAGTCGGCCTCAAACTCATCAATGGTTTTATACAAATGGGAGTTCATCTTTTTACGCATTGTGGCAAAGTCCATGGGTTGTTTTATGAAACTATAGTAATCTGGCACCTGTAAAGGAAAGACAGTTTGAAACACTGATTGCATTTAATTGAAGACTGTTGCTCTTTCTATCTGGTATGACTAGCTTGAATATTATTTTGTATGCTGAGTGAAACTAAAAATACCTGATTTCAAAGACCCAATATTTAATTCCAAGGCATTTGATGCTTCAAATTCATTTTTAGTAGTTCTATTTATTTTCTTTTTTCTATGTTTAAGTTTGTTTAAATTTCTATTGCATGGTAGATGTCTGTGAGTTATACCTCATCCCTATCTACGGGTTCAGCAAATATTCCCATATGGTCCTTCTCTTGTATCTGGTCCAGGGCACTTCTAATATGCATAATGAATGGACGCAGTCTCATCTCAGTCTCAAGCTCTGATAGTCTGATCTAAAACACACAAGTTACATTTTTTACATTTTTGCACTGAATATTATTATTTCGCTCTGAAATAAGTGCCTCCAATTTCTGGAGTTTCTTATACATGTATATACTGATTTTGTATAATCATCTACACAAATTGAATATGTAAACTGCTAACAATTTTGAAAAAAATATAACTTTTAGAAAATTTAACTAATTAATTCAGGTAGTACTATAACAGATTCAAGTTGTATGTTTAAAGAGTATAACATACAAAACATAGTGCAAATCGAAATACTTAAGATGTTAATAAAATTGTAAACAATAACATAAACTCATTGATAAAACATGTATATAAAGGAAATTAGAAATGGTCCACTATCAATTAAGGCATTAGCAGCATTTCCATGATATTATACAAAAGGAACTTGCAAGGAAATAGTTGCGGTCAATCAAATGAATAGCCTCTTAACTAAGGTAGCTTTTTTTCTAGAAAGATAATTGATTACATCATACGTAATTCTAGCATGCCCTGTTGATAGATCAAGTGGCCATGTAGGATATCTTATCATATGATAAAATTCACCTTAATAAAAAAACTCTACATTAAAACATGCAATGGTGAACACTTCTACAAGGTGAGCACATGCAGTATCACTGTCTATAAACTATAAACTGAACACTTTTTACTTGAAAAAAAGGTTTTGTATTCAAAAAGCATAACTCGCATTAATTTACATTATGTCTCTTTCAATTAAAAATTTATAAAAAGTACATTTTCTCAAATAGAACATAAAGATTTCAATAATGTTATCGAGCAGATTTGCTAAACATTTGTATGTCCCGAATATTAGGCTCAGGGGAGAAAATGTTATCAGAAATCAACTCAATACCTACAAGCTTATCAGAGATAACCTTTACATGGAAGTTAACTACTGGCCACAGTAATGCCTTCTAATGACTCTAGAATAAGGAAGAATATAAGTTAAGAGGAACTGGCTGTTTTAAATGATGCAAAATCAATGAAACTGTTGAATTTGGTAATATAGGTAGAATGAGATGTCCAGGGTTTTGCTCATGTATTTTTTTCATAAAAAATTATTCTCTGACAATCACTTGGATTCAAGGGTGGTCTTCAAACTATGTGAGATGTAAGAGTAAAATTGACAAATTATATATTTTTTTATTCTCATTTCATGTACAGTACAGTGCATATTTGCAGCTTTTTCGGACTTTTCGCAAAATTCTAAAATCCAATGACCATTTTAGCTATTCTTGAAAATCAAATCCATGTATTATGAAGAAATAACTTCTGTTCTAATTTAATTCAAAAAGCCTGAAGGGACAAATGATAATCCTATTTTGGTAACTGTACTTTACATAATATCTGCTGAAGAATGACCTGATAAAAACATCACTTCACTTGTATGTCAAAACTATAAACAAGTTTTACGTCAAATAAGACCCTTTTATATGATTTCAAATAATATTTATGAAATTATAATTCCAAAACAAAACAGAGTCATTCATAAATTTGACATGCTCAAGGCTTTTCATAACATTGTAAAGTTAAGTAGGAAATTATGTGACTATTATTTATTTGACCATGTTTACTCCAATGAGGTAAAAGGTGGCATGCCATGGGGCTTCAGTAACTATATTAGGGTATGATATATTATCGTACATTCGAGGACAAATCATGACCCCCAATGCAATCACAGTCGAATTATTTCTCAACTTCATTAAAAGCATTTACTAGCAATCGCATAGATACTTTGTTCGCCTGTTGACTGTGGGCGCTTATACTTCAGCCGATTTGAAACTCTCCAATGTCTCAACTTTCTGAATGTCTGGAACTATGGGATCACTGCCAGTGAATCAGTAAAGGCTTCTTGATGTAGAAAAAATTTGGTCTTGATTGAAGTTAATAATCATTTGTCTATGAGTGTGACCAAATATTTGATCAGAAAGAGATCATTTTAATATTAAGTGTTCATGAGAAAGGTTTCAACATGACAGAGACATGTGTTTTCCAGTGAAGTGTTCACCAGTATAGAGATGTGTTCATGAGAAAGGTTTCAACATGACAGAGACAGGTGTTTTCCAGTGAAGTGTTCACCAGTATAGAGATGTGTTCATGAGAAAGGTTTCAACATGACAGAGACAGGTGTTTTCCAGTGAAGTGTTCACCAGTATAGAGATGTGTTCATGAGAAAGGTTTCAACATGACAGAGACAGGTGTTTTCCAGTGAAGTGTTCACCAGTATAGAGATGTGTTCATGAGAAAGGTTTCAACATGACAGAGACAGGTGTTTTCCAGTGAAGTGTTCACCAGTATAGAGATGTGTTCATGAGAAAGGTTTCAACATGACAGAGACAGGTGTTTTCCAGTGAAGTGTTCACCAGTATAGAGATGTGTTCATGAGAAAGGTTTCAACATGACAGAGACAGGTGTTTTCCAGTGAAGTGTTCACCAGTATAGAGATGTGTTCATGAGAAAGGTTTCAACATGACAGAGACAGGTGTTTTCCAGTGAAGTGTTCACCAGTATAGAGATGTGTTCATGAGAAAGGTTTCAACATGACAGAGACAGGTGTTTTCCAGTGAAGTGTTCACCAGTATAGAGATGTGTTCATGAGAAAGGTTTCAACATGACAGAGACAGGTGTTTACCAGGGAAGTGTTCACCAGAATAGAGAGGTGTCCATGAGAAAGAAGTGTGATAAACTCACCAAAATATGTATTAGGATTATATAACATAGAGCTAGATTTGAATATGAAATATTTGATTTAATCCCTAACTTATCCTCAAATAAAACTTTCAAACTAATATCCCGGACAAAGAAAATGTTGGCAAAACTGAATAAATGAATCGTTAAAACAAGAATGGATCAAAATATATTTACAAATTGATACAATCATATTTTATAGTTTTTTTACATAAAATAACAATTTTGTTTATTGGTATAACTAGTAGTATCTTCAATAATGCTAGTTGTCATTACATTTGTTTTTATCATGATATTCAATTATATTATATGATATATTTAAAATGTTTATATGAGAATGTTTTCTACATTATGCATTTCAATTGGTGCTTTTAAAGGTGCTTTTAAAGTACCAAAACTAGCTCCATATTCAACTCAACCTCACTGTTGTTTACGTGAGAGTTCCCTCAAGAATGGACTCTTGAAGAAATGTTCAATTCCCATGTGCCAGTGAACATTCTAAGAACAGGTTCATTGTGATATAATCTTGGAGGAGGCAGGATATAGTATATCTAACCTACCACAATTTAGCGCCAACCTTTCATAAGATCTCAGAAAATTTGAGACAATTACAGTTATGATTTGACTGAACTTTATAACAAATAATTCAGTATATCACCTTGCATCAAAAATTTCATATAAATTCCAAAATTTCAGTTCTCAAGTTCCAAAGTTAAATTATTGCACTTTTTGGACAGGCAGTCACCATGGGAACAAGAAATCAGCCCATACTTAACAACAAACATCTCCTGATATTATGATGCAATAATGCATGATTACAAGCATGAAGCACCTCAGAGTCAATAGAAAATTAAGTTTCAACTCACTGAACTTGAAAAAGTAAAGATCAGTTTTCAATATTCATTCCAAAATCCAAAATTATAATCCAGTATATAAGCAGTCAATAACATAAAAGATACTCTAATGGGTATGTACTTTTGATGTTATTTTTGCAATTTTTTAGAAAGACGTGCGATATTCCATGAAGCATATCACTTCCCCTGATGAAGTACCTGGGACATTCCTGGGAACTACTGTGCTAATAGCAATACCACCACAGAGTGATGAGATCCCGGCAAGCACTACAGATAATTCCAGGATCAACATTCTTATAGATGTTTATTTCAAATAGAGAGAGATACCCCAACTTGACCTTCCTGAACTGAAGTATTTAAAATGCGACTGGGATTTGTCCACGAAATCAACAAGAAATCTTAGCAAAATCTTGTCTCCATTGGTGTATGATAATTTCGCAAAGCTACAAGAACTGAGAGCAAAGTAAACTATATGCACTTTATGAAATTTTAATTTTTCATTCATTGAATCAAAATTTTAAACTAACATATGCCAATCATATAAGGAGTGGGGAAAGATGATGGGTGCTGGTTGACTAACCAGAAGGGTTTAAGGGGAAGGATGGAAATGACTGCTTGAACCGAACAGATAAGTTTAGAGGACAGTCGGAGAGCGCTGCTTGACCCGATCATTCATGTTTGAGGGTAAGATGGTCGTAACATAGTCATCCAGTCAAGTATTTTAATGAATCTAATGCGTCATGCTTATTTAAAACTATGTACTAAGTGGGGACCCTTGATTATTTCACCACAATTTATTTTGGGCCAGAGAAATTCATTCAGAAAATCCCAGCAAGAAAATTCAATTATGAAATGCTGGAAAATATACTGAAAATATACTGAAAAGTATTTTACCCTCCAAATAGTATCAAACCTCCATTTATCTTTCTTATTACAGGTGATTTTATCAGCTCCGATGATTTTTCAAAACGATGATACTCAATCGTACATGGTATTAAGAGTATGAAAAGTGCCATCCACTTTTGGTTCATACTACGCGAGGAATTCAGAGGCCACACAAGGTCAAAATAAATGAATGAGAAGCACTCTTAGGTAATCTTAATTTACATGTAGAATTACGTGATATTTATACAAACAGCAGGTAACTACCGTAAAACATCTCAATTTCACTCAAATTTTATTTTGACAAAATTTGGTATGTGCTCAGATTTGTTAATTCTAAATGATGAAAATCATTGATTTTATTGAAAATGATGATGTACAAATGCTGAAATAGTGAATTCATCAATTAAGTGAGAAATTAGAAAATAAGATTCATAAAATTTGCATGTGTGAATAGAAATACTAGCCGTGTCACTTCTATCTTCAATGAAGGATGTTTATACCTTAAGTGTTCAATTATATTGCAAGAATGTAAGACAGACCCTTAAATGAGAATCTAGAACTGTACATGTATATAAACACTCTACTTGGAAAAACAAAGAGAAGAAATGCACTATGAGAATGAAGAAATTTGAGACATTTGTTACCAATTTATAAAATGTTAGGAAATTTGATTTTAAACTTTTTTTAGGGAGTGAGGCATGACCAAATGTGTTGACTCAATTTTCTCACTGCATGCTATCTCAAGGTATACATATGACTTTCCTCTTAGTATCAGAGACACATACAGAGCCGACCTAATGGGGGTATTCAATCATTTTGAACAAACTGAATTTCCCAATGTATAATTATAACATAATTATAACGTAAAAGAGAAAATAACTCAAAAATATCAAGAGTTGTTTTCGAGCAATACTATGAATTATCAGGAAAGTAAAAAAACTTTATAGTCCCCCAAAACCTAATTCAAGATAGGGGTTAAGATATTCTCAATAGTGAGAAACCACAAAGTATATCTAGTTCAAACTTGGCAACAATATGTCTGTCTACAACTATGAACTAGTCACTCTGACCCCAAATGGTCCATTATGAGCATGCTGCCCTTTAACCAATTAAACAGGTCAGGTTTTAATGCCTTTAGATAGTATTATGAATATATCAGTTTTTTATTTACTGTAAAACAAAAAGTTTGCTTGGAATGTTGATTTGATTTAACACATACACTATGGTTTATTAGATTTTATTAAGGAAATTTCAAGTGCTGCCGCATATGCTTAACCCTACTTTGTTTGCAGCCATTTATATGGCTGGGCCAAAGATTGGTGGGATGAAAAAATGCATTCACTTATCTTTTTTGTAGATGAATGTGAAAACATTGAATAAAATGAACATGTTATGTTAATTAAGATGTCAGCTACGTGGACATATTAATCTGGAAATCTTTAGTTTCACGCTAAATGCAAAAACTTAACTTTTAGTTAAATATGTGTTAAAAAGTCTGCATAAGGTTTACCACAATTCAAATGTCATCTAGAGTCTAACCGCAAACAGTAACCTATGAGAACATTCAGAGAATAACTTTCACATTTGTTGCACAGTTTTTGCTATAAATAAATTTCAATTCATTTTCTGTGGTCTAAGATATTTGTCAATGTCGTCGAGGTACATCAGGGGTATATCTAAATAAAATGAAATAGATCATAAATCTGAACAAACAGAAAAAAATCAACATTCATTCACCAGGTTTTACTTTGTGGCACATAAAACATATGCTAAATAGAAATGTGGAATCAATTTTTGATGGCCCAAAAATAAAAATAAAAGGCTATCTCATTACCAGTCACAGCAAGATACCATGGATTATATTCTCCCAATTTAACTTTTATTAATGTTTTATTGGTCTTAAAAAATTGAAGAAAATTGAAACTTTTTAGTCATGTAGTTAAGAACAGAATTTATGAGACTTCATTTCCAGTTTTCTAAGTATAGAGATGTTATACTAATTACTTTGTCAATTTATTATGATGAATTTTCAATCTGTTGGAAAGATAGTTATCTGATATGTTCAATTAGCGTAATAAACATCTAGAATACCTGATAAAATTACATATGAATCAACACTTTAGCTAACCGCAAACATAAAACAAATGTAAAATGATATTTTCAATTTTGAACTCTATTTCACTATCTTTTGATCTATTATGTAAAACTCCATAAAATTTTAATCATTGAACTCATGAAATTTTCTATGATTGTGCTTTAAATCAGCTCTATTATACTATACCCTTGCCAAATCTAGGATCAAGAGAAATCTAATACATGTTGTATATATTTTATGTGTTCATAAATTATTCAAGTATATAAGGTCTGATCTTTGACAGGTTCGTATTATTCAGAAGCCTAATATAGAAACAAAACTCCCAAAATGTCATAATAAATTAAAAGTTAACTTGGATATTCAACAGAGAGAGGGTAAGTTTTAACTAAAAATTGAAAAATAAATCTCTTGCTTTTAGTAAGCTGCAGTAACACTTAAAAAATAATTCATTTTCAGAGGGTGGGCTTTGTGCAGCACGATTTTCTCACAATTAATATTTAAAAAGTAATTCAAGGAGTATATAAACAAAAAAATGAAATTCAATAAAAGTTTATATTTTCAAAAGATTTCTTGCCATATCAAGTTTTGTTTTGTGTTTTCATTGAAGTCACGTTGAGTCTGTACCTTTTGGTGGAAGCCTCCTTTAAAGGCCAACCCTAGATATTCACCCCCAAGGTGTGTCAACATTTTTTTTTTGAAAAAATTAATTAATCAAATTATTAATAGCACAATATCGCTTTTAATCAAAACTTCATTTCCTGACAGTGTACCAACATGTACAAATAGAGCGAACCACCCATATATGAAAAAGTTTGTTGTTATTAAGAAATGAATAGAAATTCAGATCCTTGCATAGACCAGTACTGTGTCCTTACATGCTTGCCAAGCCGGCTTACAGGTGATAAATCACGAAAATCTAAACATATAAAATGTCTCCTTTTAATAGGTAATAATTCATACATGAAGTAAACAGACCATTCTAAAATACTCAACTGATCATGCTTTTTTGCTGAATTTCTCTCAAAAACTTGAATGAAATAGGCAATTTTCTTGCATTTCTATACAATTTAAAGTCTTGGCTATGTTCCTGTATACTTTATTTCTATTTTAACCACTTTTTTATATCTCATTGTTAGTTTTTAAAACATACCCCCTGTGATTTTCATTTACAGTAAACAAGAAAGGGTAATGAGTAAAGTTGATTGTTTTGCTGGTGGAATGAGGAACTTTCATTTAACTTGAGATCTCTGGCACCATTGAGTCATTAACCTTTCTGTTCTTGATGACTTGTAAATAAAACTATTCAGAGGTCAATAGTTTGAAAAGTGAACCCCAGAATAAAACGAGACAATGAGCAATAAATAATGAATTTGAACTCTTGAATAGAAAAACTTTTTTGCTTAAAATACTTTTTATTAGGGATGTTTTGCAGGTATAAATTTTGAGTAAATAGTACTATGAAGTATTTGATATCACTTAATCTGTTTCTATTTAATAAATTAATTGTATTTTCTTCAAAAATTTAAGTTTTAATTCTTTATTATGAAAATAGAAACATAGAGAGCTGATTAAATTGTGATGAGAGTAGCACATATAAGAACATGGCTGGAAACTTTAAGAGAGATTTAGGAATATACAATGTAGGTTTTAAGATGTAACAATCATTTGAGTACTTTAACAGATATTTGAGTATTTTGATATTTATTTGAGTACTTTGAGTATAGTGTAGAAATGTTTTGACAAGTACCGGTATATACCAAATAAATATAAAAATTTCATCACAAATAAAATGTCAAATAATAATTGTGTAACCTTGAAACTTGGAAAGTGACCTCTTCAATGACCTCTTCTTCTGATGTCAGATGCGGATGTCATCCAATGCTTATTTGAAGTACACGTTATATATAGTAAACCTCTCAAAACATACATAACCATCAAAGCAGTTTCCAACACATTACAATAGTATAATAACCCTTAATTTACCATCTGGTTATTGTCAACAATTGTATGCAGACCAGGAATAGCCTAAAAAAGTCTGACACATTTGTTTGAAGTTCCCACATGGTTTATAGAAATAGAAAGGCTGTTATTTAAGGTTGACAACCTAATAACATTGACTAGGTCCTGAATTGCACTGAACCAAAATAACACACGCTTTGTCTCCCACCAACTTCCTGTGGCTACTAACAATGGTAGGTCCTATAGAATGAAACTCCTGGTCTTTAGTAAAAGTATACCTTGAATATCCTACATAGGGTTACTGCAATTAAACATGACTCTGTGACAAACAAAATGAGAAATAAAATGATCAGCAAATGCTTTTCATATACAACACATGGTTTTCAAATGGAAATATCTTGTAAAGTGTTCAAAGCAATGTTATAGCCACTGAATTACAACCAGATGCCTAAAGTTTCAATCGGAAACCAGTCAAATAAATATAACCAGGATATAACCCCAAGTAAAAGGTTCCTCCATATACTAAAACATCACTAAGTTTTGTATCTCTTGATATTTTGAAGTCAATTTGAGGGAGGATGTCATCAATTGAGTCTGAGATGTTTGCACTGAAACCCTGAAATCGATCAATTAATGTCGACCATCTCTTTATGAATCAGCAATTATCGTATGATTCTACAATCAATGTTAGATAATACACTTCCGCATTTTAGATACATTTCCGCATTCTCGTACAACTTTATCTTAAAACGGGTCTGGATTATTTATATTCTCCGTTCATGATTTATTAGTTTAAATATGTCTCAAATGGTGCCTTACGGTCTGAATTCTGATATGATATTTCTTTGTTTTCATGGTACGAGCTGAACAAGGTCCCCTCATCCCCTATTTACAAAAAATGAGTACCATACATAAAAAATTTGAAATGAGAATGTATGTATGTATTAAGATGATTCAAAGAATACAACCAGAGAGAAAGTAACACAAGGACCATTTGTACTTGATGTAAGCCTTGAGAATGACCAAGGGCCTTGATGTAAGCCTAGAGAATGACCAAGGGCCTTGAAGTAAGCCTAGAGAATGACCAAGGGCATTGATGTAAGCTTAGAGAATGACCAAGGGCCTTGATGTAAGTCTCGAGAATGACCAAGGGCCTTGAAGTAAGCCTCGAGAATGACCAAGGGCCTTGAAGTAAGCCTAGAGAATGACCAAGGGCCTTGATGTAAGCCTAGAGAATGACCAAGGGCCTTGATGTAAGCCTCGAGAATGACCAAGGGCCTTGATGTAAGCCTAGAGAATGACCAAGGGCCTCAACCTGTGAACTCACCTGCTCTCTCTTGTATTTCTCCCTCTTGCGTATGAGTTCTACCAGCAACCTTGCCTTCTCCAGGTCCTGTCGCAGTCTTTGCCAGTACTTCAGTTGTGCCTTAAGGGCATTGCTCTGTTTGTCGTTCTTTGTCTGAAACACAGGGAATAATGGAATGTTAAATTTTATTGATACTTATGATAATTATATACATTTTAGAATAGCATAGTTTAATACATCTTATTTAAAGCTAGGGTCTGTGCAATGTACTCCTTGTACTGATCTGGAATACAAGGTATAATGGTATGTCAGATATTATTATGAACATTTTTGGAATTCTAATTGTCTAAGAGAGTCATTGAGTTCTTGTACATGGGATCTTAATTCTTTTGGAGATGGTCTGAAAAAATGTGAAAATAAGTATTACATATGTAATGTCAACATGTAATATGATTGAGTTAAGATAACTTCAGTTGTCCCCTGAAATGATAAATGTCTAAAACAAAGTCTGGATTATTACAAAATTGAAAATATTGGTCCTTTTGTTCCCGCTGTTTCACAATCAATTCCCATAGTTGCTCTGCAGTGAGCTCATCAACCAGGTCACCACCCCAATTTCTAGAGTTCTAATCAAGAAAAATGATGGTTACTTGTTCCAAGACAGGTGTGTTAAAATGGAATGATCCTGGAAAAAACAACATTGTGGTCTTGTTTCAAAATTCAAAATTGGGTAGAAAATAAAGAAATCGGCAAGGATTTAAATTAACAGACATGTAGTTAACATTCAAATTGTAGAAAAATCTCAAAAAATCGTGCAGTCTATTCAGATTTTTTAAGATAATGATACAGTAACCATGACCAGAGAAGTATTTAGTACAGGGATTTCAAAGTCTGCAGAGACTCCATTGAAAATTGGGTTAACCTTTTATGAAACCTGTGTATGTTTAAATTAATAACAAAATGAATTTTCAAAGAAAACAAGCCATGGGTCAAGTTCTAAGAGATGAAAGATGTAGAAGCAATTCTATTTTTATGTTTCAAAAGTTGATATTTTAACTGAAAGCAATAAAGAAGTTTTGGATTCAGTTATAGCTCAGTTTGTGTTCATTCTCCAGGGGTGTCCATTCAAGATTGTGTGATTTTGTGTTTTAGAAATATGGAAATGTTTCAAGTGAAATCATATCCTTAAATATACAGGTATCTGCTTAAAAAGCCACCCTAGGCTGTCAGCACTTTGTCTTAATAAACCAGACATGAACATCTGATTCAAAACATAACATTCCTCTAAATGTTTGTGAGGCAATAAGTTTGAACCAAAATCTGGATGAATATAGAATTCTAATAATTTCTCTGAATAAAATTTTTCTTCACAGGACAATGCAATGAAAATGTGGCAGCTGGAACAACTGTGAAACTTGTTTTTTCAAAAACTGAATTTAGGATTGCTTCTATTTATAGAAGAAGTTCTTTGGAATTGGTAGACTTTATTGTCTGACCTCATATTTTGAGTCTTGAGTAAGTGTCCTTCAATTCATAACATTTGAACTACTCTTTTAATAATTATACAACTTTAATTTGGCTTTAATTTTAAGGATAAATCATTGAAGTAACAGAATATAAATGAGGCCAATGGTATCTTGATTGTGTAATGTATGGTGGCACGTATTACAGATAGATATGTTACATGGTGAGTGAGATAGGGGGATAAAGTCATCAATCTGAGGCAAACAGTACCACCAAGCTTGCTGATAAGTAAAAGATCAAATCCCACAATGTCCATATTTTTAAATATAAAATATAATATGGTTTAGTCAAATGCAGAAGAAATAAAATAAACAGCAATGAAGAAAATCTACCAAATGATAAAGAAATGCAAGAAAATGAGACAGTTCTTTCAAATTTAAGAGAAATTCTGTGAAAAATGTGAGCAGACGGATATTTTAATTATGGGAAGGATATGCTTTTTGAAACATCAGTCCGTGAACTTGATCTTCTGCAATCATAAAATAGGTCAATCAAGCTCATATATAAGTCAAAACACAACAGGAATGGGTCAATAAAACTAACACTTTATGTCTGTTCCATACTTGGATCATGTATTTGTGTACCTATAATCACTGTTGCATGATACAGAAGAAAAGGATAACCCGAAGAATCAAGAAGAAACAAACAGCAGCAACACTCAGCTCCAAATAATAATTTCACAAAGTTGTAGGGTAGGGGTACAAAGTGAAGTTTGATAGTGAGGCACAGATTCCATGGCTTGGTGTGATTAAATAAAAAGACACATTTGAAATCTCCATTGCCTACTGATATTAATACCATTTTGGTTATAATACCAGAGTATAATGAAGTTGGAAAATCATAGATATCGAACAGCGAAGAGCGTATAGTAGAAAACGTATACTGACTCTCTGAGTAATAAAAAAACTCAAACAGATAAATCAGAAGTCCAAAGATAGTTTCATTTATTAAGTTAATCACCAGTCCCTCACCTTATTCTAGGCTGTGTGCCAATACTAAAAACTCACAGATTGAGGTTCATACAGCGCACATCCATTTTCCAGGCTAACATAATGAATTATCCTCCATTATTCTACCTTGATAGGTTTACGCACCTAAACCATTGTGGATCACGGCTTGGTGCTAGATCAAGATATTCTTAGGAATAATTTGAAACGTTGAGTTATAGGTTTTCTTTCTTTGGTTCGTGGTAAGGTTCACGTATCAGAATATGAATTGATACTGAATACAAAGAAGTACTTCCATAAGTTTGTAGGAATTAACAATTTCTAATGAGTTGTTTTTTCTTGTGTTCCTTCAGTTGAAGATGTGCAGATAAAATTGATTAGCTGAAAGAACCAAAGGCCAAATACTGTTAATTGGAAAATGAAGATTCACCAGACAAATGGGAGGTTCTTGACAATAAATAACATAGTGCCTGACATGTACCTTAAAGATAAATATGTTCAGGTAAATGCTCAAGGGACAGCCACAGCTTCAAAGCCAAAACTGATTGATTTTGGATTTCCAGAAAATCAGCATATGCTTAAAGAGCTAGCTCAATCCTAAATGATAAAATATCAGATAAACAGGTTTGGCACACTCCTTCCTATATCCTGTATGGTCCCAAGTGAAAGTTAAGATTCTACAGAACAAATGTGAAGAGATATCAAGTTAGCTCTGAATCCCAACAGAATGAACATGGTGGTCAGAATTTGGAATAATATTATTGGATGAGTTAGTATGTGGTGATAGACCTGTATGTGTTAACAAGGCACAGAACTGATATAACAAACACAGAGATAATAAGCAAAGATGTATCCAATCAGCCATGAAGAAACAGCATTTGGAGATATGTAACTTCCCTCCCAATTGGGATAAACACATCCTCCATAGTTAGTTGATTATCTCTTGTAACATTATGCCCAGCATGCTTACTAGACTTGCTTCAAAAGCAATGGGGAACATCTTGAATTTTAATGATATTTCCTGCTTTTTTGAAGCTGAAACATCTCTGGGAGTATCTTTCTTTATTTTACCTCATATAGGGGGTAGAGAAATCATATCTCTGAGATAAAGGGTATCAAGTTAATGCATGGCCGGAAAGCAGTGATCCGAAGTAAAATTAAGTGAGTGTTTCTAAATATGGCAAGCATCTCTATCCTAAATAGAAAAATGAAATACCAAAAACAATAATTCTTTCCCACAGTGTCTTTTTGTTTCTACAGAATAATGTCAGTTGAGTTTGAATCTGGCATTGTGCCAGATCAATGGATGGAAGGAATAATTAATCCTATATTTAAAGAAGGAGATACAAGGAATCCTCTGCATTATAGAGCTATCACTTTAGTATCCGTTCCAAGCAAAATATATTGTGACGTGCTGAATAAAAGACTGACAAATTTCCTGGAAATAAATTCCCTCTTAGTTGAAGAACAAAATGGGTTTCGAGAAAAAAGGAGCTGTCGTGATCAGATTCATACTCTGTATTCAATTGTAAACAATCGAAAACTAGCAAAACAGGACACTTATGTTTGTTTCATTGATATGACGAAAGCGTTCTGTAGTATTAATCGTGACTGCTTGTGGTTCAAACTCAATAAAATCGGAGTAAAGGGTAGGATCTTTAAGGCTGTCCAGTCCCTGTATCAAGATGTGACCTGCTCTGTGAGGATTAATGGCTTGCTAACCCCTAAATTCAAGGTATCCAATGGATGTAAGGAGGGCTGTCTGCTTTCTCCGACCCTGTTCTCCATTTACATTAATGATTTAGCAACAGATGTGAAACAATTGATATGTGGAATTACTATTGATGAAATTAACGTAGGAATATTACTCTATGCCGATGATATTGCCCTTATAGCACCCACCCCTCAAGACTTACAACACATGCTAAATAAGGTGAATGAATGGTGTCGAAAATGGAGGCTGTCTATGAACCTAAGTAAAACAAAAATTGTGCATTATAGGCCCCCCTCCCAACTACAATCAGACTTTGCATTTACTTGTGGCCAACATAACATTGAATATTCATCAAAGTACAAATATCTTGGAGTGTGGCTAGAAGAACATTTAGACTCAAAAATCATTGCTCATGAAATTGCCAAATCAGCCTCAAGGGCCCTGGGTGCAATAACAACTAAAGCCAAGGCCACTGGCGGAATGGACTTTAAAGTGTTCTCTAAGCTTTATGATTCCCTCGTCCAACCAGTGATAAACTATGGCAGTGCTATTGTTGGCCTCAGGGAGCATAGATGTCTCAATAATCTCCAAAATCGTGCTGGTAAAACATTCCTGGGAGTTAGCCCTAAAACCAGTAATGAAGCAGTCCGTGGGGACCTTGGATGGAGTCCCCTAATTGATAAACAAAGAGTGGAATGCGCTCGACAATACCTGAGGTTACATAACATGGACAATAATAGATTGAATCATAAGGTACATAAATGGTCATTAAAAAACAAAAGAAGTTGGGACTATCACACTAAAGCTATGCTGACTAAGAATGGCATTTTTATTGATCATAATATTTTCTTGCATATAAAATCAACTGTAAAACGTTTACAGAACAGTTTCAATGCAAAAGACCCCTTCTTAAAAAACATTTGGGATGATACAAATAATTTACAGAATGGCAATAAGCTTCGAACATA